CTTGATTGGAAATAAACTGTAGTATGGACTTAATTTTAAAACAAACCATACGCAGTCTGTCCACTTTGAATATATTATAGCTCCTGATTATAGCGTACGTCTAAGCCAGTTCTAGCAATGACAGCAGGTGGATGCTTGTAGATAAGGTTCTACAAATGAATTGAGTGCGTCGTATCTTTACTAAGTCGGTGGTCGTAAAGGGAAGCAAAAGAAACAAAATGAGGATCTTCTTGCTGAGAAATACACACAGAATCTGAGGCCATTGAAATATCAGATAGCTTTGCAAATTTATACATTCCGTAACAATTGTTTTCTCTGAGTATTAAAACTCAAGAATTCAAGTCGTAACTGGCGGCACAAATTTGTTGAGTCATTCAATTGGTCAAACACTTATTTACAAGGGCGTAGCGTCCACAGCTGAAATATGGAAAAAAAAATTTTATTTCCTGAAGAAGCATTTTTTATCATTAAATCGGGATGACTGAATGATACATTTTTTGCACTATGTTGGTGTTTTTGTGTTAGTATTTCCTTTTTCGAAGGGGCTTAATATTTGAGGGGTCAAGTTTGAAAATACACAAAATGTGAGGGGGGTTCGAAATTTTAAGACACAGGACTGGCATTCTGTGTAAAAGTTGTCAAACTATATTATGATTAAAGCAAATTCACGTTTCCTTCAAGAGTAGACAAAACAATTCACGCTGGCGGTTCGTTGCCGGGAAAAAAATTCTACCGGTAGTAAAGTCCACCGAACTGGATTGCACAAAACCCCCGGGGCTTACTAATAATGTCCTGAAGAAAACGCAGGAGATAGCGTTTCCGAGACCCTAAATTTTTAAGAATTCTCTGGGGATGCATGCCCCCAGACCCTCTCTGTTCGGCGCTTCAACTTTTCTTCCCCCCTTGCGTACCCCTTCAAAATTCCACGCTACCCCCCTGTTTTAGTCTAAAAGTGATGTGCATTAACGTCTATATTCAGTGCTCGAGTATAAAATTTCTCAGAAATGGCTCTGTTGTGCCGATGCAAATAACTTGGAAACAGTTAATGTTGTATATCAACAGTTAGAAGCACCTTTGCTAAAAACAATAAATAAAGAACGAATTCCATTATATGGCCTGAAAGACTCGGCGGCAAGCATGAATCAAACAACACATTACTCTAGAGAACAGACATACAATCAAGAGTAAATGCAGAAACGGAGAACAAAACTTTGTAAATTGTCTGTTTTATCACAAAGATATAAATTACGCGTTATCTTGAAAATTTAATTTGTACCGCCTATATACTTAAGTACTGTCATAAGAATAGTGAACATCAACTCTGAAAGGGAAAATGGCAGCTAAAACAATTAAGAACTGCTCTACAATTGATGCATTTACAAGCCACAGACTGGTAGTTTTGATACGAAATATATTTTTTTGCTCTATTGATAAGCTGTTTTCCAATCTTAAACAAAGCCTGGATTTGTCTACAGAGGTAGCGGGTTTTGCTAACCACACATATTTAACACTCGGTTCAATTTTCAACATAAAAGTCCAATATCTTCCAGCTTTTTAAACCCGCGAAAATTAACTGAGAATATAATTTATTAAATAGAGACAAAATCGAGTGAGGTCACAAAAAGCATTTTACTGTCATATTACTCTTTCTCAACCAGGGAGCAATGGCATGATTTAGAGGGAATGTTTCCGAATCAGTTATAGATGAAACGAATGTACGCTATTATTTCTCTACGGATCTTTTTGTTTCAGTCCTGCTTATTTTCTGAGTATATTTGTCACTAACAACCGAGGATTGCATACAAGCGCACAAATGATAAACCGATGTGGCAAAACTGATGATTATTCTAAAAAAAGTCGCTTTGTTAAATCAGTCATAAATGAGAATGCGTAAAAACGCGATTGAAAAGAGAACTGAATTTTCGTGGTAACAATGAATACCAAAGACTGCCCCAAGAGAGAAGACTTGGAAATAGTTTTTCAATTATGTAAATTTTAAAAACATCCTTCACGAAACGACAACCTCAAACTGTTTCCATCGTAAACCACTAGTGATGTTTAGATTTGTGCACCTCATTTTAAAATTGTTCATATATATTGTAATACGAGAAGACTGTAAATGTCGGATCCAGGCAAAGAAATGAGTAAAGGTTCTTTTGTCGTTTTTTGGGTATATATGAGCCCAGTATTTTAGTACACAATAGCTAGCATTTGATTAAAACTACATTATGTTTATTCTGCATATTTATATCTCGTCTGTATGTCAGTAAGGAGTCAAAATGTTTTATATGTTGCAAAACTTGAAACTGACTTTTCGGGGACCCAAACATTCTGACTTAACTTGACAAAAACCTGCCTGGTTTAGGAAAAACTCTCACCCATTACTAAAAGCTGCTGCACTGAAAAGGACGAAACTTTTCTTCGTTAGTAATAAATATTCAGTACCAACTTATCGCTGATAATGACTGGAATCAAACTTTTTCATGCAACTTTCCTTCACTTTCAACGAAAACGTTCATGTACTGATACATGAAAAACGCCCGTCCATATTTTACAGTGTCGGAATACATGTTTGCCCCGCAGCAAGTCTGTATTTCAACTAAGTGAAATCCAGTCATACTAGTATACGGCTGTAGTTACAATTAAAACTACGACATGAATATCGCGACGCTAAAGTGAGTCTCGCTAACGAGTCGAAAACTTGACATGATGAAATGACTGTTGTACATTTAATATCTATTCTTACCTTGGCTCTGAGCCGGGCAATCTTATTGAAAATGACTAACGGGTCGTTGTACAAAGGTTACGTTTATCTGAATTGAATTCGTCCGTGTCCGCTCAAGGAGCTTAGCTTGACAAAAGAAATGTTGGTCAATAGATTTTACAGTCGAGCCAATCACATAGGGCAGCACTAATTCCCTGTTGTCGAAGACAAATACGTTAAGATCTCTACTGACTCCATCCAGCTCGTAAAAACTGCTGGCCAGGAACGCTTTACTAACAGTGTAAAGCTCTCCGTAACATCAGTAAACCTGTCGGCTTTAATAGGGCCAACAGAGAAAGCAGGTTGCTTCTTCAAATCGTTTGAAAACCTCCCTAGCCAAAAATATACTGAGCTAATTAATTATTGATAGTTATTACTTTGCTTAAAATAGCATCATTAATGTATTTGAGGACTGACAGAGGTTTTAATAAATAAAGGAAGTGGAAAAATTGGAAAAACCAACTTCTTCAATTCACTGAAAAAGCTTTCAGATGGCGAATTCGTTAGATTGATCATAAAAAATCCGAAAGCGGAGGCTCGGATCCACTTACAATACAAAAGCTTACTTTAATTTCTTTTTCAATAAAAACAAGCTGTATTTTTGAACGAAGCCGGGTTAAGCGTTTAATACGGAAAGCTGTCCCCGGCTATTAAGGTTTGCATGCAATATAATATTACGTACTTTGATATTTTGTTTCTGAAAATCCTCTTTAATCACCCGCTATTGAGAAAGGAAGGAGCCGACAGATGTTAGTCCTGTTTCTTTTTCGAGGAACATTTGTTTTTACTACCAGAAGCTTAATATCGACTCTTTTTTGATAAGAGCCTTTTTTATAAGGGAGATAACTGAGGACAAAATTTTAAGAACTTCTTGAACCTATTAATTAAGGACACACGATGCACCTGACAGGGCCGGACCAGTCTTGATGTAAATGAGGAGTATGAACGTGTGTCAATATCAGAAAATGCAAAACTCAATAACGGCGATTATGACCCTTCTTGATTGGTTCCGCCTAGCTCGCATAAGAAGTTTTAAGAATATTGTCAAGGAAGATGTTTCCAGCTACAGCTCTAAATGTTTCAATGAAGATGCCCCAAATTTAATAGATTTTAAACTAGTTCGGGAAATTTACAAATTGCCAGCAGTAAAAAAAATGGACAATAAAATTTTTATCGAATAAATCTGTTTCCCTTTGACAATTCTTCGCAGACTTGAGAATGGAGGCAAACTGAGCTTTATGAATTAATTGTCTTTTATTGTTTAATGTTTTTGCCAATGTCATTTTTATTTTATTTTTACCCTCGACTTTTTCAGGTACGCACGTGCATACTGTACGTACAGGTAATTATGCCCTTGACTGCATAACCACAACTAGCCTGTGATCATGTGCTTGTGTTAGGCGTTTTTTCATCTCGTACCCAGATCTCACTTTTATTAGTCTTACGAGATCAGGAGTTTTTATGCTGTCTCGGCAAGGGAGAAATAGGTCTGGTGAACACTCTTAAACGACGCCAGAACAAGCTCAAGCAACATACTCAAATGCAGGTGACATACCAAAAATTTCGCAAATAGAAAACAATTTTCAATGCCTATTAATTTTTTTACAATACTGTAAATGTCGCGCACTAGCCTGCGTAGCAAGCGTTTCCGCGCGAGTTCGTCCAGAAAATTGGGACGAGAGCAAAAAAAGGAATGAAGGGGTTTGCGGGCAAGCGTTTCCTCTTCTCCCTTCCCCCTTCCATTTTTTTTTTTGCTCCCGCTCCAACTTTCGCGCTATAACTCGACTGGAAACGCTTGCTACGCAGGCTAGTCGCGCACGAGAGACAGGGGAAAAATATTTTCGGCGGGATTACATCATTTCCATAATCTATACCCTCATTGACATAGCTTTCCACCAATAAACGCGTGAGAAATCACTCAGATTAGTTATTGTAAAAAAGTTTCTTCAGCGCATTTCGTTTGGGAAAAAATATTATAAAGGCCACAAATTTTTAACCACAAATAACCAACAAATAAAGAAGTTGTTGTATCTGCCACTTTGGTAGACTTGACTGGTTAATACCCCAACCCAGCTTTCTCAACACATTCCTTGTTTAAGAAAAATGCAATTTCAGGAAGAAAGTTCCAGCCAGAGTGGAATTTAATCCAATGTCAAACTTATTATTGTCTATGTAGGCCTTCATTGCACAAACTTGTTCCCAGTCTCTCATGGGACAAATTTGATAAGAATGCATTGCATGAAGGGAAATACCAACAAAAGTTGGGGTGTGACTCCACTTCTCCGACACCCAATATAAAATTATAGTGCCCAGGCCACAATTTGGCCTGTAACCGCAACAAAATTTTAGCCTGGCCTGACATTATCCGTGGTATTTTCTAGGCATTCAGATAGTGGGGACAAAGCAAAAATAAGGGAGCACAGAAAGGGACTAGGGAGAGTTGAGGTTGTACTCCACTGTCCAAAAACCTGGAATAGTCTACAATAAGCTCCTTTTGACAGACTAAGCTCTTACTAGTGCTTCACACCCTAGCTTATCTCTCGCAAACTCACTACTGTGCAACAAGACGGTCTACTGTGTAGTCTTTAAAAAGCGTTTAGGAATGCAGTGGGCTGGTAACAAATACACTGCACACAACACATCAGTTCCATCAAGACATTCTCCAGTTAATGGTTAAATACCTTTCATGATGTGTAAATTATTAGAATAGAGCATAAACGAAACAAAAGTTACAACATTGCTGGGCTCGAAAATAACTTTTTAGTACACTTGCAAAGTTTTGCTTCTAAGTTTTTTTCCACTAGCAAACTGGTGAGACCACTAGCAAATTCTTTGCCTTTGTTTGGATGATTCTAACTCACAAACATTTGCTAGTGGATATTTTTCTCACTTGCAGATTATCAAAATCACGCACATTTTTGCACGTTTGCGAGCGGTTATTTCAAGCCCTGCATTGTCTGGGGTGGGCTTGTATGATACAAGATATATATGATACATGACTGGATTCATTTATTGAATAATCTTCCATGCAGCTGTTTTTGTCTCATCATGCAATGCTTGTCAGGGATGAGTGTGATGAGATAAAAATGGCTGAATGGGAGACTACTTATTGACTTGCAAGTGAAAGACATTTTGGAAATTATCAGAGATGAACAGGTTATAAGCTTAATTATGAAGCTAACATTCAAAAAAAGAAGGCTTCCTATTTTCTCCTCTGTCAGTCCTCCTTGAACCTTTCACTTTTAGTTGAACACACATAATGAGACACATTTAACACAGTTAAAAGAAAACAAATAGTGTATGGTATCAGGTACAAAGGCAGGGCTGGGGCTTGAGCCACAGCAATACTAAGCATAAAGCACAGGTAGACCAGGGAACGAGGTACTACTATAAGTGGATCAAATAAAGTGATGTTTATACTGATAACTACTGAAAACAGAGAAGTGTGATCGGCAGACAGATGGAAAGAAAGACTAATGTTTTTAGCCCATACTGCCAATGCGGGGATATTTATGCTGATAACCAGTAAAGTAAGCACACATAAAGTCAAATAAAAGTTTCCAAAACTTTCCAATAATTCCATTAGTCTCTTGTCTTTCTGCTGCACTGGTTCTTTCTTGCTCAAAGCTTTAACAATGGCAGCATATTTCCAGGTTTTCCAAAGGCATACAAGGAAGATGAGAACAAGAGCCAGTGTTCCACAAAAAAGAAAGGCAGTCACGACCTCAGCCACCATAAAGATCCAATCCTTAATCCCAAATTTTGTTGGTATTTGAGGTAACACTTTAAAACGACCCAAAATAAAGCCACCAAGCCTAGCAAACATTCCAACCCATACAAAAAGAGTTATAACAATAATGACAGCTGTAGATATGATTAAAACAAGGGGGATCAACCAGATGAAGGTCTTTAAGTCATCAATGTTGGGGAGCCAACTATGTTGGCCAATATCACCTTTCCACACAAAATATGCCAGCACAAGCTGTGAAACAAAGAAATGACTTTGAAAGACAAGAAGCAGAACTCTAAGGCTCTTAGCAGCATTTGCCACTAAACTAAAGAATGAGTCACATCGCTGTTCATTGTTCATTGATGAAAGCTGCCACGCAATCACCAACATAACTACAGAAAATGCCCAGCAAGGTAGCTGAACATAATAGAACCTGTAAATTTGACCAAGAGTTTGATAAAAATCAAACTGAGCACTGACTCTATGTGAACACTTCGGATCAAGCCAAAGGTGTATCTGGACATGTTCTCTTGTTCCTCTCGGTTTGGGGTGATTTAGTTTCAACACAAGGTTTGCATGTCCATTGCTTGAAAAACTGTATTTGTCTTCATTGAACCATGGCACATGAATCCTTCCTATCAGCAATGAATTTCTATTATCACAGTCCATGGCTTCAACATAAAAAACAAATACTTTCCAGGCCTTGGCTACAGATTTTATGCTTATGTTAGCAAAAATAGTATCAGAAGGAATGTCAAGAACAGTTGATTTTCTTGCAAATAATCCCGGTAACTGAACATTATACACAGAACTGTCAGAGGAATGAAACTCAGACCACACTATATTAGATCTTGTTGATGGAGGTACATGAACAGCCAAGTACTCCATTTCTGCAAAATTTGCTAGATCAAGTTTTACAAACTTCATTGCTGTTCCATTCCAAGGAAGCAGCTTAGCAAGATGAGTTAAGTCTGATACAGTGCTACATGCTTGACCTGAAGTTTTCTGACATCCCAGCAACCAACTCTCAGACTCAACAGATGTCATTATTATCAGAAAATTATGTGTTGCAGTCCATTCATCTAAGGAAAATGCAAACAGTTTTTGTTCATTTAGATTTTTACCAGTTCCTTTGAATCTCCACAATCTTTTGTGTAAAACAACAGGATTGAAATACTTATCCATTCTGCTCTTGACTTTTCCAGTTTGATCTAAAGTAACTATTGATTGACCTGAATTCTTGAGAAAGTGATGTGTAAAAATCTTCACTCTGTGTTGCTTGCTTTCCATTATTTGTCTTTTTTCTTGATCAATCATATCAAACAAGGCACGGTTGGTTATTAGAACTAATTGTCGACACCAGCAAAGGCAAAGATGGTCAACACTGACCCATGCCCGTGGTACTGATGAGGTTACTACGCTGATAGTTTGAGATGGTCTAGTTATTTGTTTCAAGGATGAAGGACTGGATCGTACCAACACATCTCTGAATCCACCACTCACAGAAACTAAAGTAATATTCTTCAGTCTTGATTCATTTTCATTAATGAATGTTTGACTTTTCCAAAAGCTGTTGATATTTTCATAATAGTCTGCCAATTGAGGATCAAGCGATACAACTGGATGTTGATGAGGTGTTCCAAGGGTTATTATTGTATGAACAAGATGAGTACTGAAGTTTCGCATAGCAAACAATCCCCTTGCAATCAAGCCTCCCATAGAATGCCCGATTAGTACCACTGACTTTGGTGGGTTTGAAGTTTTCCTGTATAACCACACAATGCGAGTGATGCAAAGTCTGACAAATTCAGTTTGCTCCTTCAGTACTCCTCCATATAATCCTGATAACGATTCGTCTAAGTCAGCAGTGAAATAATTAAAATGGACTCGAGACCTAAGACTCTCTGCTTTTCTTAATGCCACAGATGCGAGTGACCGGACTTGTTTATAACTTCCTGCATTACCGGGAATAAACAGTACAGGAATTCCGGTTAATTTAAGATTACTAGATCGATCAGCATAGTCTCCTTCGCCATAGAGATGTAAAGCGTATCTTGGAAAGCGTTTCGAAGTTCCCTTCCACAGCGGGACTCTGATATAGCGCGGCCATTCATACATGTACGTCATCTCACACCTGTTATCCTCTATGTTGACAAGGAAATCCCTGATTCCAACGAGAGCAAACGCTGCAAAGACGGCAAGCCATGTGATCAACACCAAGTGCTGTGTTCTTGAGATATATAACGCCATTTTGGACGAGTCTGAAGTGGAAGAGAAAACTAATTTCACACCATCGACCTTGGATCTTCTCACCGTATGCGGCAAGCTAGGCTACAAAGCGCAACAGAAAATGGGTCATATACGCGACACAAAACGTCTCAGAGTTGTTGTAGCCGGTGGAAGGTGGACCCCTGAGACCGAATCTTTCTTGTCCTAAGTAAAGAAAGTGAAGACGCTTGAGTCACCCTATAGGGTATAGCTGTCGGTATAGCTGTTAAGTATAGCTGTACTCTGGAAGAATGAATGGACTTGCTCATATCTCTCATCTTGTCTCCATGCCTTTTCACCCCAGTTACCCTGGACGCTTTGTGTAGCATACATAAGTACTTCTTGTCATTTGGGGCTAAGAGTTTGTTTAGGATACGGGGATTTTGACAGTGAAAACTGTGTAATCGTTCTCTTCGAGGTTATTTTCTCTCTTTCCACAAGGTATCTGATGTCTGTGGGACGTGTAAAGTACGTCTGCGACCAAGATAAGTCTGTTTTGGTGAACAATTTTGAGAAACGCGGGTGGGTTCCTTGTGCTGAAGATGAAGACTGGAATTTTTATTGGTAATTCGCCCTTAATTAATCATTTTTAGTAAGCTCTGTGTGATTTAAATGAAAAAATGTAAGTTAATTTTACATTTAACTGGCGCATTCAATCCTGTGTTCCTTCTTTTGTAGGGCTAGTGTGCAAACTGTAAGAGCTATTTTTAATGTGGAGACTGGATACAGACTTGGAGATGAGCAGTAAGGCATTTGTAATAGCTCATTTTGCTCGTTTTAGTGTACATGTTTTTTCTCATTATTTTGAATCTCACAGAAAAGCAATGTTGCTGAATATAATAACCCTTATTATCATTCGAAGCAAACTTTTCTTTCTTTTCATTGGTCAAGAGCCCACCACGTGACCTGCAAATAACTGCCTGCAAATAATGGTCTGCTCATGTGCAATGCCGTCCAACTGTGTTTGGCTGCAAATAATATTCTGCTCATGCGTAAAGGAAACCTTGCTTTTCGCCTTCTTGCGATCGCTCTTGCCTGAAAATGGCAGATTGCTTCGCTTCCCAAGGATATTCATTAAAAAACAAACTCGGTGATTGAATGATACTCGGTTATCGCAAAATATCGTGATTTGCCAGTGTCTCGCAGATCAATTATTTGTCTCAGCCTTCGGCTTTGGCAAATAATTGATCTGCTCACCACAGAAAAATCACGATATTTTGCTCAACCTCGTGCAATAATTGTTAAATATTTAGAATGATTTTCATAACAATCAAAACTGTTATGATGATACACCTGCAGACATTTTGAGGTCTGGGGGAGAAGGGAAAGGGGGGTGGAGAGACCCTTGGCTACCCTGATGCATACCTTCTTCTTATCCACTAAATAAGATCTTTCCCTGAAAGGCATGTTTTCAAAGTTATTATAATACAGTTGAATCCCGATAACTTGAACCATGAAAGGGAAGTCGAAAAAGGTTCAAGGTCTTTGAGTTATCGCTAATTCAAAGCAAATAACGGGAAATAAAGAAATAATTTTTTCAGGCTTCAGTACACCATTTTTTTGGACTTGTCATGCACTTGAAACATAACTCCAGTTACCAAGGGTAAAATTGTATAGAAATGATCAGAGGGGAAACAAAAATTACTTTGGGTTAGCAGGAGGTTTGAGTTATTGGGGGTTCGAGTTACCCAAGGTAAAATTACAGTGAATGTATGAAGTAAATCCTGGGAAAAATGACTTTGGTTTGAGTTACTGTGAGGTTCGAGTTAGCGAGGGTTCAATTTATCAGGTGTCAACTGTACAGGCATCCCAAACTCACAATAACATATCGGTATTGTAATGTACAAAATAATAATGTTTTACTCCTTGACATTCGATGGCTGTAAAATGATTCAGTGACCCACAAATGTTCTTCAGGTAAGTAGGCTACAACACTACCATCTGTGCTACTGATGGGAGCAACATGACTGTGGACTAAAACTCTTGCTTCTTGCCAAACTATCTGGTATTGACCCATGTGCAGTGGAAAATATAAAATATTATAACTATATAAAAAAGTAATTGTTGTCACACCATCAAAACCATGTGACCACTGAATTTCAGTGGGTCTTTTAGATTTGAGACCATGACCTCTTTGCAAGTAATCCACTGCCATAGTCTTTTAGTACCTGATAGGTGACACTAAGACGGTCAGACACCAAATTAAGATCACACAGTCAGGTACCCCAGTACAGTCAAACCCCACTTTACAGACAGCCTCTTAATATGGACACCTCATTATTATGGACAGTTTGCCTTGTCCCTAGGAAAAGAAAGCCCTTGAGTTTTCTCTAAATTCAACCCACTGAATGCTGTCAGTCATTAATATGGACACTTTCTATGGTCCCCTCAGTGTCCATATTAATGGAGTTTGACTGTATGTTTTCCTACTCTGTTTTCTCACTTTACAATCCTCAGATGAGCATAACCCAGTACTACACTATAACTGCTGTACAGTTCAACTTGGACAGAGATAGCGACTTCTGTTGTTCTTCTGTTATAATTTATAGAGTAATCAATCATTTTCCTAACCACTATGAGCTGACAAGAAAGGATTTGATGATGAAAAATATCAAGAGATATCGCAAGGAATTAGATAAGGAGGGAAATCCTCTGGCAGAGAAAGATGAACTTGGTAGATACATTCATCTAGGTAAGTATTATGTTTTTCTAATTTTATTTTATTTCTATTTTCCTACTATGGTTTTCTTCCCCATTTACCAGGACTCTCAGACCAGGGATTTTGCCGGTCCACCATCATACATGTAGCTACTTTGGTAAGAAACAAAACAAAAAAAATGAGCCAAAAGAACTTTCCAACTGTTTGATTAATCCCTGCCTGTTTATTGCAAGATTAATGAAGGGTACACAGAAATGACTGATAATGTCTGAAAATACCACTAAATGTAGCACTAGAGGCCTTTGTAATGTTATTATGTCACGCATTTCAGTTCAGGACTACAATGTATTCAGACAGGACTTTGCTTAGATTAAAGTCTTGAGATTCAGAGTGCTTTTTGTGCCATTTATTTGAACAGAATTTTATGTGCTTTGTTTTGTGAGTGTTCTATAGATCTTTTTAGTTCCCTTTCATTGTTTGAAGATATCATACATATGTAATGTTATATATTTCCCTTATTTTTGTAGATTTTATTCCTGTCACATTCATCCTGCCAGCAGACTATAATTTATTTGTTGAAGAATTTAGAAAAAATCCAGCCAGTACATGGATAATGAAACCAACCAATAAATGTAAGTTTTTCTGCATATTAAGGTATCTGCACCGGCAAATTTTCAACATTTTATTTTGCCCTCAAAATCTTTCTACAGTAAGTTCAGATGATGTAATATGCATATCTGGTGTTCTTTTTTGAATATACCTTCGCATTTAAGAGAAAATCTACTCAAAAGTTGACTGATTTACCGGAAGTTAAAGAAAATTTTTCATTTCCGTTACTAAGAAAAAGAACGGCAGTAGCGCAATTTGACTCCTCTTTTCGGTATCAAGTTCTATTGATGCGCTGAACAAAATCTATTCACTGCTTGGATTCATTGACAAACTACAGCGGCTGTATGTCCAGCTTGATTTTTCTTGCTTCCGTTAAAGCTGTGATGACTAATTTTACTTGCTACTTGTCAATATTTGTTATGTTCTTGACATATACTCCGTTTTCCAGGGCTTATTATTGTTTTAAATTTACATTACATCGGTGTGTCTTCTCACCTGATATATTCTGACAATTTTGCTGGGAGAATAAAACGTTTTCTTGGCCCCTAATCCTCTGGTCTGTTTTTCTACCAATTTCTTTCACTTTACAGAAGCAATTCTTTTCATTTTTGAATAAAACTCTTCTTCAATCTTCATACTTCGGCGCGCTTCACTGCATTAGCTGACACTGAGTAACGCGTCTTCCGGAAATGCGTCACACCTAGCAACTGGTCACGTATCAAAATCCAAGGGGGCTATAGAGAGGTCATTTGGCAGTTTCTTAGGCTTCGACGAGCATTTTACACAGCGGTGATTCAAAATGGCGGGCAAGAAGGTCTGTGATGGTAGTATCGAGCAAAAACAGTTGATTTTGAGAAGAAAATAAGCTTTTTTACACTGGAAAAGCGTTAATTACTGCATGACCGATTTACCTTGACTTACGGGAACCAGTTTTTTGGAGGAATGGATCATTATATCTTCGTGAAATTTGGCAAATACACAAAGAGCATGTTGATGAACAGATCTGTGTTTGACCAAAGAATGAAATCACCATACGGCTGAGTTACTGAAGTCCAAAAAGGGATCAAATTACAAAACAACAAATTGCCCTCTAGAGGGCGTATTTCTTGGAGCTGTGTCTTGGTCAAACACAGGATTGTTGCTTTTTACGTCCCTGTTTGTGTTGCATTTCATTTTTCCCACAAACTGTTGTAGTTTTTGTGAAATTTGAATTCTTCTATTTCCATGCCACCCCCAGGGGGTAATTAAAATAACACCTTTAGAGTGATGTAGCCTTACAATTTTTTCACTAGTTTTGTTCCTTATGGACCAAAAAGCAATGTTATTGTCTAACATGTAGATAATACTCTTACATTGGATGTCAGTGTATCACCTAAAATGTGCAGAATTTGCCGGTGCAGATACCTTAAGAGTGTTTTCATTTTTGCTGAGATGAAAAATTGAATGGTAATTCAGTCAGATTCTATTGTGCTCGTTAACAGATCAAATTTTTAGCGAGTTATTTTAATCGATATTTGCTACCAGTCTGCAGGTACATGTATTATTTGAACTGATTTCCACTTAATGATTTTTCGATCAAGTCAAGGAGAAGTCATATTAATAACTTTTTTGAGTCTCAGTAAAATGTCAATTTCTTGGTAAAAAATATTAATGTTAGCTTTTGTTATGGCAAATCGCACTTACTGAAATGTTACTGTGTTTTCAATAGACATTAAAACATAACTAAGGAGCTAGAAATCACAAACACTGCAATCAAATTGGTTGAAACTTCCTTTTCATTCCTAGCTCAAGGCAAAGGAATTTTTCTGATCAATAGACTGTCACAGCTGAAGAAATGGTCTAAAGACAGCAGAGGAACACCGTAAGATTTAACAATTTAATAGACTTTCATCTAAAAAGCTTTAGGCTATGTTTACCCAGTCTATACTGGATACCTTGTTGTGTTGCCATGAAAAGCTGTCTAGTATACCATGAATACCTATCTGATATGTGACTCTCTGCTTTAGAGGCCGGCGTGACACAGCTTTGCTATGTCACAGAAATCATGCCAACACAGTTCCATTTTTGTGTGAACAGAAGCCCTATCTGGTATGGTTTTTGTGGCAGGGCAAATAAAAAGCTGTCTGATATAGTGTGAACAAAGCCTTAATTTTCAGTTATAAGACAATCAAAGAATAAACATAAAGAACTGATGAACTTTGAGCACTTTAGTTGAACTGCTTCCACGCTGCTTATACTGCTTCCACGTACTTAAAATAATATCTCGGCCTTTGTGGTTAACTGCGGGTGGTTAACTAGTTAGTGTAGTGCAATCTGCACTTGGATGTTCTTGATGAGCAAGGCTTATTACAGGGCAGGAGTGTTTTTTTGCCTGACGAGTCGTTATGAGTGGGTGGTCTTTTATTAATGGAGTGCGATGGAGGAGGGGGGACTTGGTGGGGTCGAATTTAAGTGACTTTGGAATGAAGTTAGTGGCCCTTAAAGCAGTCCATGAAAGAGGTTTTAACAATGAAAGCTTTTAGGCTATAGGTTATTATGTTTCTTTCTGGGTCACCTTGGAGGTAGTTGCAGCTGGCTAATTGTGGGTTGCTGTGGGTCATTTTAGTAGCTCTGGGTTTTTAAAATATGTCAATTTACGGTAAGTTATTCCTTAGTAAAATATTGTTTTTCACAAATCTTGAGATGATTGGAAAAAGATCCCAAACCTAAACACCACAATAGTCTGAGAATCTTGTTTTGGGAACTTAAAATTCAAATAAAACTTGAAATTCAAATATCATAGGAAAAGCTTTGTTTGCTTGCTTGCTTGCTAAAAGTGTGCTAAAATACTAAGCCTCAGTCTGATAATTCATAATATCAAAAATTAAGCAATTGTTTACATGCTAGCGTGGTGTATTATAATAGTTCTCGGTAGTCTTATGACTCTCATACAATATATTGCTCAATTCTGAAATAGGATGACTCCTATACAATTTACAACTGCTTGTTGCCAGCCCAGACCTCTCCATTATTAGGGTCTATATTCATATTAATGAGATTAATATTTGGTATAACTACAGGAGCTGTGTAACTTTCAATGTTTTAATGTATGTTATGATGTGATTTACTATAGCCTTGTTCATCCAAGTACAAAGGATGCCTATGTTATATCAAGATACATTGATAATCCTCTGCTTATTGGTGGCAAAAAGTTTGACCTGCGTATTTATGTCTTGGTGACATCCTATAGGCCTCTTAAGTGCTACTTGTAAGTAACATAGTTTGGTTTGTTTGAATCACAACACTTACTGCTCATCTCTGTGTTAATGTCGACATCTGCTTTAAATTGCTTCTGTTTAATAATAAGTTATTTATGTGTGTTCGACTAAGTTTAAGTTTGTTTTCATGCTTGAGAATGAAAACTGTGATGGCATGGAAACAGTGTGGAAAACTTTTTGCTGATTTTTATGTATATTTTTTTGTTTTAAACTAGTTAATCTCTGGAAACTCAGGTGAATAGTGAAAATTGCCCTATAGTCATTACAGAACCACCAACTACTCACCGTAGATAATAATTTAAGTGGGATAATACATCTGTTCTATTTGTTTCTCATCAGTTTCGTTCAGCGAAAACAAGCATATGATCTAAATTAAAGAAAATCTGAGTAAATGAAGGTATAATCCTCAAGTCTAAAATTTTTACGGTCCTGCTCTTCCTCCCTAAAAATTTAAAATTTTCTTGGTTGAGGCTATAAACGGAATAGGGGTGACTTGACCCCGCACCTACATAATCCTATATGCTGCTGTGTCACATAAAAGAGAGGCCAAGAGAGTGAATTGTTGCCTGTTAAGTTGCATTCTATGCATCAGCAGTTTTTTCCTAACACAATTTCAAAATTGCTGCGTCAAAAGCCAGGAAACTATTTTGAGATACTGTCCCTGGAGTTTTCCAGGAAAATGATTGACAGTCTATTCTAGTGTGGCTAACATTTAATGCTGTTCAGTGTTGTAACTCTCCATACCAGCTAGGTGACAGTTTCTCAAGAAAAGTGCAAATTTGTAGGACACTAATTAACAACATACCTGGCTTGCCAATAATACTGCAGACACCACTTTTATAGCTTGTCTAATAATTGCATGGTTACATCTTTCAGGTACAAACTTGGATTTTGCAGGTTTTGCACAGTGCAGTATAATGCAAGTCTTAACGAACTAGATAACATGTTTGTGCACCTCACAAATGTGGCTATTCAAAAGTATGGGGTAAGAAAGGTTGCTGGTAAATCTTGAGTCTTGAAAGAAAGAAGATCATAATTTTGTTGCTTCTTCACTTTTGTTTTCTTCTTCTTTTTTTGCAGGAGGAGTATAATCCCATTCATGGTGGAAAGTGGACTGTTAAAAACTTACAGTTTTATCTTGAAGGAACCAGGGGAAAAGAGGCAAGTAATGTTTGAGATTTGTATACATTACCAGGTACGTGAAGGATGAAAGAAAATAATTAAAACGTGTTAGTATTCCTCTACATATAGCCTGTGCAACAGACAAAACTAGACCTCTGGTTATGTCCATTTGACTGCGTGCAGCGCTAAAATCCTTGTTCTGAGCCTCCAGCTGTGTACCCAGATTTGAGTACCTGCCATGGTTGGCTTGCTAAAAATGCCATTGCCGATTTGCCAGTCAGGTTAAAGGGAGGTTTGATACACACTCCCCGGTAATTCATTGAGTCCATTGAACAAGGATCGCAGCGCTGCTTTGCATACATCACTAGCGGGTGTTACCAATACCAGCTACCCTACATATGGTGTTTATTATTTACTGTGTAGGATTGTGAATGTTACACCTGGCTGCAGGTGTTCAAAAGGTGGATAACACTATCTGCTGGATAAGCTTCTATCCAGTGGATAGTGAAATTGGTTTCCCTACTACTTATCCACTGGATAGTGATTTATCTGGTGGATAGTGCTATCCATCATTTGAACAACCAGGGCCAGGCTACAGGTGCATGTACACTACTATAACATCGTGCTACTGGATTATTTGTCAAAAATCACCCATCTACAGCTGTAAGGACAGGTACAGTTCTCACATAGTTAGGAAAAAACTTTTAAGTCATACTTCGTTTGGGGACAATTTGGGCGCAACCTTACACACAATAGGAACATACTTTCACTTTAGTGTGATTTGGTCTCGTTTGTATCACGTGAAGTCTTTGGGTCGGTTATGTAAATAAAGGCTAACTTAGGCCTCAGTTTAAGAAATCATTGGACCTTCAGATCTCTTCTTTAGTGGGTTAATTTAAGAAAATAAGTGCTTTTTTTATTCTTATTTATTATTAAATTGTTCTCGATAAATGCTGTTTAGATAAAAGGGTGTAGCAAGCTGAAAATGGTTTAGAACGCGGTTTTGTTTAACACAGGCTAAACTCCATTGAAAAAACTGGCCCAAGAGTTTACAATAAACTGATTACCGTAAATGATCTAGTATACTAGACTCCCTGGGCATCTATTTAATTTTAGGGGTCCAAGAGGGGGGCGCTTTATAGATAGGAGGCATTTAAAACAGAGAGGCGTTTATTCTCGTCCATATAATTCTTTCGGCAAAAATATCAGAAGAGTTAGAAAATAGCAGGATATCTAGTTTATCAATTGATACATGTACGTCGAGGCCGTCTAGAGATCCACAACGCTTCTTCAAATCTCAATGACATTGATGTCAGGATCTTCGTTCAGGGTCATTGTTTTCCATCGTTAGTCTATTCTTACCTTGAACAAGATGCGATACGTAAACCCTTGTTAATCAAGCAAGAAACTAAATAAATGCAAGAATTTTGGTCCATTTTTCTAAGTCCTAGTGTATTTTGAAGTAATTTTCATAGGGGGCATCTATTAGGCATGGGGCGTTCATTAGGGAGGGGCATCTGATACAACTTAACATTGTAGAGGAGGCGTTTATTAGATAAGGGGTATTTATTTGAGAGCGGACGTCTATTAGATCATTTACAGTAGTAAGGTAAGGTACAAGTTTCATATTAAACACGTATTTATATATATTCTTTTTAGGTGACAGACAAGTTGTTTGATGATATAAACTGGTGCATTGTTCATTCACTGAAGGCTGTGCAGGTTAATGACTAGCATATTTGACTTATATAAACATTTTCACCTAGTGTGGTGGAGGTAGGAAAATCCCATGTGAAAGGTGCACAGTTGTTCTTTGGAAATGAAAGGCCAAAAGAGGCTAATGTGGGTGTGACTTAGAAGTTTTTGGCCTATGAGTTACCACTTGGAGTGCTTACTATCTGAATGGATTTTCCGGTGGATTGTTTTTGGACAACTGGAACTGCACTTTTTGCTCACCAAGAAAAAAAAAAACAGATTGAGCAGTATCATTTTATCGGAAGATTTGGTTGCACTTGAAAGCAAAGGCAAAAGAAAAATCAAGTACCGACGACAAAAACTGAAATCTGTTTGAACTAGAAGGCTACAGTTGTGTTGTAAGAATTCTGTTAACATCAATGACGACAATAAACCAGCTCAGGGTCGCGTCTTAAACGGTTTGGAAAACTGTATTAGTGTAAGCCGTGTAACGATTCAACTTTTAAAATCGGCCATCTTGGGCTCCTCTGTCTTCTCGGAATAGTATGGTACTGCTAATTGAGGAAAAAAGTACAGAAATTCCGGGAATTCCGGTAGAAGCGAGAAAAAGGCAGTACCTCAGATGGTTTGAACATGTTTGGTAGTGGATGAACCATTCAGGTTGAATTCTCCCCGGAATTCCGGGGAGAATTCAAATCGAATGGTTCATCCATAACCAAAAATGTTCATACCATTCCTTAACATCCCAAGTGGGACCAAAGTCCGTGATTTCATTTGTAACGGATGGTTAAAGCAAATACGTGTACTTGATTTTAGATTCCCATGCATTTACTCTTTTAGAAGTTCAAAACAGTAATGTTGAATGTTTGTTCTTTAGAATGTTATAGCAAATGACAGGCACTGCTTTGAATGTTATGGGTAAGTACTATAGTATATTTGGGAACAAGCTAATGTTTCCCATGTTTTCAAATGAATATAGATACACTCTGCATAGAAAATTTGTCTACTGTCTGTAATCATTATAAGTCAAGAAATAATAGTTAATGCAGCTTTATAATGTGGTCAGGATTCACGTTTTTTTTGGGCAGAAAAAGTCCTGCGTGCCTTCTGTATCAGTCCATGTTTTCGATGTTTTCAGTACGAACACAAAATTAATAAACGGTCGCGTGGCACCTATTCATTGCAGAGCAAATGACCAAGACGTGTGCATAGCCAAAAGTTTGCGTAGAGATTTGCAGCTTTTTGTTCTTCTTCTTTTTTTTTTCTTAAATTTGCCGGTGATAAAAGAGCCAAAGGATGTTATCTTTTATATATCGCTTTTTGTTTGCAGATATGACATCATTATTGACGACAATCTCAAACCTTGGCTGATTGAGGTGGGCAGCTGTCTGATTGAGCAGATATTTAAAGTAACTTTAACAGTCCGGTCTATATTAGCCTTTTATTCAGTGGCTTCCGTTTATCCCTCCTCAGTTTCCTTCCTTGTAATTTTAAATCTACGTTTTGTGAAGTATTTGAGATAGCGCACATAGCGGTAAAAATATTACTACACGCAAATTCGGCTATAAAATCTTTTGAGGAGAAAGTGGCCCGCCTTTGAAAGAGCGCTTTTGTTAAAAAATCACACCTCTGATCGCTCCCCAAGATTGAACTATGCCTCTCGCTAAAGAACGTGACACTGTAAGTACATGTGACGAAAGACAATAGCATTCTGGGCGATTTTGTAATCACGAACTAACCACAACTAACAGTGTGTCTAACGGTTGACGCTAGGCACATTGGTTTCTCTTATCAAATCCACCAATCAGCTGAGAAGAGTATAAAAAACCTTGTTTTCAAATTGACATTGCTCACATCACTTCAACTTTTTCAATACTTCCAACTCAGATTCAAAACATTTTGTCAGTCCTAATGCAAGGCCCCTTCGACTATGTACGGCTCCTTGTCCATATATTTAACGCGAAACGATTACCCTTGTCAAATTTGACATCTATGTCCCATGAGCACTGAAGCTTTTTGAAGCGTGCGACATCACTATTGACCGACATTGTACCACATTCAATACAACCAGTCATGAAAGGACACAAGCTTTGATTGGTCATTACTCATGAGTCAGTGTTAACTTACATTTGGATTGGTGTTTGTTGTCAGGTGAACGCATCACCATCGCTAACGTCAACCACATCTGCCGACAGGATCATGAAATACAATCTCATACATGATATCCTGAGCATTGTTGTCCCCAATGGAGAGATACCAGAGTGAGTACAGTCGAATCTCCACTAACATACCCCTCCCGCCCGCAAACAGACACTTAGCTGCGGTCCCAGCAAGTTTACCACTTACATTTTGTAAACACTGACAGATTGAGACTTCTCCTGTTAGTTACGAACATCGTTTCCAGGCCGGGTCCGCACGCTACGAAAACGTCGTCGGTTTCATTCTATATTTGCACAACAGGGAGATTCTAACAGGAAAATGGTACCGTCTCGTATTAGACCAACTGTTGTAATATGTTATAACATGAAACTTCTTGAATGATTTGTTTTACCAATACTCAACTAGTCGCTCTGTGCAGTTTTTATGCAGTACTTAAGTAAGTTAGTAGTGTCAGGTTATAAAGTGAAAAAAGTAATTGTTGCGGACATCTGCCTTACAGAATCTTACAAATGCAATGCTTATGGCCGTTTTCACGCTAGAGATAGATTATCCGTCTGAGGCGGGTAACCCGCGTCGTCAAATTCCGTCAAAATTAACTGAAAAACATATGGATAATCTTAAACAGATTATTCGACCAAAATTAAACCGTCCCGTTTTCATATTGCTACGGACTGTCCGTTTGACGGATAATCCGTATCTATGAGTGTGAAAACGGCCAATGAGACAAATTGTTACGGTCACTGTTTGGTGTGCCCACACTGGAGGTGTCTGCTCCCGATTCACTTCCGACAAATTAATGCACCTAAGTGGAACTTACCTTTTGTGAAGGTTACGTCGGAAGAAGCTTTTTAAGGCCTGTAAAGACGTACAGCCAAAGATTTCGCGGTGTTTGTAATGTTGTAGTAGTGCTGAGCAATTTGAGCGTTGGACGACTTATCGGACAACCTGCTTTTTCACATTTCAGTGTTAGATGGAATAAGTTGCCTTCAAAAGATGCTCTTGGAAGTTTCGAGGTTTTGTAAGTAAAGTAACTTGAATGTAATTTTCTCCTCTCCAAAACCTTTAATACGGAATCCTTTAGGAAATTGAGTAATTTTAATTTTCAGTGGACAAAATTCTTGTACCAGAGTATTTTAAGCCACATCGCATTCTTTTTTACACTTTTCAAGGGCTATAAATGTAATAAGTTTTATGAAATAACTCCAAAGAAAAGGTTCTTATGCATGGGAACCCCAGAAAATAAATTTCAATTTTCTCAGGAACTGAGAGAACACGGTAAAATCGTCATGCGTAAGATTTCATTTGTGAAATTTGAAGCTTTTGAAGTTTGTTTTCTTGGGCTCCCATAAGAACCTTTTGTTTGGCGTTATTTCATATAACTTATTACATTTATAGCCCTCGAAAAGTGTAAAAAATGCAATATGATTGAAATTATTCTAGTCAGACAAGGTTTTTATCCATTGGTAATTAAAATTACTCACTCAATTTCCTCGTGGATTCCGTCTTAATGCTAATTAACTGAGCTGCCTCAAGGTGCGCCCAGTTCGTAAATTTGGTTTTAGAGTTTTTCGGTCTCTTACGATAAAAAAGTGAACACTTTTAAGAATTATTAACCGAGTAACCCAGAGGGTGTTGCCTGATCCATAAAGCATGTTTGTCCATCTTGGCAGAGTCCGTTTGAAGATTGATTTCTTTCTGTATAATGCAACAAATGCCTTTTTAAAGTTTATCTCATAGCGTTATTGGCGGTGAGGGTAAAAGACGGAATGAGTTTGCGGAATGGCATGTGGCATGGCTTGCAGAATGACATAGTTATGCGGAATGCAGTATATGCAGAATGACTCAAAGAAATAAATTAAACTGAAATTGCGACTACGACGACAATAAAAAAGCCAGGAAGAACTCATTGATCATCTCACGGTTGATTAGCTGTTTTTGCACAGCCACAAAAGTTCTACTTGCCCTTATAGTCGGGCTGCATGGCAGCACCGATACTACATCACGAAAGTCGGCCATTGAAGAAAAAAATTTTGGAAGGTCACGCTCCCTTCTTCTTTAAATTTAATTTTTTCTGCAAAAGATATTTGCACGATTAACTTCACTTTTTTATTTTTATTTGCTTCTGAAACCGCATGAGAAGTGTTTCTTTTTCAGACGGTGGGTCGCGTGATCGTGACATGATATTCGGCGATCGAATGTATCTTGTTTTCTTGGGGCTGCGTGGTGAAGTTTCAGGCATGTGAAGCAAACAGCTGACGAAGAAGCGCCAGCTCGAATCCTGGCAATTGAGTTTGTGTGCTTTCTTTCTTTCTTTCTTTCTTTCTTTCTTTCTTTCTTTCTTTCTTTCGTTTTCTCTTGCTCTCTTTCTTTTCTTTTCTTTTTTCCCACCTACTTTTAGCATTTTTTCACGATCAAACGCGCACACTCGCACAAACAAGGGAGTAGACTTTCAAAAAGGTCTTTTCGTCCGATTTAATATGGCGCGGGACGAAAAGTTCGCTAAGGACCTCGTGAGGTCGACTTGTAGCAAGTCTAACAAGGGAGGTGGGAAGAGACGCGGAAAGGCCGAAAGCAGACAGATATATGGCAGTTTGCTTCACTCGATTTGTGTATTACAGATTAATGTTTGACTCGGGGCGTTCATTTAGTCTCGAATATGATCTGATTCGTTCACCTTATTCAGGAGCCCATAACCCTCCTGCCGTATTAAAAATCCCTAGAATTTTAGCTAGCCCGACTTCACGTTCAGCGAGCGTGCTTTACCCTCTATCGTTGCGATAAAGATTGATCCTTGATTTGAGTTTAGCCTGGCCTCCTACCCAGGCGTTTTTAGGGGAGGTCGAAAAAGGAGCTCCCCTAAAAACGCCTGCGTGGGAGGCTAAGTTTAGCCAAGATGTAAGATGTACAGATTATATACCCCTGAAAGCCCAGACAAATTTGCGACACAGTACGTCTGCACGTATTTACGAGGCTTATTTGTTTATTTCATTTGGAACTACCGAGTATGCCATTTCAAAGAGCCTCGTTCCCAGGGTCCTCTCTCTTCCTCCTTTTCGCTTTTAACCTTGTCCGCCGTTACTCTGTTTTTCTATGTAATGAGGAGAGTAAAAACTCATTAGAAGACTGGTTGAACTTGACATGTTTTCGTACTTTAAATGCGCTTCACTGGAAAAGATACGTGAGTAAAGAACCGTTTCAGTTTATTTTAGAAACGAGTTATCGATGACTTATCAAGTAATGGGTGTATCAGCTGTGTTTCAATTTTTAGCCTTGCTTTGATAATAGTAACAAATGGACCGGCAAAGCGAGTGCTCCTTCAAATTGGCGCCGAAAAAAGCCGCGACAGAGACGCGCGCATACTTTCCTGTTTAATCTATTTCGTTGCGCCATTTTTCATAAATTAAATTCCGCATGATTATGTCATTCCGCATGCCATGCCACATGCCATTCCACAAACTCATTCGGCCTTTTGCCCTCACCGCCTTATTGGTTAATGTGGGTCGGATCTGTTATGATGAAAAACCATCACCATAGCTGGTTAGATATTCTATGAAAATGACTTTCGTCTGGTGGTCACCTTGTTTTCCGTAAGTGTACTTCGTTTTTATTTTGCGTTTCTCTATCAGGTATGATGAAGAGCTGGCCGGTCAAGATACAGGAGAGAGGGACTCCAGATCAAGAACGGGGCAGGTCACAACATCTCGGCCCGGTAAAGATAGTAAAACCAAACAGGCCACATGGAAATAGTATTTATCCGACTGACGTGTCAGTTTGGACAGCACTGAAGGTCAGAACTCGGACGGTGACAATCTCCTTCCCATGGCGGATAATCCCTGGGAATGGGACTGGGACGGCGAGTCCTTTCTTCATTGTTTGCGAGACGAGCTAATGTTTCTACGTTGCCGGTAGCCTGTGTACTTCCCCCTCCTCCCCGATTTTTTTTTTCGAGGGGAGGAGGCGGTACCTGTTTATCGATGTATCACAACGAACGTGCCGTTTTTCTGTAGCGTGTTCAAGGGCCTCAACCCGCGTTTTTTTTCTCGTCTCGACTAACTGAGAGCCTTGAACTGGAAATTTTTTCCCCATGAAAACGCTGCTGAACAATTTCAGTGACTGCTCAAGCTACCAAGCCTTAAATGCCATCGTGATTAATTGATTGACCTGAATGAACTGTTAAAAACGTGTTTCACTGTGATCGTAACAGAAAGGGAGGGCACTTTCTCTGTAAATAAAAAGTTTTTTGTTCATACTCTACTGCTTTCTTGATGTTTCGTTTCCTTTATTTTAATGCAGCATTCCTTATATTGACTGTTTCTATTTGGATGCTGCCAATAAGTCACCAATAACGACCGTTTCGGGTAGAAAAAAAATTCAACTGTTTCCTGTCTAAGAAGATTACTTATCCCATTAAATGCCCGGTTCAGACGCCGTACTTTATATGAGCCGAAACGAATTCAATTAATTACCTTCATGTGATGTACGGGGTCTGAATGAATTCGAAACATCTCGTTAAATTTGGATCGGCAACCGGTCTTTACCTTTGGCTCAGCCGGGAATGACGGCTGTGAACCAGTGTTGATTTTGACCCCGAACTTCACCTGAGCCGAACCAAATGCATAAATTTTTATAATCTAGTTTACCTAATTGCGCCTTTCCCCCCTTTGAATTTAGTTCGGTTGCCTTGGAATAAAGATGGCAGTGTGAATCAATTCAGCCGCCGGTCTAAATTAATTTTAGTTGGCGTTAATTCGAATTAGATTCGGCTCATGTGAAGCACGGCGTCTGAAGCAGGCTTAACAGGCCTACTACAGTGCAGTCAACTCTCTTTGTAACGGACACTGTAGGACCCTCAGGTTAGTGTCCTCATTAGCCAGAGTCCGTGATACAGTCAATTCTCGCCCTGCGGACACCCTGATAATACTGACAGCGACTAAATCCTAGGTAAAAATAAATTACAGACGTTTGACTGAAATAAACTCCTGCTATTACGGACTCTCGCTAATGAGGACACTAACTCGAAGTCTGTACAGTGTCCGAACGCGTTATAAAGAGAGTTGACTGTAGTGGGGACTTTATTTTTTTATCGGGGTGTCCGCAAGGCGACTGTGCTATCCAAGCGGAGTTTCTCTTGCGTGCTCGGGTTTCTTAAGGAATTTCTCCCGCTTGGGTTTCTATCCTACCCCCACGAACAAAACGGAAGTTGTTGTTCCACTAGCAGATGTTCGTTGGGAAGGAAGGCGTATAAACGACGCACACCTGTTTCCCATTGGTAGAAATCAATCTTTTAAGCATTTAACTTGCACCGTAAGAAAATCAATGTCAGTGAATGTACTCTCATTTGTTTGAACTGATCCCCAGTTTCTGTTGCTGGGATAGACTAGTCTACTTGTCCGTCGATTATTGGCAAGATATAAAAATGTCGTAAGTAGCTGATTTGCGTTCGCAGCATCTGTTTTTCCCCCGCACCCCTGGTCGTCGTGGCCGAGCCCGCGATCACGTGAGTTGAAAGGGAAACCCCTGCGATCTCTCACTGTCAGGTTTGTCGTAACTCTTCGCCTTTTGCTAGTCTTGGAATCCACGCTGCGGACAGAATTTCCTTTTGTGTCGAAGAGGTTACTCCTTTTTAGACTATAGAAGAAAGCTACTGCCCTACTCATGATACCAACAGCAAAGAGCCAATGTAATCAGAGAAATTTTTAAGCTAAGAACAACATGAACTTTGACGTGTTATTCCGTATTGTTATGTGTTGTTTGCTTTACCCTTCGGAAACGTATGGTTTTAACCTCGATATTGAAAATGCTATCGTCTTTGATGGACCTCCGGAAAGTGGTTACTTTGGATACTCTGTGGCTCTTCACTCATGGCAAAGTAAATATTGGTAAGATCCTTTATTGTTTAACATTACTTCAGTAGAACACGTGTGCGTGTTGTCAGAGATCAGTTGGTCCAATGTGGCGTGTTTTTGCTTCGAAGCTAGAGACTTTTTGAATATCAAAATTCACGTAGAGACTGGATTTGTTTTCTTAATTTTACTATTAATTTCGGCGTGAGTATAATCCCAGGTTTAGATACTAGATCTCATTCATCGTTTATCACTGATCGCAATAAGAATTAAAGATGACATATTTCCGTAATGCAATCTTTCGTTCGGATACATGATCGAGTCTGAATTTATACTCCACACGAGACAAACGGGGTTTGAACTCTTTGGAGAGGTGAAAATGTTTTGAAAAAGCGAGATTGTTTGTTAAAATCATGCAAGAAAAGTTTTTTATAGCCACGTTTTCGAGCGATATCTTAAACAGCAATCCCGAATTAAACTCATGAAATGTGTTTCTCAAGATAACAGCAGTGGTATTGACACTTATTAATTTACAATTTCCTAATTTCGTGACTCATTTTGGCTCCGTCGTCTTGTCTGCAAAATGCACGGTCGCGTAGTGCTGGCATTTTATTATAAGTATTATTATTTAATTGACGGCACACTTAACGTCAATCAAGCGCAATTATTGCTAGAAGACTGAATCAACTCATTAAACTAAAGTGTCCATGTATCTTGTAAACCAAATCACTCGGTTGTCTTAATAAACAGCACCTCTCATTAACTGCCAATTTTTTCATTATTGACGGTCGTTCGGAAAAAGCAATCATTTAACTTAATGTTTATTCAGATCATTTCCTGAGGTTATTTTAGAAAATTGCAATTTGTGTGCATCCATTCTTGACTAAGACGTTCAAGCGGCTATGTTTCTGTTATTATGACTCCTTTTTATTTTATTCAAGTAAGCTTATATGCTAATAATATTGTTAGTGTATGATGTATTAGCATTGATTTATAATCAAGACCAGGTTGGCTAGCCTCCAGCGGCTCTAGCAACCTTGCTTCTTCTTATCACGTAATTAGTTTTAAATCAGTTATTTTCTTAATAAATAAATGAGAGTTGGAGAAAATAGTAGCACCGAAAAATTTCACCTATTTGGCAAGCTTTTCAAAACCAAAGTAATGTTACCAGATTTGAAACTTATTGAAACCAGACGTATGGATAAACTGAGGAACACTCCACTTCCAACACCTGGCCAAGCATTTGATGAAATGTATCCATGCAAAGTTACTAAAGTTAGCACAGAATATGCACATTTTGAAGGGGGCTGGGTGTGGGTGGGAGGGTTTGAGGATGAGGGGGGTGGGGGTGGGGAGTCTTACTCTCCTGCATTGAAGCCACAAAAAATTTTGTAACAAACACATCAATTTATCTTCATTGTCCTTTTTATTCCATCCATTACTTACTGACGACAGACAACGGCACATTTAAAAGCAATAAAAGCAGAAAATATTCAGCAACATTAAACTTGTTAACAGACTTCACAACTAAGTGACACCCTGAACAGATGATACCATCTGAGTTCAATTTTGTACTCAGCTTTGTTCAGAATAGTGGGTTAAATTATCCTCTTCTCCAGGAGCTTCGCAAAATGTCCTTGGAGATGATGTGGTTTTTAGCACCCCCCCCGCCCGCTGCATGGTCCCACACGGTACTCCTAAACAAATAAAAGTGGAAAGTTACACAAGTTTCATTTATAGAGCCAGAAGTTAAGAAAGGGGAACTCATCCGATTGCACATACACTGTATGTGTACGGCATATATGTCATATATGAGGTAGTGGAAGGGGACTCTTGGGTAGTACCCCTCTGGGAAGTGCTCTCCCGGTTGACTCTTCTGGGTCTAGGATAAAGGTCATTGTGAAAAATCTAAATCAGAAAGACTAAAAGCTAATTTTGTATTGTAAATTAATGTGTGTTCAGGGTAATAGTTGGAGCGCCTCTTAGTAATGTCACTTCTGCATCTGGATCTGAGACGTTAATAAGGTATGGAGCAGCATACAGATGTGAATACACTGGTAGTCAACAGTGCAGTGTCATCAACATTGATAACCGACGTAAGTTTTTCCTTATAAAATTTCTTTCCTAGATACAATTTTAACCATTCATTTAGGCTATCTTAAGTCTATCTTGACTGTCGTGTTGCTGTTCCCATTCGATCCAGTTTACCCGTCGGCGGGGCTTGGGAATTTCGCCAGAAAACGCCTTTTGAAGCTAGTCGAGCTAGTACCAAAACTGCCCAAAACCCCGCTACAGGTCGAGCTCTTCTCGGCTTTCTGTTTCTGGGCTAAAAAAAAGCCTAATATATTGTGTTTGGGTCGCTTATTTAAACGAAGTCTAACTTAGGTCGCGGTTTAGAAAAAATCTTTGGGCCTCCAAATATCTTCCTTAGTGAGTAATTTTAAAAAAATAAGTGTTTTTGCAGTCTACGACTTATGCTTTTTTGAAACGTTTCATGATAAATGATGTTAAGATAAAAGCATTGGGAGAACTGAAAATGGCTTAGAACGCGGTTTTGTTAAACGCTGGCCAAACTCCGTTTACATAACTGGCCCTTTGGGTGTAAACGTCACTTTTACCTTTCGCCTTCTCTCCTTTCCTCCTCTCCTAGCATTTACTAGGCTTCGGTGCGGTGGGAAAAGTTTCGGGAAAGGCCTTTTATAGCTAAGGATCGTAGGATAGTTGGATTTAGAAAGAAGGGGCTTAGGGCCGAGCGTTAGTAGGCTGAAAAGTTATTTTGAGCCCTAGAACTTGTTTCATGTTTCAGCTGTGTGGAGAAAACAAGTGACGTTCAATGATGTACCAAACACCTGGGTAAACATGGAAGAGAAGACTGGCATGTGGCTTGGAGGAGTGGTTGATAGCACTGGAACAGATGGCAAGGCATTGGTATGAATAATAGTTTCTGCTCACGTTTTCTGTTTATGTACACATGTTTCAGTCGTAACGCCAAACCTTTTTCAACTAAAGTAGAATCTTAACTGTTCAAACCTCCCGGGGAAAAATAAAATATTTTCGAATGATCGCGAGCGAAACATTCAGAAATGACAAGAGCCATAATTATGGCTCTTGGAAATGACGAAGACGATTCAGAACAGATTGCTCTGCATTTTATTTTTCCTAATCATCTGAGCCAACACATGGATATCTGCGGTGTCTCCCTATAATAAGAAACACGTAGGCAGTACGTAAAGCTACAAAATTGTGGAATAAACTTTTATTGGGAAACTAAGTTAGTTTTTCTTGGTTTCCTTGTTGCCACACACATGGTCTGCTGTTCTCTTTATATGTTCCCTGTTCTCTTTATTACGAGTCGACATGACACTACACTTACTAACTCTTCGAATAAGCATGTGCCCGTTCGACTATTGTAAGCGACCAACTACTTTATAAACCCAACACTAAATCTTGGAAGTTTGCTTGGTTGCTTTCGAGAGTTTCGACTGTATACAGTTTGTAACTACGGAAGTTCATTCTCCAGTCTGCAGAGAGTAGCCAGTGTACAAACCACACCATCGAGCCACTTCATCGCCGTGCCTTCTACAGTATACCTTATAACCTTTCAGACTACACCTACATGCATTATCCATCGACTGTAGTACGGGAGTGGTGACTGTGGTTCAGTTAAGTTCATCCGCTTCAGACCAGTCACAGTGAGACGTCTCACAGCCAAGAGACTATAAAGGGGACAGAGAGGGCATCCCCCATATACACCCTATTCCATAGGTAATTCGTCTCGAGTTATTTTTAACACCACAGATCTCAAGGGGGATTAGACAACAACCAATCACATCGCGGGAATGTGTTCCCCGTGGATGACCCACGCTAAGAGCCACGCGTCCTTCACGAAATGACGCAGAACAAAATGGGGGAAAACGCGGAGAGCGATTTTGCTATTCCTTTCGTCGACAAAAACGACTACAGCTAGATTTCTGCGAAAGCTGCGTCAGCAAAACCGAAATTAAAAAAGAATCGCCCTTCCTCTCTTGTATAGAGCTAACAGTAGAGCAGGGAAATCCTTAACACACTGGCTATTCTCTCAGGATCATTTATAATTTACAGTTTGAAGAGAGCAATTTCTGGTTTGATGTTTATTTTTTTCAGTCTTTAGAGCGATTATTCCTACCCACTTACTTTGTCAATTGTAGGCGAACCCTCCTAAAGCTGAATTTCAAGGGATCATATTCAAGCTCAGAAAGAGAAATAAAATTTCGTGGTTGCTTATTTACGTCCTCCATAAAACGCGAAATTAGGCATTTTCACGTCGTAGTCGTGTAAAAACGGGAAAGAAATGAACAAAAAAGTGTGTTGCACGTGCGAAGTTGTTGTTTTGCTAATTAAACCTATTGTTTTTTTGACGTTCTAGTTGTCGTCCGCGTCGTTGGATCTTAAACTCCCTAAATTGAACAAACGACCGGTTTCAATAGACCGGCGAAATTTCTCATTTTATTAAAACACTGAGGTTACGACAACTTCGAGTTAAACTGATTTCACGGGTTGTCAAAGAGTCCAGCGATTCCTTTTTCCCAGGTGAGCGCTGACTCATTTCGCTTCAATATTCAGGAATGCTCTCGATCTTTTTACGCTTTCTCGCCCGACATGTTTTGCACGGCGTTTGGTCATGCGAAACCTCCACGAAACATCCACGCCTCGCGCGAGGTAACTTTATCCCAATTCTAAAAATAACTCTGTCCCCTTTATAGTCTCTTGCTCACAGCCCTACCCCTACAGGCCACTTGGTTAATTTCGCATTCAAATCATTTTGGAAATTTATCTCGTAGGCCTGTGCTCCAAGGTATATTTTTCGTGGAGCTCCTGTGACGGGAAATGCAGGCGGTGACGTTCATTATAGTTGGCTTCTTGGACGGTGTAATCTTCTTAATCAAGACCTTTCAGGAGTGTCTCATAATGGGGTTGTCGATCCCTGTTCGACAGGTACGGAATAAATAGTAAGTAACTATTAGTATCCAACGTAACAGGGAGTATCGTCAGGGTTAAGTTATTAGGTTAGTAGCGACGTAACAGAAAGGGAATCAGTGACGTTATGAATCTTACACCCCTCTTGCCATCTCAATAATTCGATCTCAACGATAAACTTCCTTTGTCAAAGGTGCCAGGCGGGTGAAATTCACTGAAGCTCAGTGCATAATGTTTCTTTTCCCTGTGATTTTGGCCACAAACTAGAGAGGTGACTTAGCTCCTTTAAGCTCCCTAAATTGACCTGCACTCGCAATGTTCAGATAGCCTGTTGGTTTTTTTTAAGGAACATGTTGTTGTCGTCATCTTCTTATCAGAGAACTTTAGATTTGAGGACGAGAGCGACTTCGGGACGAGATTTGAGCCAAAGTTTTTTCGCTGATTCTCAAAAAATTGACATCCGGAAAGCTTCATTGTACTTTTTTTTCTCCAAAAAATTAGCACTGTTATCTTTATTGAAGGAGGTTAAGCCCTCTCCTGGCCGCAAAATAATAAAACCTCCAACATTAGAAAACTTTTTTCCGCCATCACGACGTTATCGGTAATATAAAATTCGTAGTGGAAGGAAAACGACTATCACATTTTCCCGCCACAATTACGCTGGTTCACGCGCGAGCACTGCTTAGAAACGAGAAAATCTCGCACTCGTTGTCGTCCTCGTCTTAGAACCTAAAGTTCTCTAATACCATATCAACTTAACGATACACAACTCACTCGATTTCGAACCGTTATTCACTGTCACCAACAGTCTTTAAGGACTTTACTCACCCCTTGACGCGGTGAGTCTTGAGTTTAAACCATTGAGAACTTGAAATATTAGACAGTTCCATATATTATATTCCAGAGCGAAAAGGCAATAATTACTATGGCTATTGCACAGCTGGTTTGAGTGCTGAGTACTCAGTGGATGGATATAATGTGATCATGGGAGTAGTTGGAGCGAAGAGAGGGAAAGGTGAGGCTCGCTATAGTAACCAGTGTACCAAATGATTCACCAGAGGGCATATTAGGAGATTACTGTATTATCTTTCTGTCCTTTGGGAACCCTACAACCCCATTATTCTTTTTTACATAGTGTCGATTTGTTCTGCACCTGACCGTTCCAGGTTTTATTTGCGTTCATAAAGTGCCGGTGTAAAGAGACGGGAGATTTTATCATTACTGGAAGGACTTTCCATACATGCCTGTATCGTTAATTGGACGTTAATTGATACAACATTGGAACAACGGTAGCTGCCTGTGGGAAAACAAAATATAAAAGCAAAGAAATCTATTTGAAAGCAGGTTATCGAGGTTCCACTGTGCTTCTGATATGTTGTTATTTTTGGTAAATTGTCTTCTATGAAATTGTGTCTAGGTGGACTCATGCTGTACAGCGATAGAGGCAAGACTGTTAAGTCCGCACTAAGTGAACTGGCGATAGGAGACTACATGGGTACGTCATTATTGACCAACACTGAGATCAGCTAACAAAGTTATGTGTAACAGTGACGCAATTAAACGTGAAATCATGATAAGGGACACTTCTGTAATTCTCCCCTAGTCGCGGTTAAAGATACCCTCACCCCTTTCTTCCAAACCCGCTTAACATGGATGGGGCTAGACTTTTAGTAGTATAGGGCGCACCGGTTAGGCCGTTTTTTTGCGGAGGATTCTCATTAGAGTGCGGAGGAATACATTAACGCCGATGACGTCATAGGCTATTGTCCTCATCTCATGAATAAAATGCGGTGGATTTAATTAAGTATACTGGTTTGACCGGTTTGTCAGGTTCTATTTTTAGCCTGGTTGATGTAACTGGTTTATTTTTGTTTTATGACATAACCTATTGTCTTGTATTTTCATTGGTTAGTTCATAGTGCCTGAGGAGTAAAGTCAAACTTGTCTCTGACTTAAAATCACTGAGACGTAACGTAATTATGCAAGTCCTATTTCCTGCTGCTGCGATTGTCCTTGTTCCGGTTCACTGATTTTTGGCAGGCAAATCGTGCATATTAATGAGGGCAAAGGCCAACTAGCTCTTTTTTTTTACACTGCAAACAATGTTTTACTCACCCCTCTCCTTTTCATTTTTTTTACTTTCCTCCTCCTCCACAATTTTATTGTTTTCGTTCCTCAATTTTTTATTCCCTCCTCCAAAATTTCACAATTTGTATTATTTTCCCTCCTCAATCTTAATTTCCCTCCTTCTCCACAATTTTATTATTTTCCCCCCTCTTCCTCCCCTCCTCCTCACTTCTATTGTTTTCCTCCTCCACCTCACTTTGATTGTTTTTCCTTTTCCTCCTCATTTTGATTGTTTTGATAGGGTCGATGTGGGGTCGATGTAGGGTCGATGTGGGGTCGATGTAGGGTCGATGTGGGGTCGATGTGGGGTCGATGTAGGGTCGATGTGGGGTCGATCGGTCGATTGGGGTTGTAGGGTCGATGTAGGGTCCTCCTCGATGTATTTCGATGTGGGGTCGATGTAGGGTCGATGTAGGATCGTTATTGTTTTCCACCTCCTCCCCACATTTCTATTGTTTTCCCTCCACCACCACCACCACCACCACCGCCACATTTCTATTGTTTTCCCTCCACCACCACCACCACCACCACCCTCCACCACCACCACCACCACCGCCACCACATTTTCTATTGTTTTCCCTCCACCACCACCACCACGACCGCCACCACATTTTTCTTGTTTCCCTCAAAAGGCCAAAGAGGCCAAAATCAGGCCTAAAAGGCCAAACTCAAGGAGGGAAACAAGAAAAATGTGGTGGCGGTGGTGGTGGTGGTGGTGGAGGGAAAACAATAGAAATGTGGTGGCGGTGGTGGTGGTGGTGGTGGAGGGAAAACAATAGAAATGTGGCGGTGGTGGTGGTGGTGGTGGGAAAAAAAATGTGGCAATGGTGAAATGGTGGTGGTGGAGGGAGGAGGAGGAGGGAAAACAATAACGATCCTACATCGACCCCACATCGACCCTACATCGACCCCACATCGACCCTACATCGACCCTACATCGACCCCACATCGACCCCACATCGACCCTACATCGACCCCACATCGACCCTATCAAAACAATCAAAATGAGGAGGAAAAGGAAAAACAATCAAAGTGAGGTGGAGGAGGGAAAACAATAGAAGTGAGGAGGAGGGGGAGGAAGAGGGGGGAAAATAATAAAATTGTGGAGAAGGAGGGAAATTAAGATTGAGGAGGGAAAATAATACAAATTGTGAAATTTTGGAGGAGGGAATAAAAAATTGAGGAACGAAAACAATAAAATTGTGGAGGAGGAGGAAAGTAAAAAAAATGAAAAGGAGAGGGGTGAGTAAAACATTGTTTGCAGTGTAAAAAAAAAGAGCTAGTTGGCCTTTGCCCTCATTAATATGCACGATTTGCCTGCCAAAAATCAGTGAACCGGAACAAGGACAATCGCAGCAGCAGGAAATAGGACTTGCATAATTACGTTACGTCTCAGTGATTTTAAGTCAGAGACAAGTTTGACTTTACTCCTCAGGCACTATGAACTAACCAATGAAAATACAAGACAATAGGTTATGTCATAAAACAAAAATAAACCAGTTATATCAACCAGGCTAAAAATAGAACCTGACAAACCGGTCAAACCAGTATACTTAATTAAATCCACCGCATTTTATTCATGAGATGAGGACAATAGCCTATGACGTCATCGGCGTTAATGTATTCCTCCGCACTCTAATGAGAATCCTCCGCAAAAAAACGGCCTAACCGGTGCGCCCTATACTACTCACGATTTCAGTAATAATGATGACAAATTTTTCACCATTTCCTTAGTAGCAAGGACAAGGGGAAAATAGTTTGAGATTTCTACGTTATTGACCAAGGGTGAGGTTAAGACGGCTGGATATTGGCTTAGGGGTTTTTATGCGTTTTTTGATGGACCAAGAAGAGGTCGAAGTTAGTGAAGTCAGTCAGTGAAAGAAGAACAGACCAATATCCAGCTATGTTGACCGAACAAGCTCGGTCAATAAAAGATTTATTGTATGACCAAAAAAGAACTTTTTGCAGGACCAACGCGTGAAATCCCGAACGGGCAAGATAGTATAGGTCCATCTTGCGTGTTCGGGTAGCCAATCAGAACACAGGATTCGCTTCGCCTTTTTCTTAATAACAAAGTATGAACCTCGCTACAACTCAATCATGTGACAACAATCCAATCTGTGATTAGTATAGTATCGTACTATTTAGACGTGGGTTTGACCTAAATGGTTACGTGTATAAATCCTTGGCTGGATTGGTTAGGTCCAGAATAACGGCTATTACTACCTAGAATGTGACATATATGATATTCTTTTTGCCAGGCTTCAAAGTTCATCGTCAGTTTGCTAACTAAATTATCAGTTGTGGCTATTTTTTCCCTCTGTTACTTCTATTTTTTTTCTTTTTGTGTTGTTTTACTTCAGGTTATTCCGTGACCAGTGGACATTTTACTCAAAAAAAACGAACAGGTTCGCAAACCTTCCTTAAACTGACCATCGATCGGAATTATCTTTCCATGTGATCCCGTTAACCACTGCTTAAAAATAAATTTATTTAAAACCATCTAAACAGGCTTTGAGTAAAATAAAAAGAAGCATTGTTCAAAATGGACGACAGAGTTTTCATCTTTCTTTAGGTGTTCCTGACTCAACGCATTTGAGAACTGAACTGAGAAAGTAGCTCTTTATTTTTTAAAAAGAATTCTCAGTGATCTTGATTTTTTTTACTTTTTCAACTAGGCGCAATAGAAGCATGGGCCTTAGTGGGAGTCCAAGTAAGCGCGATGCGTATGATCGGAATGGGGGGGGGGATTAACCTGCTAGCAGGCGCAGGAGCCCATAACTCCCATGCATACAAGGCCTATTAAGCGGTATTTTTACGGACCAGCTTATTTTTAGACACATTTTGGGGCACTTTTTCCCGCAAAATAGAACTCCACCCTGTTTATGAGCGCATTCGAACTAGAAATTAAAAGGGAAACTTAAGGTTATTTTAATAACGTACAGACCTAAAAATGAAATTTTTTACCTATTAAAAAGGTCTTTAGATTTTGCTGACTAGTGTATGGAATTTAAAAGATATTCAAAATTCGCGCCAAAATCGTTCTAAAAATAAACTGGTCTGTGAAAACGCCGTGACCCGAGCGCATGGAAGTTGCTCGCTTCAGGTTATGGGATCCTGCAGGCGTCAGTATTTTTAGGGCGAAGAAAGAATCTCTCCCCTTGGAGTGTGCCCCTCGCGCGGCCTGTCATGACTAAGTTACCCGCTACGCAGGAGACGTCCGAGTCGTGCATCCTCGCGCGCCTGCGTTATCTCTCATGAGTCTGTGATGACGTGCAAAAGTTTACCTCTTTTTTTTTTTCAGAATGCATTAGTGGAGCCCCAAGAGCAGACGGTGTGAAAGGGAAGGTATCGAACTTTTGCTTTAATGCAGTATGCCGAATTACAGAATTCTGCTTTACTTCAATGTTTCGAGTGACAGAATTTAGGCGCCGATAAAACATGTACATTCCAAGGTTGAGATTTTGCCGAGTTGTACCGAAATGGAGTGGTGAAAGATGTGAATGGAGGAGAGGTTATCAAATCTGCCCCTTTTAGAGTGGATAAAAGTATTGATTTTATAGAGCGTCTTTTGAACGGTACCCAGTAAATACCTTTTTTATCCAAGTTCTTGTGCTTTTTCTCTGTCCATTTCCTCTTAAGTTTCATACCTGCCTACTTGCCATGTACTGATTTGTTTCCTTTTCCTCTGAAGGTTATTATTTATCACATTTACGAAAACTATTTGTCGGTGAAATCAACGTTACCTCGACCAAAGAATATACCGGTATGTAGATGATTTGAGTTATTTGCTTTCCTCAATACTAAAAAGAATAGGAGTGTTTTTAATTTCTTTTGTTTCAAAGGTATTATCATGCATTGCCATTTCCCAAGACAAAGGAAATTTGAATTTAAATCAGGACGAGATAGAAAAACAGACATGCACACCAAAACCACAATGCTAATTTGTTTTCAGAATTTCAGAATTTTCAGTGTAGTCGTCGAGAGGTCATTGGATGACAGTTACATAACCATATTTTTCTGTTGTGTTGAACTATGTTTCTAAAACTTATCGTGCAATATTGCATTCAAGATTGGCGCGAAATGTTTTACCACCAGTGCAAGAAAATAACAAATCTGAGTTAAAAAAGGAGTGACATACATGAAGTGCTGCTTGAAACATCGCATCTGAAACTTTAAAGTAGTAATGTCTTTAAGGTTTTTCAAATACTGACCGAGCACTACTGCCTGGTTACCTGCACAACCTGGTGGTGTGTTCACACTTTGAGTACCCGATCTGTACAGATGTACAAATGTGCTTCATTTCGCCCTATTGGACGCCACTTGGGAACAGCAGGGAATTACTGACGGGGAAAAGCATTGGACTGCCTCAGAACTAAAATAACAGCACCGTGCCCTATAATACGCTAGTTACGAATATTTAAAATTCATACTTGCCTCCGAGGCTGAAGGGAATAAAAAATGTCACATTGAGATTCAGGGATTAATAATTCTTTTAAATCATTTTATTTTGCCTAGCATCGGAGCCAATTATGAAGTTTGATAATTTGATACTGGCCCATTCTGGCTTGGGTACTTGAAAAAACGACGGCGTGTTCGTATTAGTTCTCGCATCAAGTGTGAATATAACCTTGGTGATAAGCAATCTTATTAGTTAGGTTAATTAAATATCTGTCTTTCAGACTGGGACGTATTTCGGAAGTGTCATTTGTGCCGTTGATCTGGATAACAATCAGTAAGTTTCACAAAGATTAGAAGGGTGATAGCTGTATCATTGCTCTTTTAAGAGGCCATTTGCACGATGACGTCTTTTTACTACTAAGACCAGAATTCATTTCGTTTCTTCTTTCACATTTAAATTTGTTAATCCTTTGAGGTTTTAATAACAAAAGCCCTAATTTGCCCAAGAAAGCAAAACCCTAATGGATTCTGGTAGTAGCAGTAAAATGGTGTCCTCTTGCAAATGGCCTATAGGGAGCTTAAGCAAAGCTGTTTTTTGGTAATGCACGTCAACCGGAAGTAGACTATTTGCATTCTTGGGTAGTAGTTTTACCAAAATTCGGGCAAATCATCTCTATGAGAGTTAAGACACTGATCAGGTCAAATTTGGTTCGTTCAAGGCGTTTTAAAGTGAAAAACGCCTCTCTTCCGGTTGACGCTTGTCGCTCAAGTAAGTAAGAAACTTTATTTAACCAGGGTAGCCCGTTCAGCAACGAGGCCCTGGGAAATAAAGATGTATACATTTAAAAGTTTAAAGAAAAAATCCGAAGGTAAGTACATAGGGGCCCCTTCTCCGATTTTTGCTGAGGGGAGGGGGGGGGGCGGTCTGTACACAGGCTAGTATGTACAATACTTGATTAAAATCGACAATAATGCAATAAAAGTCTAGTTAATTTAATATAAAAAGTGTGTGCCAAATAATAAGAAAAAAAGTTAAAACCAGGAGATTAAATACCAAATCATCATATTTTATATTTAAGGATGTGGCACTTTTAACACAACTGGGTGAAGAATTGAAATCAATAGCCCCTGCATACTTAAAAGTTACGTTTACGTTTAGGCTTTGGTGGGTGCAGGTCTTTCCTTCTCCTAGTTGCATGATTGTGCAAATCCCCATTCCTGGTGAAATATTGAACAAGATACTTGGGCACCAGATTATTTAAGCACTTAAAAACTACAATACATTTGTGCATTTTCTTAGTTCTGGAAGCTAGATTTAACTAGTTTAGGCACACGGAAAGTGTCTTTTGAGCTGCGCGGTTCTGTTGGCACTGTAGCTCTTTGCAACACCCTTCCGAAATTTCTCCCCACGTAACATCAACATAGTCAAATAACAGCGGCAAGAGTGAAGTGTATACCTGTGTAGAGGCCTCCAGCGTGATCGTATGCGAGACATTTCACGCATTTTCTTGTTTTTATCGCACAGTAACAAAATTGGACCGGTTTTTGTGACAGGTTTACAGACGTTCTCGTCGGTGCTCCATACTTCACTCATGTTAAAGACGAAGGGAGAGTGTACATCTATTTGAACAACGGCCAGGTTGGGTTTCTTTTTTTTTCGTTCTTTGATAGAGACATTCAGATTATAGGACGAGGGCGACTAGAAGGAAGAGACTTGAGAGAGGCTCAGTAAGATGTGAAGAATTATCCATATCTAGGAGGATGTTATCCACCGAGGCTAAAGCCCGAGGTGGATAACATCCCCCGAGATCCGCATTATCCTTCACATCGTACGAAAGCCGAATTCAGTAATTGTTTTATAGCTTCGGATAGTCGTTAACGCCATTTTGATCGATGGTCGTTTAAAATCAAGTATACCATCGAATCGATTGTATATTGCCGACATCTTCCAAATATGGCAAGCGCTCGTTGGTTATGAAGAATTACCAGGGGGGATGGACCCAAAAACGTAATCCACAAATAATATACATCTCGAACTTACTTTTACTTTTTTCACCAGAAAAGTTAAGACGGTTATTGTTATTGACGTAGGTTAAGCTTTATTCCGTTCGCAAAGTGATAAAACTTTAAACGTTTCGTAGCTCGTGTCCGCCACCACGATATTTTCGTTAAAACAGGTTGTAGGATGACGACGACTATCACGTTTTCCCGCCAATATGACGCTGGTTAACGCACGTGCTCTACTAAGTATTGAGAAAATCTCATTCTCGTAGTCGTCCTCGCCTTAGAATCTAAAGGCCTCTAAGAACTAGGGAGAGACCACTTGTAAACATAGTTTCTTTTTACACTTAAATGTTGCTTTACTTTAACCTGCAGGGAGCACTTAATTTGCAAGACAACTTTCTTGAGGGAGATAGAAAAGTGAATGCTCATTTTGGACAAAGTATTGCTGCTGTCGGAGACTTGAATGCCGATGGGTTTCAAGGTAAAGCTGGAGGTTATTTTCTTCTACATGGAATAAGTTTTCCGATTGTACCTGCTTTAAAGAAACACCCTTGAGTGATCCGACCTTTGCAATTCAATCATTATCAAAAGTAGCCTTTGGTTTCGAGGGCGGACAGCACGAACCTAAACCTTGGTAATTCTTGCTAACATGCGAAAACAGTAGCCAATAATGGTGAAATACAAGTAGTAAGCAAAGGTTAGGGAGTGCAGGCGAGCCGCACCGATTGGAAGTGGAGAAGCTTTCATTTTTAGTGAAGTCTAAATGAATGCCAACAAATGCTGGCTATACTTTCCGCGCATCAGTAATAACAACCTGGAGACTGGATTGCGGGCTTCGCTGGTCGCCCGCAACGAATAACATGAGCAGTGTTATCAGTATAGTTACCCTAGCATAGCAACATCAGCATTAGCATGTGACAGCATCAGTCGAATAGTTATGAACGTCATTTTCAGCCCTTCTTCAGTGCATTACGTGGTCACCATCATCAGTAGACTACGAGTAGTCCCCCATTTTTCCTCAGGGATAGTAGAGCGAGCGAAACGCGAGCGCTCGTGAAAATCACCCCACGCGAGAAAAGTCGACACGTGGAGCGATTTTCACGCGCGCTCGCGTTTCGCTCTCCGCTACTATCCTCGAGAAAAAATGGGGGACTACTCGTAGTCTACATCATCAGTAACGTCATTCTCAACATCATCGAATGGAAGTACGACAACCGGCACACGTAGCATTGCTTCCCTAAGCAGTCAGCAATAACACGGTGTCACCTGACCATAAGCAGCCCGGTTTCTGATATGGAAGTACAGTCAAACCCCGGCAATACAGACACTGAGGGGGCCATAGAAAGTGTCGGTATTAAGCGGGTTGAACTTAGAGAAAATGTATTAAAGGGCTTTCTTTCCCCAGGGACAAAGCAACTGACCTGTTAATCCGACGATTACATAATTTTCACGCGTAACGTTATTTTCACCACAGACATTGCTATTGGTGCACCGTTTGAAGGAGATGGCAGTGGTGCTGTGTATTTGTATCATGGAAGCAGCAAAGGAATAGAGTTGCATTACAGACAGGTGAAGAACGTTAGCTCTACAGTATTCAAACATTTTCAAAAGTACAGAGAAAACAAAAGAACGTTGGAAATCAAACTCATTGGCTTATGACACGATGTAGCTTGGTGATTATATGTTAGTTCAGTGGTTAATATACATTTCCAAACATCTGTCTTCATTTAAGATGCATGTCTCATTTCGACAACTTCTGACCAGCAAATTCCTCCGAAGCCACGCTCGATTCAAGATTGAGTTCGGAATCCCTCTCATCTTCAAAGGACAACACAACTCTTTCAGCACTCGCCCAACCCTGGAAAACGGCTGAGGCGTCTTCAAATGAGAAAATGTTTTTGGACTGGTGTGGGTGGAGGAGGGGGTTGTTTAGGCATTCAAACGAACATCTTTTTTTATGTACCGAACTTAATACCTACTTTAAGTTGACCCAAATGGTGCGTTTGACGGTTGATTCAAACGTTGAACGTAAATGATTTGACCCAATTCATTATCACGATGTAAAAATGGTCTACAATGCTTTCCAGTCAAAATAACTTTAAGTAATTTTAATAGCATGGCGGCACATGAGAAGTTCGGTTTTTTAAACGAAGTAGCTCCACAGATTGGAAACTCCCATCAGGCCACTCGAACTTTATCATGGCTCGAACCAAATTAGATACATCGGACGTAATTGAAGGGATTAGGTTTGAAGGGATTAGGCTTGGTACACGAAAAGTTCTTCCTTTGAACTGTGGGCCTTAAATAACCCTGTTCGGGATATACAAGATAATTTCGCCTTTAACCCAAGAGCGTAATTTTATCTGCAACGTAATGAGCAACCTTTCGATGAAGTATCACTCCATTCAAGATGAGTACTACAAGTATCGCTGATTGCGAACTACTTTTTTTTTTTTTTTAGAAAATTTTAGGTATAACAGTCAAAACGGGAATTAAGTTCTTTGGATATTCCTTAACCGGAGGAGTTGATGTTGATGAAAATGGTTATCCCGGTATGTCGTAGTTTCTAAATCCATAATAGCTAGTGTGGTAGAATTTTTATAGTTCTCTAACCCTAATTTTCTAATAATTAGATGTTGCGGTTGGTGCTTATGGCTCAGACCATGCTGTTATTTTAAGGTAAGGGTTGTTAATTTCAGGGTTGTTTAGCGAAGCCAATGTCATAGACACTTCTTTTGAAGGTCGAAAAACGTTGTAAGAGTTCGACAAATTCCAAAGGACTGCAGTTTGCCGGAGTTGACAATATTCTCTTAACTTCCAAACTCGTTTCTTTGGTCAACAAATGATTTTGTGGAATAAACAATAGATGCTGACCACTGTCTTCAGGGCTTGAGACTATATATCTTATTCTCCTACAAGATCAAATGCCTTTTTTCAGCAAAACCCAGGGAAGACGTCAGCTTCCTGAGTGGTGTTCCGTATGTCACTTTCACTCTTTGTATGTGCCAGTACTGTTATACCGTTATATAGTGATTTTGTGCAATAAAAAATAGATTCGGGCTACATGAACAAAACAGAACAAAGAACAACATCAACAGACTTAAGTAATGAAAATGTATGCGTCCGTGTATGCATTGCTTCACCACATTGGCTTCTAAGCTGCCATATACAACCTGCTTTATCAAGTAAATGATGATGAAATGTTGATAACTGTTATACTATTTAGGTCACAGAGTATTGTGAATGTGGTGGGTAAAATTAGACTGAGCGAGCAGCAAATCACCTTGGAAGGCAACCACAGCGTTTGTAACTTAGAGGATACTCAGCACAAATGGTATGATCTCATGTAACTACTAATGGTATTTCAGTGTCATAAAACGTGTATCTCTCGAAGAGCTTTACTAAACGCCTTTTCCAATCAAACAAGAGGATGGTATTCAATCTGATGGCCCGTATTGAAACGACACTTTTTAGACTATTCGAAAATTCATAAGCTTGGGAGTCAGTGCTAGTAGGGATGGTCAGCCATTTTAGTGGGAACCAGATGGAAACGTATAAAACATTACAACCACCACCCGGTTTGCTCAGTCATTAGGGCGCCCTTCACCCGTGTGGAAGGTCGCGCGGAGTAACTGAGAAGTGAAGTCTCTCTCTTTGCCCTGCAGACAGCTAGACCTTCGCGTTCCGCAGATGGTCACGTAGAAATAGCGAGGACACGTAAAAACATTTTACTTAATTTATTAGTACTTTATGCTTAATACATTGAAACTAAAATAAAGTAGGTTTCTTTTTGGGGGGTAATTGGTTATCATTTCTCGCCCGCAGCGTAAACATCACCTTAGTCTTTTACTACAATGATGCAAGTGCTGTTACTGCTAGTAAAGGTTTGTAAATACCGACCGCCAGCAATTCTTTTGTTAGCTAATTATTTGGCTTTGAGAATGGGATACTTGTAAATATAATTTTATTCTTATTTTAACTTTTTCAATTTTTTTTTTCAAAGTTTTAAAAGAGCTCACTTAAGCGGAAACTTTCAAGCTTTAATCAAATTTCTCAGATAGCTTGTATATTCAACTATGTTTAAAACTTGTCATAATGTGGTCCGAAAAAGTTTTAACGAATTACGGACAATGAAAAACTGTTCATTTGATTAAAAAGCAGCACTGATCTCTTCTTTTAGACTTGCACATACGGTACACGGTGGAACTAGACAAGGACAGAGAGCAGAACGCGTTGCGCCGACTGTTCTTCTGGGATGCTTTAAACAGAAAGAGGAAGTTTATCTTGGAAGATAACTGCACTATTCCTACAAGAAACACATATTACAGTCTGCAGCCTCTAACAGTTTATTTAATAGTATGGCAATTCACTTACCCTATAGGTAGATTTCTACTGTCGCGTAATTTTTACGCGCGTAAATAAAATAGAGGCAATGCGTAAAAGGCAGCACATTGAGGAAAAAGTTGAGCGTCATTCAACTTTTAAGTTTGCGCGCGGCCTTCCATACATTGCGTCTACTTTATTTATGCACGTGAAACTGAATTATGCGACAGCAGAAATCCACCCTATGAGTCGTTTGCAAATATTAACCTCAAGGCGGCCTTGTTGGTGTGCTCGCATTCTCGACTCCAGAGCTCTACTCTTTTGCCCATGACTAAGGGGGAGAACAGCTCGCCTTTGCCCTGCGAGGCCAATAGAGTGAAGGCTCTGGAATCGAGAAATAATGGTATAATCGAACTTAAACAATTATTGAAGATTGATTTTGGTAAGTAATGCTTTCCTGTTAATTTCTTTACGTTTACAAAGAAGTTCAAGAGCTTTTAAACTCGAAGTACGTGCTAAATAGATAAAAATCCCTTACTTCAGTTGAACATGACACTTGTGAAATTACAGTAACAGTTGTTTAAATTAGTCGTGTACAGTTTGATGAAAGCTTTGAAAACTCTGACCAATCTGTGCATTAGCGGAGCATTGTGCGCTGGTAAACAAAGCTGAGGACTTTTTTCTCTTCTACGCATCACCATATTAGTTATCTGCAGGTGACGTTATGATGTCTAGACCAATCAAAACTTTGCAAAAGATAATTTAAATGGTAATAACAAATATTTGGACAGGAGCAGATCTCATTTTCCAAAGGATGAAAATTGTGTTTGTTTGGCTACAGCAATATGGCGCCAAACGTTATGCGTTAACGCCCTACAACTTAACTTTTAGAAATGTTCCGCGTAAGTCCCGTGTAAAGACTTAGGGAATACAGAAGTGACCGTCTAGTAAACATCGTGATATACTCCAGCTTTAAAATCTTAACTGTATAAACTCAGTTACTTGCAAAAGCTTAACTGAAAACAAAAAGCGTGTATCGATTGAGCATTTTGCCAGACCCATTTTAAAACGTCTTGTCTCGGTGCCTAGATAACCGTGGTCCCTACAAAGGAAATCTGAGGACATAAGATTAAGCCTTAAACTGGGTTTTAACTGAATAGAGCTATAATAAATTATATCGCTGTGCAAAGTCGAAGAGATTAGGTTGCTCTGTTTAAGAGCACATTTCCATCTTCCGTAACACGTTGCTACAAATAAGATAACAAACAGTATGTTTGCACGGAACGTCTTATTTAGGCCTATTTTGTTATAGTTTAGAAACTTTTAACTGTCTGGATACAATAGGCAGCATGCAGCTAGTCATTCACGTGGTAAAAAACTGCCATGCTGGAGAGCATCAGACTCACTAGGACAAGAAAAACTAAAGAAATTACCATTTTAAATGATGCGAGCTCTTTGTTTGTCTTGTCCCAGTGCGTTTCACGCTCTCTAGCATGGCGGTTTTGTATGATGTGAATGACCAGCTGCAAAGGGCCTATTTCAATTATACCTCCCTCAGTTAAAAGAAAAATCACCACTCATCCTCATGTTACACGCGTTCCTTTCCAACAGTGCTCTTCCCTAGAGTCGTTCGTTTAAAGATCTTTAAATATGAGATCATCTTTGTTTTGTTGCAGGAAAAAGACGAACTTGGTGATGTAAACTCCCCTCTCACCTTTGACCTGAATATTTCCCTTCCTCCACCTCCTTGTTATGGACTGTGTCCTGTTCTTAATGATTACCTGCCAAGCACCTTTCGAGCTGAGGTTATTAAGTAATTTAATATAGGTGGAGGTTTTCTTGCCAAAGCGACGAGATACGGGACATCTTAAACTGAGTAAAACGCTTTCTCGTCAAGAATCCTACTCTCAGAGACCCAGAGGCAGCTAAATAGGAAAGATATTTATCTGAAATGATGAAACCATTACAAAGTGATAGATGTATATGAAATAAAACACAACTGCGAGCATCATTCTTGATTTGACTTCATTTCCGCACTTCGAATATGATTTATTTCATATACATCGATCACATTCATCTCTTTTACAGGAACATATAATTGACCAGCTCCCAACATCAGTGGCTTCATAGTTCAGTTGATTAGAGCATGGCACCGGCATCGCGAGGTCACGGCTTCAAACCCCGTTGAAGTCCTGAATTTTTTTCAGGCTTTTTAAAGCAATTTCATAAATTGCGTTCACAATTGCGAGGATTATTCTTCGTTTGATTTCATTAAAAAGTATTAGGGAGAAGGGCAGAGCACCTCGGTTATTCCTCTCAGTTCCCAATCAGTTCAATATCTTTAGGCCATTCATGAAGCAGGAAACTCAATGCTTTTAAAACTGAGGCTTGTTTCTAGAAAGTCACGGAAACTTTAAATTTGTAGTACGCCTCCTAGTTCGGCCTTTTTTAGGACTGCGCCGGAGACTTGACCGATCTGTGTCATGTTCCACTATGGGATTGTTTGGGGTAACTAGCACTTCTATTGGCTATAACTAGTAATATTATTAAATTCAACCCCGAAACAGTCGCATAGTTCACTGCAACTGAACACCTACCTAGTCTCCCCTTAAGCATGATCTCAAAATGGCCTCTGGCAAATGAAATGTTGATCTTGCAATTAAACACAATAATCATAAACAGCCTCCCTAGCCCGCTTATTGCTCGGTCTTTCGAGAAACGGGCCCCCGCTTCAGTTAGAATAAGTACCCGGGGGCATTTCTTTCTTGTAAACCTTTTCTACAGTATTTCGCTAGTCAGAACATTTCGTCGCCATTTGCTTGCTGCCTGTCTTGGTCTCTGAGGATGCTGAAGTCTAAGATTGCGCAAAATTGCAAAAACTATGTCATCTAAGATAACGTATAATTTTATCGGCGATAAACAAGGCTGCCCCATAGTACATGAGATTTTCAACTTTCGTTCAGTTTGTCAAGCGAATGTCTGCACGATTCAGTTTGATCCATACTTTCAAAACAAAACTGCGTCGCCTGTGGAAGTTTATTTGGAATCGAAAATCATAATTTCTGCTCTACTAACAGTTTGCGACTCTTATTTTTTTTCAATGAAATTAGTGGGATGACACGCGTAACACGCGAGTAGCGAGACACAGAGAATCGAGGGCGTTTGCCCGATACGAAAGGGGGGCCCCCAAGATTTTTTGGCTTCAGCATTAGCGAGGTGCACGTAATACCCACTATATTTTAAGAAACACAGGAGATTTGATGCAGTCTACTCTACTAATCACTGGTAATTGTTTCTTTTTTAGGTCGTTTTTAAGAAAAAATGTAAAAATCATGCCGCTTGTGCTCCAGATTTGGCGCTTAGTGGCAACTTGGTTTTTTCTCCCAGGTAAGTTGGTCAATTTATCGCTTTTGCTTATTCTTCTCTCTTAAATCCAGAATTTTCATTAGGTTCGTTAGGTCCGTTCTTGGCTTACACTTCAACGAAAGCGAATTTAGAAGGAAGGAGTGTACTGCTCTAATATAATTCAAGACATAATTGAAGGTAATCATGAGTGAAAGCTCAACGGAACGAAAGGAAATTTTCCCCTTCTTCAGTTTCGATGTTTTGTTTCTGTCGGTTACTATCCACTATAAGCGAAAAGTACGGAGATGGAAGCGGAAAATCAGTGTCTTTGATATCAACATGGGAGTGTTGCGCGTGCCCGTTGGTATTCTTCACTTTCATTTGGGTATCGGCAGGTCTAGATGATATATCTGAAAGACGAATAATTCGTATAGGAATGAATTCGCTGATAAATTAGGAACGGCCACTTACCAGTACCCTCCACTGACGTTTTTAAATCTAAGGAATTTGGAAGAGGAAGCCATCAGAATGCTTCTCGAGAAACCTTGTTAAAATCCAGTCTCCTTAAGATAAAACGAACCACAAATAAACCCCTAGAGGCTGTTGGTGTAATGGTTCAGAATCCGTGTGCGGCTAGTTAGAGGGTAGAAAATAGGTGGCACCTTAAAATGAAAGCCAGTAGCAAATTCATTGTAGACCCAGAGATCTTTTTGCTTACTGTACTTTTTCCTGTAGGCATGTTAAAGAACTAAGAATTGGAGTTGTCAAGAATTTTACTGTGCAAGTTGTTGTCGAGAATAAAGCTGAAGACTCTGCTTACGCCACCAAGTTTATACTGAAATACCCAGATAAATTAGACTACGTTGGATCTTACCAGGTACTGTTTCTCCTTAAAATGACGATATTAGTAACATTATTTCATTTAACGCATATAGCTCCAGGAAAGCTCCCCCAGTTCGCTATCGACTGAGAACATTAAATAACCGCCAAAGAGCTTATTCGAACACTACCGTATTATATCGACAATGTCCGATCAAAGAAAGAATGATCTTCATTGTAACTATAATCATGGATGTAGTTGTAATCGTCACCATAGTCATAATCGGACTCGTAATCTTAACACTTATAGTAATGCTGTGAAAGGTTTGAACCCAGGAGTCATTTCAAAAGTAGGTTGAGTTTGATCGTCCCGGTGAACTTGGTCCTGAATAGGACTGTTGTTGTTGACAGTGACTGACGTTTCGACAACTCTTAAGTTGTTATAGCGGACCGCAGAGGGATCAGTTACTACTGATCGCGATAGATCTGTTACCTCTAAGACGTTTGCTAAGTTCTTTGAAAATGAGATGGATTGTAAACGTCAACTTAGGAAGACAGTCAAAGAGATTACCTGTGCGGTAGTCATCTTCAGAGTCAAAGTGAGTTGTATTACGTCAGTTGATGGTAGTATACTCTGGTTATTGATCTGACTGGTCAATTACGTCGCGATGTTATTGGTCGTCTGTCAGTTAAGCCGTGATGTTATTGGCTATGAAGACTCGTAATCAGTAATTGGTGCGTTTCGATCCGTCTATTGTCACAGTTAAACAGTCGTCTATTGCTAGTCAAATTGTCAGTTCTCCAGTCGTTATCTCGTAGTTAGTTTTGCTTGATCTCGTCAATAAGTCGTTTGTACGGGGCTGGTAACTGTTGGCTTCGATTCAGTGGCATTTGTTGTAAGTTAGTAAACCAGCTTTCTAAAGTAAGGCGTTGATAGTAGTCTGTAGAATACATTATACATGTCGCAGAGTCCCAGTCAATTTGATGTTTTGTCTTTAATCAATCAGATCAATAACCAGAGTATAATACCATCAACTGACGTGATACAACTCACTTTGATTTTGAAGATGACTACCGCACAGGTTGTCGAAACGTCATTCACTGTCAACAACAACAATCCTATTCAGGACTACGTTCACCCGGACGATCAAACTCAACCTACTTATAGTAATCATAATCATATTCATAATCTGTAATCATAAATCGTAACCGTAAGCGTGAACATAACAATCATAATCATATGCGTAATCACAATTAAATTATAATCGTAATCGTGGAGAAACTCATTTTTTAAAAGCCACCATGGTCGTAAGTAAGAATAAGAAAAAGAAGGAAACCGCTCTTCTTTAACGTAATATGTTAAACAATAGATAAAGAATACATGCTGACGTAAATACCCCTTCTCAGGATACGGTGTTGCCCTAATCTGGCTGGTTAAGTGAGTTGCTTGTGTGTTTTGTGTTTGTATTTTAGGATGTAGACTGTGACAAGACCATCCCTGTTAATGGCACTGCAACAATTAATTGTGATGTAGGAAATCCCATGCAGGGGAAGACAAATGTATGTCAACTATTTTATTCGTTAATCATCTTTTAGTGGGCTAGGATCAAGTTTAACTCAACAGAATGATTAGACTTGCTACAACTCGACCTCGAGTTTCTTAGGGAGCGGAGCAAGATTTTTGGGCCGCCAAGCGGCCGAGCGAGCGACGACGCGCCATCTTAAAACAGACGAAAGTCTAAGGAATGATGTATCTCGACTGTTAGCGTTACTTGTATAAATCTCGATAAGAAGACGCATTACTTCTTTGATTTATTTTCAAAATTGTCTCATAAAAACACTTCAACGGGCGAATATATTTACATCTGATAGCACATCAACGGTACGGACTGTTTATTTGAAAATCCGTTTCGAATACTATCTTATATCTAAGTCTGATGTTCCACCATTAGTTGTGGTGGCACCTTTTTAGCTTTATCATTTCCCTTTAAAAAGTTAATATCCTCAGTCCACTTTGAAAGAGTACTAAACAATTCAATCCCTTTCCCAGTACTACTCCTACCTTGCCTGGTCCCTGGTCCTCATTTTGTCGCGTGATCTACACGTTTCCGATTACGTGATGCACGCGAGTCTGCTACGTCACTAAAATGAATTGACCAAGGTAGACTTAAGAAGACGCCGCACAGGTGTACTAGGCAAACTCCTATCGACAGAGCTGGTTAAATGTTTTCTTTTATCTTGTTTTCTTTTTTAGAAATCATTAATAATCAAGTTTTCGCCGGGTTCCGTAAGAGAAGACTTTATTCTTGAGGTTGAAGCGTTAAGGTGCCTATTTCATTTATCATTTCATTTTCACTTCAATCTTTCTCTCGAGAGGAAGTGCTTATTCTTTTTCGTTTTTAAGCTAAGCTCGGAGAAACAAACGTAGAGTAAGGAGCGCAAGAAATTGTTTACGTTTTTCTTGTCGCTGCGGAAACTATTATTGGTTTACTATTTTGTTGTAGTGTAGGTATTCTTTAGGATCCTTTTAACCTTGGACTAACGTCTTTTAATTAAGGAACCGTCCGCTAAAAATGGCACATGTTCAAAAGCATCATTTCGAATGCGCTGGCTCACCTTCGCTGGAAACATTTTTCTTGCACAATGGAATTGAGGTTACATTCAGGTAGCTTGCACCAGAACGAAGCTTTTTCTGCGGTTAAGGAATCCTTTATACTTACTTTTTTCAAGTAAATGTAAGGCAGGCCTCTGAACCCAATGAAACAGGAATCAAACTATAATTTAACTAACCTTAGCACTGCTTCGTTCGTATGCAAATTTTCGATGATGCATGACCCGTGCATATTGCGCAAAGAGCAAAAGTGAACTTTACATGAATCACCACCCAAAAACAGCACTTAGAAGAACATATTGGTGTTATTAAACCCATTCATGAGGTGCACGCTTCATTGTTTTTCTGATTATTCTTCAGCCAAGATGAGGATGTTGACGATTATGATAACAAGATACGATTTCCGGTCACCGTAAAGTTTGAAGCGGATGTTGAAATCACAGGGTATGTTCAATGGACAAAATTTTGCTGGCGCTATTCATGTAAATTTAAGTACGTAGACAGGCAGAAAATTGTTGTTGCTCAAAATATCTATATGTCGTTACTGTTCATCAGTAGGATGCCTAACGTGTGCAATTCCACAATTGGTTTCGGCTCCTTTAAATCCTATACCATATTGTTGAGCGTTTAGGAGGAGGGTTCGTACCCTGCTTTACGGGTACCCTCTTATCTCATTTTTACCGACAGTTTTCTTTGTCTCTGGAGAAATCCCTTATGTTGTCTCTAAAATCAACCAGCTTATTGAGGACAACTGCGAGGTTTTTCTTGTCCAATCAATAGAAACGTAGCTTAACGTCGCTAATTATTTAAAAATAATGGCTATTTTGTAAGTCAGACATGTAAGTTTGTTGATGCCAATGCTGAATTTGAAGTGATTTATTATTTTGCCATTAAAATGTGTATTTTTGATGAAATAGCCCACGTTCGATATATCAAAATTCTAACATGACTCTGAGGCTTTAGGGACAAAATTGCAAATTTTTGACAACGCCATTGTCTCGCAATTCCCAGAGGAGACTTGAGCGCAAAGAAAACCAAACCAAATATAGAAAATTATGACCATAAAGCGTCGGACGCAGACGGAGTCATTTTACAAATTTAATATATCGATCGTGGGCTTATTAACAGGACTCGCTTGATAGAAAATAGACTCTGTCTATGGTACCCTTCGTGTCTGTAGTAATATAACAGGGTTCGATTGTATTTCTGATTCACAATTTTTATTTTGTAGCTCATCAAAGCAAGATCAAGTTGTGTACTCAGGACCTGTGACAGAAAAGGAAGACGTTAAGAAAGACTTGGACTCTATTGGACCTAAAGTGATCCAAACATTTACAGTAAGTTGAAAATGACTCGCTCACTTACCTCTAGGATATCGTGGCCAAAGAAAATAAGTGTAGAGGATCTGTCAATGGTACTTTAGTCCTATTTGCTTTGTCCTTTCCCATCACCTTCGGTCAGCTATCGAATAATGAAACCCTAATCAAACAGTAGAGATGTGGCCCGGTGAGTCTGATTTCACGATATGTTCAATTCCCTACTGAGTAATATCTGAGATGCGGCTCGAGTGTCGTTTAATAGTCTGCCAGTTATGGCGTGCTGATAGGTTCTAACAGTGACCACCAATGACAACCTCGATCATAGCTAATTTGTTTTTTAGGGTGTCATGCTGGTTTTTATTTAACAATTAATGAATGAGGCTGAGTATCTTATGAAGAATTATGGAGATCGAGGAGGGTGTTAACACCCTCCTCGATCTCCATAATTCTTCATATGATACGAAAGCCGAATTCAATAATTGTTTTATTATTAATTCAAAATAATTCCTAGTTTAAAAACATGGCTAAAACATGCTTACCTCCATCGATCCATGGACGTTAAGTTCATCTTCGATAGTGCACGATTAGGTTTGTCCAGCTCCGCAAATATTCTCCAAATAGCATGTCGCCCTTCAAGTTGTCTTCTTGCTGTTGTTGCCATGTTTTTAGCTATTGTTTCGCCTAGTTCTGACTCTTGAAACGAGTGAAATGTCCGCCATTTTTCAAGTTCACAACCAAAACAACTCAACCTCGTTCCCAGGTCTTCTCGGTTATCGGTGCCTTAACCTGCGAAAACGCTGCATTTTTGACGTCATTTCCTCGTTAAACACACAATTCTTCCAAATTTGGTCATCAGTAACTGGTTATGGTGAATTAAACGTGTGCTTTTAGCCAATCAGAATCGGGAAAATATTTTGAATGAATAATAATAACCTTTATACAACAGCTATTCGCATTCAAGCCTACCTCTCTATACCTCCTTTTTACAAGAACCAGTTAAATATTCGTCAGCTTTTTAAAACAATCCTCGTCATTTTGCCATTCATCACATACAAAGACATTTCTGGGTGCAGGTGTAATTTCCACGGTTAGCTCTTGGTACAGTTTTATTGGTCTCAGCCTGCAATCTCTAAGAAGATTGCTTTGATTGGTTCCGTACTAAAACTTTCGTCAACAGTTGCGAAATAAGGGCCCCAGTGCTGTTGACAGTTCATTGGTGACTGTGAACTTTCCATACTTGTATTCATTGTCCAAGCCTGAAAGCTACCTCCTCTATCTGATACAAATTGAGGTGAGTAAACCACGCACTCTAAAGTGTCAGTAAGTACGGTAAGCAGAATGGTAGGGTCTGACTACTCTTCTTTCCTGCGCTAGAATGTATTTAACGTTGATGACGTCATAGGCCCATGGGCGCCAACAACGTTCACTGAAACGTTACCTAACCATGCACCTTTTATTTCTATCCGCATCCAATGCTTTTGGTTTAAAGACTCATGAATAGTTTATATTAATCAGTGCCAAGGTCAACATTGTACCCCTGTTAACTCAAAATATAATAAAATTTTGTTTAATTGTTCGATCTTCTCCTCCTCCTCAATTCTGTTAGTCTATGGTGTCGACGTTGATATATTCCTGTGTATTGTAATGAGATTGCCGCATTGAAACCAGGAGTAAACAGTCCCTACTATACTACTTTGGTGGAAATTCATGGGATCATTTTAGCCCTTAGGAAATTTTTGTTTGTACGATTCATGTTTAGTTTCAGTTCTGTCAGCATAAAAAGTATTGCGTTTTTGGACGGAATTTGCTTACTCCCCCTCTTTTTCTTACGCGGATTTTCTTCTTTGTACTAATAAATACTGAATTTCAACTTGCTTGCTGTAACCCTCTCTCCGTACTGTCTGTCATAACTGAATATCAAGGCGTTAATAACCCTTTAACACCTTTTTCTTTTCATAAGCTCATGTTCGGCCCAACCCCAGTGTGTTCTAAGCTTGATGATGTGTGCCAATAATGGCGGTTGTAATATTCATTCTATTATTGATCTTCTTTCTGTTTAGTCTTACACTAAAAGCTCTGTGTCGACTGTGTGTTTTTTAACGATAGGTATATAAATATTAAACTGATATGTTGAGTTTTTCACTAGTGTTGACCGAAATAGGACTTCTCAATAATAGCTTAGAAAGTAAAACTTACAATAAACGACTTTGGCTCATTAGTAGGACCGTTTTAAATTTTAGCACCCTGTCTAAATTACATTACCAGTAGTTCATTTATGTAGTTTCTTTACTGACGTCTTTCTCTCTTAAGCTTGATGGCGCCTCAGGAAGCTGTAATGCCAATGTCAATCCTCTGGATATCAAGGTGAGACAGTCTCACTGCCAGTCTTAAAACCTTTTTATTGGACAGGTATCCCAAGCTAGAAACTTGCGCGTCCTTACCTAGGCTCAGTCTCCAGCCGTGGAGGTCTCGATCTGGTTAGGGGAATCGCGGGCGCATCGAGACACCAAGGGCTGGAGACTAAGTCCTTACAGTGAGTGTGAGGGTATGCAACAGTCGAAGTAAAGAACGAAGGAGTTTTTTCTCTGGTGGAAAAACCGGCATGGTTGTTTAGCTTACACTGTTTCATAAAACGCAGGCTTCAGACATTGGACATGAAATCTCCACACGAAAGAACACATTTGCTTGTTATTGGTTTTATTAGGTAACCAATGCCACGCCGCGAACGAACGACAAACAGTCATTACGTAGACGGCGTCACAGTGAGGAAAACGCTTTCCTGGTGAGTACTGGATGCAATTGTCAAGGGTACGCAAGACTGAAGAGTTTTCTACTCTTAAGATATTTGAACAGGTTACTTAGCCGGTAGAAATCTCGAATTCGTCTTGTTATTGTTAAATGTACATTTGTGTGTGTTTTTCCTTTTGGTTCTGAGAGTGAAAGACAACCTCTTGAAGTTATTCTTGCGATGGATACTTCTCCTTGCCGCCATGTTCTTTGATGTCCTCTGTAGCTTAGTCAAACCTGTAGTAAACAGTCAGTTGGGTTGGTCATTTGGTCATTCCCTACGGTTTACAGCTTATAAGGAGTACGAATTGACTATAAAATCGAGTTAATTAAGGATCAGTAGGTGGAAAGGTATCGTCCAGGCGACTGTAGTTCTTAATAGGACTACTGTTGACAGTGAGTGATGTTCCCAGTAATCTACAGAGTCTAAGAGGAAAATTAACTATTATGGTTTGGTTATTTACAGGGCTGCCAACAGGCAAGTTGCAAGGCCTTTCAGTGCAGTCTGGGAACGTTAAAGATGGGTGATAAAGCGGAAATCACAATGACATTTCGACTTTGGAAAAATACACTGCTCAAGGTTTGATCAACATATAATTATTTGTTGCACAATAGGTTTCACTTCCCTTTTCCCACCCCTCCCATTTCTAAGGGTAAGCCTTGGGGTCGATTTTTTGGGGGGCATCCTATCCGCCTTAGTCGGAAGCTAACGCGAAAAGTTCGTATTACGTAAGCGTTTACAAGATGTAACGCACCTGTCTGAGCATATTATGTAATCATCTCTCGCGTTTGACGTTTGTGCGATATCGATGGAATTTGTTACCTTTTTTCACCAAGTAGTTTTAATTTTCATCAGGAACTTGATCCTCTTAAAGCAGTTGATTTGGAAACAACTGCAAAAGTGAAAGTACCAGACGAAATTACACAGGCGGATGAAAACAACGACATGGCGACAGTGAGTAGGCGGAAAGCATTTTACAGTAGAGCAGTATTTAGTATTATTTTGGATTTCGGTTGTTCGCCATTTGTTTGGTTCGCTATCTCATTCCAAACTTTCAGATAGCTGAAGCAACACTAGAGTAGGGAACAATGATTAATTTCGGAGTTTTACAGCATTGTCAAGGTGGGTTCCAAATTTCATGTGACTAAACTGAAGTTGTTGCCAAAATCAGGAATGGAAAAGGGCGCAGTTGCAGGGAATGAGAGAATATAAATGATCTCTGATACCATTATTTTCGAAAAATACCCCTATAATATTGAATACCACCCAGCCTTCTTTTTCAATTTTCTTTTTCTCCAGAGACCATTTTCGAACAATACCAGATTAGTTGAAACGGTGGCCATTAACCGCAGGAAAAAAATGCGTTTTCATGATCATGTGAGTTGGCGTTGGCAGGACGTCAGAGCAGCGTCATTAGGGTCTGACTAGAATAATGTAGATACGTTAACATATGGTGTGTTCATCTTTCTTTGCAGATATTAACGACAGCAAAACCTGCACAGACTGGAGCAAGAAAGAGAAAAATGCCCTGGTGGATCATCTTTTCGTCTGCACTCAGCGGCTGTGTACTACTGGGCGCTGTTATATTTTTGTTATACAAGGTGAGACGGAAGACGATACATAAAAGTTAAGGAACATTCTTCATAGTAATTTTTGGGTTAGGGATGGTGAGGCCCTTAGCTAAGAAATAGCTTATTCATCGAGATATGTTATAATACAGAATAATGCAGTCTGTAAGTATGAAATTCCTTCTGCTCTTTTCGTTATGCGTTTCGCGCACGTGATTTACATTCGTGTTCCTTATACTCATGCCATAATTAGCTTGCTTTCTAACACACTCGTTCATAAGAAACAATATAAGGCAATATGAGATTTGTATTTTGGAAAACGCACAGTTCACGCTACGCCAACGGATAAATTTGAAAACTCAACTTTATTCGTATGTTTAGGCCTACCGCCCATTCTAATCGATTACCTAATTCAGTCATCTGCTGTAAGTCTTACATCCTTGATTGTGGTTGCGGAATGTCTCTGTAGTCAAGGATTCCTTAGCGCAATCAGCTGCAGTAGTAACGAATACTTTCACGCACTATCCGAAAATCGATGTCATAACTTTGCCCAGTCAATCACCGATTCCACTCCTGAGTCATGAATGCGCCAGAGATTCACTTACGTATACATATTTGACATCACGTGATCACAAATTTCCTTATGTTCTCATATCATTTGCACCAACTTCTGATGTGATTTCTGTCGTTTTCTTCAGGGAGGATTTTTCAAAAAGAAACGAACAGAGAATATCTCGAGTCTATCAGAGGAAAGCCGTCCCATCAATCCTTAGTAACCTCTAAGGCACACTAATTTAAAGAAGAAAACAAATAAAATATTGTTTTCATTATTTAATGTGCAAACGCAGTAGTTGTAAGGAAGACAGAAAAAACGCTTTAAACTAGCTGTAGCTTTTCATGTAGCACATCATAGCGCAGAGTACGTAGAACAGTATTTCCTTTTAAGAGCTAAAAGTTTACACTTAGGTTTATCTTATTATAAGGTAAATTGCTGACGGTCGACTACTATCCATAAGCCATACATTTTACACCATCACATTGGCATTGGACGTGTATCTGTATTACGTGTAAGGACAGTTCCGACTGTATAAGATGTATAGTGAAAATCACTGTTGCTGTAGGGTGTTGTCATGGATAACATAATTTATTGCTTCGTTGTATTTTGAACCATATGTGTAAACCCTTTGTCAGACAAAAATTGATAATTTCCTATTTTTACCTCAAGAGAACTTTTAAGCACAGTATGCGCATCCTAAGCAAGCGCATAAATCATCACCATACCGATTTAACCAGGTCAATCCAGTGTCCATGTTATGAAGTTGAAATTGTGATGTAAGCTGCATAAGAACTATTAGACGTAAATAATTAGCAATTATTGAATTCACCCTCTGTATGATGCCAAAGAATTATGCAGATCTTGGAGCTAGGGATCTGAATAATTCTTCAGATCATACTAAAATCCGAATCCAATAATTATTTTATTATTCATTCAAACATAGTTAATTAGTTCATAGTTTTTTAAAAAGCTAAAACGCAACCTCGTTTTCAGGGGTTTTATGTTGCCGTCCCTTTTTTTGTTGCTCATACTGTAGTATATCAGATATCGCAAACGTCTTCCTGTTTGATGAATAATTAACAATTATTCGCCGAAGGCGAAGTTAATATTGTTGAATAATCCCCTATACCAAGTCGAGGGGATTATTCAACAATATTAACTTCGCCTGACATACACGAAGTGATCTCAACAGAATCAGAAAGGAAACCATTAAAAAACGATTACTTTGATTGACGGGTGAATTCATGCGTGAACACGAAGCCGTAAACAGTGGATGGGCAAAAGTTTGATCTTTACAGTATCTTCAAAAATGGCAAATGATAGTTTTAATCTTTTTGTATCGAGTTTTGTAAGCTTTAGCATCAACGGTTTAAAAGAAAACGCCGAAAATTTAAATTACTACCCAATTCTGAGAAGAAAAGTAGAGCTTTATTTGTTTCTGTCAACTCACCGTGAATGAGAAAGTTTTCTTTGTCGCTTCTTGCAAATGCTGTCAACAGCGGCTACGATCAAGGTGAGCGTTCTTCATCTCCAATGTTCTATGCCTTGTTAACTTGCTGGCACGTATAATTTTCGAAAATGTTTGCCTTCCTCTTTTCTCCATAAATAAACTTCTATTTATAAGCAAAATTGGTCTTGCGAGAAAACCCCGAAATCACAAAACAGTGACAAAGCGACCTCGTTTTCCTCTGTAGTGGTAAACATAGCTTCGAACCAAGAGCTATTATGGCTCTTGCTTCGAACGTACAAATGTCAGCTACAGTAAACCGCTTCACAATAAATCACGCTGTTTAAACACCATGAAGTCTTTCCTTGCCTTGAAACTCATCAGCACTTGGATATTCGTGTATTTTCAAAAAGGCTTTACAATGAAACTTTGGCAAAACACCCAGTTCACGACAGCGATTTTGTTCTGCTTTATATTCACTGCCTAGCGCGGTGAATATAACGTCATAGTCTCAGATAGCTAACCAATCAGATTGCTTGAATTACTAAGATCACTGAGTGTGTATATACTAATAGCTAATATTTGTATAGGTAGTTTTGAGGACTAGTCTGATTTTGCTTTTCGGTACACCAGTAGCTAATAGTTAATTTAGGGGTTATGAAGCCATTCAGACGCCTCTGTCATGTTTTTGTGGACTTTAATGTGCATAATGCTCAGTAGAGTTCCTGTCAATTTGATCTTATTACAACTGTTATTAACCAATAAGAACGTGGCACTAATTTATTCCTTCACAATTTGTTAACAAAAAACAAAGCCGGATTGTGCACGGTCAGGGAGCTTCCAACATAAACTGCAGCACCCTTGTTTTTATCTTTGCTGTCATTGCCGCTTTTCAAAACCAGTCTCCTATACTACCTATGGCCACAAATATGCAAGTAAGCAAGGATATTCCTGTATTCTGCGTGGCTGTATTACCCAAGCAGGGGCGTAGCCAGGATTTTTCCAGAGGTACGCACAATTCCCCAAATCCACTACTCTTCCTGCAAAGTCCCAAATCTGCTGTGCCTTCATAACCTTTTTGAGATGATTGACTGAAATACGTCAATCGGTTACGTTTAAAAGAACGATTTGCAAGGAGATTCGGTTTGTCGTTTACACGGAGATGCACGCGAGACTGAAGTGTGAACAGTTTGGTCCCGGCTACAGGGTTTTCGGATGCGAAATCTAATGTGAATACTTTTAAATCCGCAATGTTTAATTTGCCGTCCAATTTCCTACCCACCTGCAAATTATTCCAGTCAATTGCAACCAAATTACCCCACCCCGGGCTGCACATTGCCGTCCATCCCAAGGCTGGACCCAAGAAAGGCATAATAAAAATATCTCCAAATAAAACTCTGCAATCTTTATTTATAGACGTTGCTGCATCACTAAAGGTACATGTTCCTTTTAAAGCTGCAATTATACGTTTTAATCATTCAATCCGTGTTTTAATACACTGCATAGAATACAGAAACCTTTAGGAGAAAGTCAATATTTTGTAAGTTTGAATATACCGTTCTTAGTAAAGGCAAGTACAAGGAAAGTCAGTTTTATAAGCTTTATACGGTGATTGTAGCGAATGCCAGCCACACACTGATCAATTGTACTTGCAAAAATTGACTTGGTTTCTCTTTACTTCCGTTTACTTTGATACCACAGTATCTTAAAAGGTTCAATTGATCAAAACAGTAAAATCCACTCACCTTTGGCTTGTTCTCGTTGGCTTCATGGTTTCCAAATCTTTCCAGACCGTACGTCGCGTGCGTGAAGCGTGGAAGTGGGGAAACATATGTTCGGTCTCAGTCTCTTTCGTCCGAGTCGGCAGTCAAATCCATCCCCACGTCGGGCGAAGAAAGATTCAAATATCCCCTCCCCCGGGAGAACAAGATTGGTTAAATGCTGCCCTACCCCACGGCCAACAAAGACAATCAAATCCCCACTCCATGCCCTGCCTCCCCCCGCCCCCTCCGGCTTTACATTGATAGGTGCATAACAATCTAGTAGTATTTCAGGCTTTTACTTACAAATGAGTGATTTTTATTCCGCTGTACGCCACATTCTTTTTGACCGACAGTAGCAAACTACGTTAGCGTAATCGTGCTCTTAACTTAGTCTAATGCAAAGATGTGCAGGCCGAAGTGAAAACATGGCTTAGCTTTATACCATCCACCTTGTTATTTGCGTGCTATTGATTTTCCCGCCGCTTCTATAAATATATCATTGAAGAGCCGTCCACTGATGAATCACTTCGCTTTTCTGGAAACCGCATTCGAGTGTGGAAAAACACATTCTTTTAGACAAAAAAATATTCAAAAAAGCAAACAGAGTTAAATGAATTGAGGCAAAACAATTGTCTTTTATCTATTTCCTTTTTTGCTATTATTCACTTATTTATTTTATTTTATACTATTTCATTTTTTCACCCTCGACGTTTTCAAGTATGCACGTGCGTACCATGCGTACAGGTAGCTACGCCCCTGCCAAGGTATTGTTTATAAAAATAACGAGTGTACTAATGAGCAACTTAATCTACTGACTGTTTGCGTTACACTCAGCAAAAGCACGTCCTGCTTTTCACTTCTGATTGTCGAATTCCGAAAGGGGAGTTGGAAGCTCAAACTTTCGGCTTTCCACATAATTTAGATCTACTGATCGATATGAGTAACATGGGAAGTCATTTTTTGCCAAGAGAAACCATTACCATTTTTATTTTTTTACTTTTTATCTCTATCGTTAGAAATCGTGACGAATAACGCTAGAGGAAAACTATATGAATTAAGGTAGATTGGTTGGGCGCAATTCGAGGTCAGAACTGGGGAATAAAAGTATGTCTATCTCGAGTTGGAGGAAGAGAACTAGACCGTTGATAAGAAAGCCAAGGAGCGACCTCGGAAGTCCTGCTTTCCACTTCTGATTTTCGACTTCCGAAACGGGGGTTGGAAGTTCCAACTTTCGGCTTTCCGCATAATTTAGTATGAGTAACATGGGAAGTCATTTTTTGCCAAGAGAAACCATTAGCTCATGTACAATTAAGAAAAAGCGTTGATTTGTTTACGTTTTTATTTTTTTACTTCTTAACTCGATCGTTAGGAATCGTGACGACTAACGCTAGAGGAAAACTATATGAATTAAGGTAGACTGGTTGCGTGCAATTCGCGGTCAGAACTGGAGAATAAAAGCAAGGCTCCCTCGAGTTGGAGGAAGACAACTACACCGTTGACACCACTGGAAGAGCGCTATAAAATTAGTAAAATCTAGTATGAATGGTAGAGGATACTTCCAATGAAAACCGAGCAATGACTCGATAAGAAAGAAAACCGCATCGGTGTGTTCCCCACTTCTCCGTCACTTCCAACACAGTCGAGTCCTGCCCCTGTGCCCAGTAAAGGACGAAATAGTCTATATACTACGCGAAGGAGCGGTGGAAATCAAACCTTTAACAAATGCTTTAAAGTAAACATTGCTCAAGGAAAAGCAAAAAAATTATACTCGGCCATAAATGGTGTACTCATTTTTGCGTTGTTCTAGGTGATTAACTGTAAACAAGGCTAGAAATTTTTAATTTTTTGCAGTTTCAATAAGACCGACTGCAGTTGTTTGCCAAAATTAAAATATAGGGACTTAGTGCCCGGTCGTCTCTACAAGACGATGCGTAATCATAACCTAATTTTCGTAGAAATGTATTTGTTTAGTTGACTGTTCAACAAAAACAGAATTAAATTTAGCGAGGAAGAAGAAAATAAAAGTGTTCTCCCATCAGAAAATAAATAGAGACACACGATATATTAATAGGCGATTTTTAGTGTTATAGCGGTCTTAAGGCTTAAAGCCAAACCACAAAGTGTGCCTACATCCGGTGGTCGATACAATGTTCACTTTATGTAGGATATGGGAGAGCAGAATAACTAGAATTTTCGAGCAAATTTCATCAATAAATTGGAAATCATGATCCTAGCATTAACAGACAAACAAGCTGGTTCGAAATGAAGGAATTACTTAACCTGCGAGGAAATCACAGTACAGATATTCTACATAGCAGGCGTCATTGAAGGGAGTAGAAAGGAAAAATAATTAGGGATGCAAGCTGATGCAAGCACGCGAAAACTGCTGTGAAGCGCAGTCTTAAAAGACGTTAATAAAAAAACATGGATTCTTCTTGGACTCTTGATTTAAGTATAAGTTCGTAAATATCTTTTTCTGACAACATCCAACGTACGTTGTCTCTTACCACTGTAACCCAGTCATTTCCCTGTGAGAAAAAAGTATGGCAGTTAATTTAAAATCCGCACATGTAGTAGACGGACAACAATCATCATTTACGTGACCCAGACTAGACTGAGTGCTGAAGTCCACCTCCAATAATATTTTGGTTTGGGAGGCAAAACTTTTATTTCCGTCAGTATTATGACGTCACATATCGATAACCAAGCAGCAGATAACGATCGTTCAGACTCAGTTGATTTGTGAAAGCAGAAAACAGTCGCCACGTAAATTGTAATCATCGTTTATCATGGAGAGTAAGATAATATGGACTCTTCTATATTATATTTTCATTTTCAAAGTTAGAAAAGTTTCTGGATTTAACTTGGATTCCAGCTCGCCCATTATATACGAGGGACCGCTTCAGAGCAAGATGTTTGGTTATTCATTGGCGACTCATTCGTACAGTGGGAAACAATGGTAGGAATTATAATTATTATAGTTAAATTGCCACATATTCTCTAACGTTGTGACCGCACTTTATTTTTGTTTATTTTTTCCTCGCCATCTTCTGGCACGCTGCTTCCTTTTAATTGGCTTTCCTTAAATCATTGGTGTGAATCTTCATCTCGGTACTACTACTACTCCTACTACTCAGTACGAATCGAATATAAAATACTTTTGACATTGAAATGATGAAAATGAAATTCTTCTGCAGTTGAAAGTCAAACCAATCAACCAAAGTAAAATAGAAAGTGAAGTACACGTAACGTAACATAATTTCCACATCAGCGTCGTTCTGATTTCCTCCAGACTGATTCACGCCACGGTGATCCAAAATGAATGAATAGTATGAATTATAAAGTTGAATGAATGACAAACCTAACCAGTTTAAAAAAGAACCTGAAAAGACATGAATTCAGACTTGACTGCCCTTCGAGATTCTTTCAGGTTCTTTTTCAGTTGTTTAGGTTGTTTATTCTTTGAGATTCAACCGCACGGATCACATTCACTTTCATATCTTCATCCGCAGTTCACAAATATAATTTATTTCATACATTCTTAAGTCAGATTGAAAAGTTTCTCGCCCTATTTTAAGCAGGCGATATCGCTGATAACAGATTAATTTTAAGAGTTGAACCATGCTTTAAGTTCTTCGTTTTTGTGGGGTAAATATTCCCCACTCTGGTGTACTTCAACAGCATTTTAAGTCACGTTGTTTTTTTCGATTTCCTTAAACACTTCAAAGTATAATTTTCTTGAAGTACAACTGCTGGAAGCAAGGTTCGCGTTCGTGATCAATAATCCGTTAATCTCCAAAACTGAGTTAATAAGGTCGCTAATCCTAAGTCCTACTTTTTAATGCTCTTAAAGGTGAAAATAGATGTAACATTTACGGCGGATGGTTTCACTTGCATCTAACAGCTGTAATGTTGAAGGGTCCACGAATTCCGGAAGTCTTTAGAGAAATACTCGCACAATGTCGAGGCGTGATTTTAGAGTGTCTCCTGACGACTGGGCAAAACATAGATAGAATTAAAAGAACGTGAAATTTTTGAAAGTCAACCCACGTATCGGAAACATCTTTTATGTGGGTCTACAACCCTTTTCCGATTTTTCCAGGTTCTCTTTTTTAATCCCAAACTGATGAAAGAGATAGTATTTTACCCATAAACAGGAGGTTTTGGGTTCCTACTGTAAATTTATCCCGTCGACAACAGACAACGTCTCCTGAACGTATCATTTTTCCACCCAGACAGACGGATGTTTAGAAACAACAACCGACCCAACGACAATTTCCGCCAAATACATTGAAAACACTTTTTAGGCTATCCAGAGTACTTTTAAATCTCTAGAAATGCATTCTAAGCGGCGCTATAAAATTTGAACCTGTTCGGTCATCCGAGGGGAACTTGAGTCTTTTCCAAATTACAAGGGCTTCAGTATTATTTTCCCTAAAATCTCAGATACAATTTAATGTATTATGAATGTGAGAATTTTTCTGATTCCTCTCTCCAGCACATTCTTGAATCCTAAAATTTTTAGGTTTCCTTTTTTACGAAAAATATCCTAACATGGGCAGTGAAATGTGAAAAATTAAACTTCAGAAAATCGTAGGGAATTTATTAGATAAGCTTCGAAAATTGTACATGAATGGAATGGTCATCTAGAAATTTTCAGCCCTCCTCAAGAAATAGAAAATTTTCCGAACAGATATTTTACAGAAAACAGTCGTTGGGTGTCCCTGGTGAAGTCTTCTCTTAACACAGCTGCTTTATTTATAGCATAGCCAAATCATGTATTGAAACCTATTATCAGTGTTTGCTGCACTGTTTTGTGTTCCAAGGAGTTTAAATGTGTTATAACGTAATATAGCCTGCGTGGCAGACACTCTTTACCGCCTGTATAGAGCGTCTCTGAATTAGTTCGCAGACTGGGGACTATATAATTCGCCACTTTAGAAACGAGAAGGAAGTGGGCCGAGTTAGCTTTCGCAAAGACTTCTGGGACTGTCGCTAAAGACAGAAAAAGAAGTTGGCCAATAGCTGACCGGCACGTCACCAGTAACGAACCAGGAACAATTGCGGGACGCGTCTAGGTTCCAGTTCCATTCTCGTCTCTAAAGTGGCGAATACAATGCGTGGGCCGGCTGCAACTAAGCTAAACGTGGTATTAAACGTTTCCATCTGGGAATCGCGAAAGGTGAGGGTCACGCGCGAGCAGCGGGGGAAGTGAAGTAGTTAAGTACGTGGGTAGTTCATTTGCGCGCGACCGTCGAGTCTCGCGATTTCTAGATGGAGCTAGGTAATAACGTACAGGTTCTTGCTATATGTAGTTTTTTGTGTGTTTCCTTTTTTCGCAGGCTTTTGGTCGGTGCTCCTTCAAGTAATGTAACGTCTTTGTCCAGTTCTGAGACGTTTGTTAATTATGGAGCAATTTTCAAGTGTGAATACAAACCTGGTTCTAAGGAATGTACAGAAATTCTGTTGGACAATCAACGTAAGTCGGCATTCTGAAAAATGGGGTATATCGTGCAACGGAAATGTTGTAATACTTCTATTAATAATTAGATCTATTTGTTAATGAAACACAGACAAACAAACCCTCCCACCCGAAAAAAGCAAAAAAACAAACAAAAACAAAAAAAGACACAGTGAAGTAGGTAATGAATGATCATATTGCTAGGCTGCTGGTATCAAGTGTTGTCAAGAGACTGAGGATAATCTCTCAGATCTCTTGGAGTCTTCACTAGCAGTGAAATCACGGGAGAAAGATTTTTCGATCTCGGTGTTGCGCCGTTCATTTTCGCGGCGAATTCTTCGGGCGCTCCAACAAAACTGCTAGAATCCTTCACCACGCCCCTTCACCACGCCACAATGTGCAACACGTCTGGGAATAAGATCTGAAATGTGAGTCTCGCGCAACACTAGGCATTGAAAGTGATTAATAGGCAACTCGTGTAGCGTGAGGAGAAAGGTTCGGCCCGCTCCTGTACATGTGAGCCAAGATTAGTTCTAGAATTGTTTCTTTTAACAATCAAGGTTTATCAAAGTCGCGTGGTAGGTATTTGATCTTACACCAGCCTTTTCTTGTTACAGCTTTAAAAACGGAAGAGCTAACGTTGTCAAATAGAACTATCGAAGTCGAAACAGAAGTGAAAACCAACCAATGGCTTGGAGCAACCTTGTACAGCACTGGAGAGAATGGGAGAGTAGTGGTAAGTTATTTTTTGCATCACCGTCTGGTGGATAGTTCTTCTTGCCAGTCTCAAGATTTCACTTGAGCGGAATTTGCCTCGGATCCCAATGTCCGAGCGGAGACGAGCGCCTCCCTCCCGGAACGAAAAATCGAGAAAAAGTTTCAATATTCTTTCCCCGATTTTTCCTCGCCCATGCTTTTTCTTACGTTCGATCGTCTAAATTTTGGGTAGCCTGTCTGCAAGCGTAAAAAGGGGCAGGGTAAGGAGGTAAAAAGGGAAGGGGATTATTCAAAGGAAGCTGCTTGATCGAGAGGGCATCTATTATGTTCCTCTCTGATGGACTGAAACCTTGCTAAGTTTTCTTTTTCTGCAAGCATGCACCTACGAAGATTTAGATAACTGGAGCAGCCTAACTATTCGCCACAATGATACCATGCACCATTTGGTCAAAAGAGGGATATCGCTATTCAGCGGATAAATCACTCCCCATTGGATATGTGTTAGGGAACCAATTGCTTGGATAGTGATGTATCCTCTTTATCTCCAGTGTATAAAAGTGTGCCTTGCAATATCATTACTATTTGAGATGATGTATAAGTGAAATTTTCGTTAGCTAGTCCTATTCGTTAGCTAGACCAGTAAAAGACAATGTTAATTGTCCATTGTCCATAATTGCTCATTGCGAGGTTGCGCCTGAGTTTTGTCGCATTGCATTATGGGACTGGTTTCGGGAAGAAGTTCGACCCAGTTTCCCATTCAAAACTCGTTATAGCTAATGAAGGAAGAGATAGCATCCTATAAGAGAGTGAACGAATATAAGTCTGTAAACGCATACAGATCTGTGCTTTTACAGCTTTCATCCACACGTGAACAATATTATTCCGTTTGCTAAGTTATCCAAAGACACTGGGCAGTGACTGGGGACCGTTTGCGATAATGATTTTACCATCGTTTACATGTGGTTGGCGAAGAATGAGAAGGAACAAGTGTGGGCATAGCCAATAACAGACATCTTACAATTGGCCGGTATTGTGTTCTTACAAGATCCATGGTCAAAACACCAAACACTAATAATTACAGATTAACTTTTGTACTCTTTGACTTTTTCAACAGACATGCGCGCCGAGATATAAAACCGCACGACCAACAGATGACGAAAGATTTAAAAATAATCGATACCTTGGATTAAATGGAAGATGTTTCCAATTAAGGCAAGATCTGGAAGGGGTTCAAGGACCAGAGGTCACTCCTTGTGGAGGTAAGCATTTTTTTGTTATAATGAAAAAGCTTAGAAGCAGAAACGCGTTCATGCATGAGCACCAACCTATTATTTGTCAAAGCGAAGACGGTTTTCTACCATCTCTAAGCGTTAATGCTCTCTTGAGGTCTATAAGGTTGTCAGAGACGGAATGTACAAGTTAGCTTCACCTTTTACTGAAAGGGTACGCTGGGTGCCCGAGAATTTTCATGTGTGATTTTCGGTTTCGCCGATGATCTGCCAGCCTGCAGCTGACACCAAAGCATCTCGCGAATCATAATAATAAACAACCACAATAGTAACAATAATATGAAATAATAATGATTGTGATAGCAAAATAAACTTCCCTTACCTGAGGGTTAACGGCCTTCTTAATAATTCTGGTTGTTTAAAAATTATATAAACACTTCGTATACCAAATTTAAATTCTCTTATTTTACTGATAAAACTGAACGGTAATGACTTTTACCTTAGACAGAGTATATGGAGACTTTGGAAACTGTCTGAGTGGGATTAGTGCAGAGTACAGCGCAGACGGATATGATTTACTCTTAGGATCTGTAGGGATTCGACACAGACAAGGTAATTGTTCAGAGAAATGATTTACAAGGTTAGAAGTTTTATTTTCTTATTCACTTACAGGCATGGAACTCTCTCATTGCAAGCTCCATCACGAGGTCCAAAAACGTAAAAAAAATGTACACGAATAGGTAGTGGAGACAATTTTAGGACAAAAATTGTAAAAGACATGAATATGAGAATCAGTAACACAGTAATACTTGCCTCAAAAGTTGACAATCTCAAGTCCACCAAGCCCTCGCAGTGGTGGAATGCTCACCGTCAAACGGATTGCCGGAATGGTTCCCTGTGCCAGTTCGGACAGCATTCTCTCTAGTTTACACCTGGATGGCGAACTCAGTGAACTTGAAATCGCCAACAAAATTAACTTCGCCCTCCTTGCTTCCATGGAAATCTTCCAGCCAGTAGAGGCAGTTGCACCTTATAAGGATGACCCCTATGTATTCACTCTATCGGAGCCTGCAGTCCTGGCCGCCCTGAAACAACTAAATCCACGCAAAGCAGCCGGACCCGACTGTGTCCCCAATTGGCTCCTGCGTGAGTACGCCAAGGTTCTTGCCGAACCAGTAACAGCAATTCTCAACTCTAGCTATAAAGAGCAAAGACTACCTTCGCCCTCGAAGCTAGCTGATGTCTTCCCGCTCCCCAAGCAGAAGCCTGTGGAAGATCTTAGCAAGCAGCTGCGCCCCATCTCCCTGACTCCCGCCATCTCGAAACTAGCGGAAGATTTTGTTGTATCGACCCATGTCGGCTCTGCTGTGCTCAAGATCATTGACCATGATCAATACGGCAGAATTCCTAAATCCTCCACCCTGTTCGCTCTGATCTCGATGTTTCACCACTGGTTACAAGCTACAGACGATACCAGTGCCGCTGCCAGGCCTTTGACCTTATCGATCATAAGATACTTGTTGCTAAGATCAATGGCCTCGATATGCCGCACAGCATCAAAGCTTGGGTGACTGACTTTTTGACAAATCGACACCAACGCGTCAAGTTGTCCTCAGACTGCTACTCTGAGTGGAGTCCAGTCCCCGCCGGAGTTCCTCAAGGGACCATGCTTGGCCCTTGGCTTTTCTTACTCATGATCAATGATCTCAAGGTTGACGCTCTCACGTGGAAGTATGTGGACGATACGACAATCTCTCAAACCATACCTCGCGGCTCCCTGGGTGATGTGCAACACGCTGTTACTGCCGTGTAGGACTGGTCTCGGTCCCAGCGGAAGCAGCTAAATGCCGACAAGTGCAAGGAGATGGTTATCGACATTAAGAAGATCTCTCATAACTTTTCCCCCCTCAAGGTAGACGGAAACGAGCTTCCTGTCACCGACTGTGCGAAGATACTATTGTAGGTGTTACGATATCCAGTGACTTGAAATGGAACAATCACATTGTAGATTGCATTAAGAAAGCAAATAAGCCCCTGTATTTCATTGTTCTCTTGAAAAGGACTCGTGTTCCCCTTAACGACATTGTGAATTTCTATTGTACAACAATCAGACCTGTACTAGAATACTGCGCTCCAGTTTTCCATCACGCATTCCCGGCTTATCTTAATGAGGATATAGAAAGAATTCATAAAAGAGCGCTTTCCAGAATTTCACCTGCCATGTCATATAGGGAATGCCTTGACAGCCTAGGCCTGCCAATGCTATATGATAGACGCAACGGACTATGTAGACAATTGTTCGATTCTATTGCTGTCAATCCCGGACATAAGTTATACCACCTGCTGCCACCAAGAAAACAATCCAGCTATAATTTAAGGCGTCAAAAGTTATATAATTTGGCACGTTCCCATACGGAACGTTTCAGACGCTCTTTTGTTTATGCTCTGTCCCAGGGTTGCGCATAAAGCTCTTAAAGTTTCAAAGAAGTCGATTTTATTGTAAGATTTTTATACATATTTTTTAGCTTTACTACACAAGGTATTTATATTCATATGATTGTAATTAGTTTTATATATTTTAACTAATGTTATTTGTAAAATACGCAATTCAGTTTTATGACTGCAAAGTAATTATACAATAAACGATTTATCTATCTATTATCTATCTATCTATCCATTATTCGATCTAGCCAGCCTAGTCGGACACACTCTCAATAGTTTGGGTTGAGAGGGAAGGGTAACGCGGCTTGTCGATATCACAAAGTAACATTCTTATAGTGAGATACAAGCAGGTATCATTTAACAAGTTCTCTCTTGAAGTGGCCCTCTAAACATTCGATGGTCCGGAGATGGGATTATGGGGAGGGACTCAGAGTTCTCGGACTCTGCAGTAAGAACTGTTCTGAAATACAACTGCAGGGTTGGCCCTCTTTGACAGCTTTCAGTAGAGCGCCTTTCGAGGGGCTTGTGAGCCTATGTCTGGTGCGTATTGTAAGGTAAGGTGAAACAATCTTACTGACTAGGCTTCATATTTTCCTTAGGTGGTGTTGCAGCTTATTCTTTAAACCAGACGAAGACAGTATTTACCCCGAAAATTTCATGGCGAGTAGAGTCCTATATGGGTAAGAACAACAAAATACTATATGGAGATAATCTAACCACAGCAACGACAATTTTAGACTGAAATAAGTGAACGTTTATCTAGCTAGGAGGTATAATAATAGACTATACAATCAATATATATATGTACGTAGTACAGTAAAACGTGCTCTTTATTTCGACCAGGTTATGCCGTTACAAGCGGACACTTTTTAAGCCCAAGAACTACAGGTATGGTTTGGAATGACAAAGGATTTGAATTGGGGTATATAGACACAGACCTTGCTCCCGGCTTTTACTCTCCCGCGGCGCTTATCGCTCATTTACGTCGTAAAGCTTTTGTTATTCAATTGAAAAATTTGATACAATCAAGATATTTTGCCCTTCTCAGCTCTCTTCCATAAATTCGGGTTGATTTGGTCACAAATTTTTGTCTCAGCGTCAGCACCGATGGAAAGAAGCACTGATTGTCACATTGTCTGTTTTCTACTTTTTTTTTCTTGGATAGAATATGTCGGTGGTGCTCCCAGAGGCAACGGTTTATACGGAAAAGTAAGTAAAAGATAAATAGTTTTTTTTCTTCCTAGAGACGGTTGAGGTGGGGATAAAAATTGTAGATTAATTTAGAGATTGACCGGCATTGATTTGTATGGGTTGCGGTTATTCTTTCATAGCTTTTATTGATTACATGTTTATTTTTACCACAGGTGCTTCTGTACTCAAGGCAAAACGAAAGTATAAAAGTAACAACTGAAATCGTCCGGCCTCAAGGAATCACAGTAAGTAAGACTCAAACCAAATATCTTTTCTAAATTACAAAGAACCTGAGCCTGGTAAGTTGTTCAAATGTCGGATGGCGCTATCCTCAGGATAATTCACTATTCAGTGGACAAGTATTAGGGAAAACCAATTGCGTTATCCACTGGATAGAGATTTATCCATTAGTTAGCGTTATTTACCTTTTAGCCTGCGGGGCAGACGGTTTTTTTCTCGTTCGTGTTTCGTAAAGTAAAAGATCAGCTGCGCGAACACTCACCTGAACCGAAGTCAAACGAGACGGGAGAATATGGAGTGTCGTCTTTTTAATTTCCCTCGCCCCCTCCCCAATAGTTTTCTAATTTGACCTCGGATCAGCTTTTACCCTGCTACATCTCTTACTTTACAAAACACAAAAGAAAAACACACTAAAAGCCGAAAATAAAGGCTATCCACTTTTTGACCGACAGGGGCCAGCTGAAGCGATCGCGCGAGGGAGTTTGATCTGAAGTAGTCTTTGGAGTTCGACGAGATGTCCTGTTTAGTTTACGGAAGGCTTTTCTTACCTGCGCACTCTATGTCTTTAAGAAGCAGATTGTTTCTCTTTTTCCAATACACTATGTAAACTGTTTTGTCCCTTAGATTGGAAGCTATTTTGGAAGCGTTCTTTGTAGTGTCGATACCAACAATGATATGTAAGTTTTGAGATTAATAAGTTAAGCGTCCATTTTTTGATCAGCCAGTTAACTATAAAGTTTTCCCTTCGGCTAACTACAGGACGATACAAATAGCGAGTTTTTATACTAAAAACTTGTATGATAAGATGGCGTGATTTTGTCACCGATCAGTAGTTGTAGAAAATAAAGCAGAACCAAATAAAATTCAGACTATTTTCGATAACCAACAGAAAACCATAGGCGAGGGTCATATTTTGAAATTTCTTCCTCTTGAGGATAAGGACAATGCGTCAGTTTTTAAAGAACTTGTATTTTTATAGATATAATATGTAATGTTGTTCTAGCATCGACTATTTCACTTTATTTTTGCGAAAGAAGCCAGTTCTAAACTTCAATTACCGTACGTTTTAACAGGTATTCAGATTTATTGGTAGGAGCACCACGAGCCCAACATAGGGACGAAGGACGAGTATTTGTTTATGTTAACAACAGAAAGGTACGCTACAATCGCTTTTCAAAGCGTTTCGATGTAAAATCACCATGAATTTGTTGTTATTTGTCGCTAGCCAGTCAGTCAGTCAGCGAGTCCCACAGTCAGTCAGTCCATGATCAGCCAGCCAGTCAGTCAGTCAGTTAGTAAGTCAGCTAGGTCCGATTTCTAAAACTCCACCGAGCTTTTTTCTGACACTTCCACTACCCAGCTAGGAGAAGTACTTTTCATTGATGAGCAACCGTATGTAGAAGTATTTTGCGGAGATAGTTTGAGCGCTACTGACCTCAGATGAAGTTGCATACAGGTCAACTAAATTTGCTTTTGTTTTTAGTTCACTAATATATATCGCGATCGCCATTTTAGGGAGCTCTCAATCTTCAAGACTCTCAAGGCTTAAAAGGAGACAATATACCAAAAGCGCAGTTTGGAACGACGATTGCAAGAGTCGGAGACCTTAACAAAGATGGTTACCAAGGTAACATTCATCTTAATTCCATGATTGTATGAAGCGCGCTGATCATAAGAATTTTGGTGGTTACAACATATGTAATCGACGAAGACCAGCTTGAAACGTTGTGGAAGTGCTGTAAAAGACATCACCTATATGATGGGCGCCAATTTTTAGCCCGCAAGTTTGAGATTTCAAGACTTTAATCTTGTCTGCGCACGCAGCTTACATTGTGAAAGAAACTGAACCGGGTTATTCAAGTCTTGTGCTTATTTTCTTACTGGTGATAGAGGTGAGGCTATTTAACAAAGACATCATTTTTTTATGGTGGGGAAGGGGGTACAACAAGTCGCCATTAGTATTCCAGCCTATGGAGTGTTGGATCATAGTTGTGTACACTATTGGGTGCATGGTGACCTTGAAAGAAGTACATGCATTCTATTGGATAAATAATAATGTTTTAGGGTCATACGACATGTATAATACCTAGTTTATGGTATCGTGATTTCAAATCCGCCAGGGCTTTTTTCTTTTCTTGACGATTACATATATAAATTTTGTACCAGATATTGCTGTTGGAGCTCCCTTTGAAGGCGAAGATGGTAGTGGTGCTGTTTATATTTATCGTGGTTCCTATAATGGAATCAATCCTAACTATAAACAGGTATGAGATAATAGCGTGTGTTACAATATATCAGTATTTTTCTTTCAAAACGCTTAAAAATTAAACGAGAATAGCCTCTAAATCTTACAACCTACTTAATTTAGATTTTCCGGCTGAATGTCCACAAACAATGCCTCACAATGATAACCATAATTTTTTATACCTTATTTAATATACTTTTATTGCTTAAGTTTTAGTTGGTTCATATGCACGACCCCATAAGCGGCAACGCCTTAATCACCATCGTGTTGAAATAAAAGTTATTGTTAGTACTTGTACTTAAAGGATATATATTTAAAGTAAATACATCGCGAGACAGATAACGCAATTTGTTACGCTGCTACATATAAATGAAGCTTAATAACCAAAGTTTTTAACGGTTACAATTGGCTGAAAATGTCACGCTTCTTTGTAAATCAATCAAAATTGAAAAGAAAATAATCATTACGCGTTTCTCTGCGCTTAGCACTCGCCAGGAGCGGTTGTGTGGTGTTTTGATTTTTAAACAAATTTTATTGACAACAATGCTAACTATTAAAATCCTATTTACAATTAATTCGATTGAAAAAAAGAAAAAAACTATTCATTCAAAACACTATTTACAATTACTGTCGATTTCAAAAGCACTTAATTTAGCTTAGAAAGAGTTAATTTAACTAAGAAAAATTTATTCGTGGTGTTTTGATTGATTCTTGGTAGTTAATTACTGGTCATTTTAATTACTTTGACTTTTCTTATTATACCTTCGACATTCCAATAAAAACCTTCGGTATTCTCCTGTTTTTTAAAAGTCACAAAGTGCAAGCAGGTCCTAAATGGGGCCTGATAAAGTATTTTCGCTCAGCAACGCCTAGTGTTAGCGACGGAGAACAATGAGAAGAAGCAACGTAAGACGTACAAAAATGGACTGCCGACACTTGCTTACAATTAAGTGATGACCTTAAGTATGCACGTACACTATAAAAATTGTTTTGATGATACATCAAACTCAGTATCTCAGAAAAGCAATGAAAGATCTCTGTTAAGCGTAACAGAGAATTCTTTGTTGTTTTTTGTTTTAAAGCCTTTTAAAGCCTTCGTGGCTTGGTCTAGATTGTTAAAGAATAAATGAATTTTACTTTAGAATGTTCCACATTGAACACATAAGAAATTTTACAGGTGATACTTAATCTAACTTATTTCTTTGTTTTCTCGCATGCAGAAAATACAAGGCTCGTCAGTGGAGACTGGTCTAAGGCAGTTTGGTTCTGCTATAGCGGGAACTGTTGACATGGATGAAAATGGTTACCCGGGTACGTTATAAAATGTACTCTTAGGTTCACTAGTTTATTAGTTCTTACGGTTAATGTGAAGTATAACCCTCTCTAAATAATATCTCCACTTCATCCCACTCCGCGCTGTATATCAGTATGTTGAACAGGATCGTTTGGGTGAGGGTAAATTTGAGTGGAGCAGTTGGCGACGTCATTTTCGATAAGCTCGTCCGGGAAACTATCTGAAGACGTCACTAACTATAATAAAAATTTCTGTTTAGGACCACGAGTTATGACGGAGATCATATTCAACCTACTTTTAAAAAGATATTGAGTCCAAAATATAATATGCTCTGTTGTATCAACGTGCTGACTTCTCTTCCGCACCTTTTAGTTTTGTAATAGGCCATATTTTAAGCTGTCGTAATTGTTTATCAGCAATTCCACTTGCACCTTAGAGACAAGCAAGAGACCTTAGGTCCAAACCTTCAAGGAACACTCGACTTATTAATATCTGTTAATCTTTGATGCGGTGCAAAATTGCAGTCAAAGTGAAATAACGACTCTACTCTGTTCGCTTCGAAAACAGATGTTGCAGTCGGTGCCTACAGATCAAATAAAGCCGTGCTCTTTAGGTGGGTAAAGTTGGTCAAAGCTTCTGCATGTTAACCGGTCACATGATGTATGAGCCTTACGTTTTTCTGCCGAACATGGAATAGCTGAGTACCCCTAGTTTGCCCCTAGTTCTCGTTCTTGAAGTTTTTTCTTCTTTCCCGTTTTTCCAAGTGTTGCTTTACGTTGCTTTTTTCACCGCGATTGTTACAACGTGCAAGTATTTCTTTAAGTTTTGATTGGTTCAAAATGCCGCTACGTACATCCGGGCTTTTGGGCATAGTCGCGCGACATCAAAGTCCCGTGATTACGGCGGTGGAGGTAACCTAGCTGGAAAAGGCCCACAACGCGTATATTCGAAGGGGGATTACTACTTAAAGCTAGATAAAAGAGATAGTAAGCGTACCTGTGACGTTAATAAATAACAGATTAATGAAGGAAATAAGATGTTCTCAGTTTATACTCAAAGTTAAACGGGTCGTCTAACTGTTGACGGTTTTCATCATATTTTCCGTGTCACGTTTCACTTTAATAATCTCACCACTAAGTCCCTTGTTCTTTGAGAACTTCAGTTATTGACTCAATCTGTTCATATTTACTTTAAAGGACCCGTTCAATCGTAAACTTGGAGGGAAGAATCCATCTGAGCAGAAAACAGATTGCTATTGAAAGCAACAACGGATTGTGCCGCTTACCTGACGGAAATGACCACAAGTGGTAAGTCCTGATCATTTAACACAACCGACTTGATTTTTAGCAACTTACGTTCCTTCTCTGTTTTTCAGCTTGAACCTATCAGTTTGCTTTACACTCAAAAACAAAGCGATACAATATGACAGAGGTAAGACAATTCTGTATTCTTCTGATTCTTCAGTCTGTATCGGGCTGTATATTAATTCATGCGTGTATTCATCTTGAACGTTATAAAAACTTTGCACAAAGTTAAATTCACGCGGCCAGTGGTCTGTCTATCCGTCCCATGACTCCCCGCGTTTTCTGTTTACCAGAGCATAGTGGCATCTGGATATGAGGCACAAAGTTTGTTTATAAATTGGAACAGAAAAACCGTCTATTTGTAAGAAAAAATGTTCAGAAATTCTGACACGAACAAAATTTCCTCAAAATGTTGAGACTGGTTGAAGTTCCTGTCAGTTAAACAGACGCTTTACTTTATGAACGTTCAGTGCTTAGTGCTAAAACGTTCCTATTGTAATCTGTTGTATCGATCTGTAGACTTACCGCTTTCGTACACCGTCGAGTTGGATAAAAAGAAAGCATATCTCGAGAGCGAGTCTAATGCTTTTCGCCGGATGTTTTTTATGGACGACTTAACAAAAGAAAGGATATTCGTCATAAGTGGAGTTCATAATTTAACAAAACAAAGAGACACCTACTGCTCAAGACCAAGGACTGTTTATCTGAAGGTATTTAAAAGTAGTTAGAGAAAGTTAAGACGACTTTTAGCCAGTAGGAAGGCATTTACTCTTAGCCTAGTATTTTTAATTTTTGCCCCTGCTCCCACCCCCTCCCTACTTGTGCGTTTTAGTTCCTTGATGGGGAGTCTCTGTCGAAGGGTTTACTCTATGATATCATTATGTTGCCGGTACTAATTATTTGTGCAGCCGGGTAGATAGACGCAAGGAAGAACACCGCGCTGGAGCGGCTGTTAGATATCAGCTATCTGCTAGTTTTGAACGGACTCAAGAGCCTCTCTTGAAGGACTACAACACCCTCTTGGCTGCCGCGCAGAAATCGCACAGAAATCTAACATTTCAACGGCTTAGGAAAGAAGAAAATAAGAGTTAACCATTTTTAATTTCCCTTTTTAGAAAAAGGATAATCTCGCAGATGTTGCTTCCTCGCTGACCTTTGATCTGAGATTTGGATTAGTCAAATCTTGTGGAAATGATCTGTGTCCTGTTTTAAGTGATTCAGTTCAAGCACATCATACAGAGGAGGTGAGACTACTTCACGAAACAACTTATCCGTTGAAAGAATAACATTAAAGCTAATTAAATTGGCCTTCAAAAATTCAATGTGAATCAGTTAGACATTGAACGAATGAAATAATGCACAAGTCAGTCCGATCATTCTGCTGCATATACTAAGGATCATCGCAACCGTAAGCCAGGAAACTTTTTCTTATAATTCAACTGTCTTCTCAATTATGAAGGTAGCAATCATTGAGCAATGTCCGATTACTTGTCATGATTCAAGTCGTCCGTTCTTGAATTCCTATATATATTCCTATATTTATTGATGTCAATAAAGTTATTGAAGACGAATTTTTCAAGGCACAATAAATTCTTTGCCAACTTAACTGAGGACGCATTTCTTATTTAAACATTATTGCACTAAACAGAACTATACCGTAAGTTATCGAAATACGACAAGATACCAACTTATAGTTCAGAATGAACCCGGATTTTTTATACTGTGACTTGTTCTTTCCAAATATCAGTTTTGTTTACCAAACGATTAGTTGTACTTTTCCTTTCCAACAGTATTAGGCTATTAAAATTGCGTTCTTTTCAGGCCTAAATTTTAAGCAAAGTTTAACAACTTTATCAATGCCTTTTGTTTTCTATCTCAGTGATGGACAGAAATTCCTTGCTTTATATAACAAGTACATGTTTTTTAACGTTGAATTTTTCGGCAGGTCTTCTTTATGAAAAAATGCAAGAACCAACATGTTTGTGTGCCTGATCTGGCTGTGAATGGAAAAGTGATTTTAGTTGGGTAGGTAGGTCAAAACGAAATAGCTTGGAAGAAAATAACAGCCTTTTTAAAGAAAAAGGTCTCTGAGCTACGTAATTATGCCAGCGTTTAATCTTTTTCTCCTTAGCCAAATGCATGGTAAAGCAAAGATATTTCATTGTAATCTGCTTCCAAAGCAGAGTTTTAATAAAATTGTTTAAATTTTGTGGTATGAATGTTGTAGTATCAGGAAATTTGTTCCCGCTAAGTATTGAAATCAAGAGAGGAGAGGTATGCTCTTCAAAAGAGGATATAGCTGCCTCTTTCAAACTCAGAAATTAAACATTCAACTGACACCTAAAAAATCATCGCTGGACCGACTAATATATTCTTCTCATCTCCACTGTGTTATCAAAACATTACTTTACTCTCCTGTTAACCCTGAGTAAAAAGAGAGTTGCAAACAGCTAGCTGCATCGTGACCGTTTAAAAAGTTGTGACCCAAATTTTAGCAAACCCCGTGAACCGCACTGTAACTAATTAGGAGAAAATCGTAAACAAAGTAAACACTGGTATATCAAACACACTTATTCTATCTGCTTTTTTTTCAATTTTGTAACAGATACGACGGAAATCACACTTTTGACCAGAATCTGCGCATCGGTCTGGTGAGAGACCTCATTTTGCAGGTTACGGTAACGAACAAGGCGAACGACCATGCGTACTATCCCAAACTTCTGGTCAAATACCCGAGATCGTTAAGCTATCTACGAACTGGCGATGTAAGTAGGCACAAAGATAACAGATGTTTATTTCATCGTGAAGTGCGAAAACGCTCAGAAGTTTCGAAATTCATTTCTATTGTATTCATTAATTAACCTAGTTGAGTTCATGACAAGTTCGACGTCTGGCTCAGTTAACTTCTTCTGAATGAGTTTGGATCGTCCAACCAGTTCTCTCCGTCTGCTTCAGAAGAAGAACATCTCCGGGAATGTCGATCTTTACATGCGACAAACTAAAGTAATAAAATATAAACATTTGTATGATAGTGAGTATTTAGCCTTCTTCGGGAGAACATTCATTAAAACTGCTTTTTGGTCTGATTCACGCGTCCTAAGTTGAACGTCTGACCGAACAGACGATCTTAACTTAATTTAAGTCAACCCAAATTAGAGTTTGGTTCGTCTCATGAAAAGTTCGACGTTTGGCCTAGGCATCACCTTACCTTTTCTTTTCATCCAACAGTGCAAAGATGACCGTCACTCAGGGAACAATACTGAGTCCCATTTTTCTATCACCTGTGATGTAGAGCCAGAAATAGCGCTTCCTGGACTCAGCAAAGTAAGTACTCTATATCTTTTTCTTCAAAATCCCGGCCAACATTCAAAATTTAACCATAGGGGAACGTTTTCTCAAAGTCAGGTCTCAACTGAAGCAGAGGTGGAATGGGATGTAAGCTTCTAAATCTCTTCAAATAAGAGTGTTTTGTGAGTTTCTCACTGATTTGCTAATGCTTCGGAATTTTAATTATCGCAAGTTAGTTACCATGAAAACCGATATTGGGTGTTCAATGTGACTGGTAAGCCAGGGTTAGAGCAAACCGGGTTTGGTAAATCTCGACCCAGCTAAACTACTTTCTCTACATTGCTCGCACGATTCTGCTTATTATTTTGGTAACGTTACTTGATTTGATTCGCTTTTCAGCATCAATTTGATCTCAAGTTTTCAGCGGAATCCGTGGAACGGGATTTCACCATTTTTGTCAAGACAGAAAGGTAAGAAATAAGCTGAAATACTTGGTGTGATCATTTTAGATTATGGTTTCATTGAAAACGTGCAAACGAACTAAGAAAAGCAAATTAGCTCTTGCTAAGATGACTTTTTAGGTGAAATAAATGAAATTGTTTGCTGTAGTGATTGGCTTAATTAGATCTTAATGGAAAGAAAATTCATATATTCATCTTTTTAACGTGCTTGCGCGAGGGGGCCTTTTGAGAAGGTGTGTTTAAAAGACCAACTTGATTTAAAGATTTAAAGGTAGCTCATTTTAAATTGCCATTTAAATGTAATGAATCACTATTCTTGGTCTTTCAGTCAAGACTTCGACGCAAACGAAAGGGACAACAGCAAAGAATTCTTTGTTGCTGTGAAGTATGAAGCAGATTTGGAGGTTAGAGGGTACGTATGTGACTGAATTCTCAGCTTAAAACCAAAGTGACTGAAAAATGTTAGTAATAATCAGTAAGGAGCGACCTATACCATTCGATGGGAATTTAATCAAATAATTAATCAAGATTATCTTCCTGAAAAAAAATCTCTGGCCACAATGAGCTCTAATTGATACCTGGCTGGATTACGTTCTCTTCCCTAGTACATATATCTATGTTCTTTATTCTTCAAAACAGTATACTTTGTGATTCACCCTCAAAATTCCGTACATCCACAGTTATTCAAAGCCAGATCAGGTCATTTATTCTGGAACCGTGGTAGAGAATAAGAAAGTTGAGGAACTTCACGAAGAGGAGATTGGACCCGAGGTTATTCAAACTATTACGGTAGGCAATCATACATGCAGGCTTAGATAAATCCTTTTGATCGACAAAACCTCATTGCTTAATTGTCAAAGAAAGGACAAAAAACACCTACATTTATCCACCTAGCTGTTCCAGCTTACCGCGGCTACCTAAAGCTAGAGATCGGTATTTTTTTTGTCTTCGGTTGAGCGACTTTAGTCAAGAATTTTTATGATATTAACGCAAGACCTGTTACGCCTCAATAAGTGAGTTTGGGGAGCGGAGTGGATTTTTAAAGGAGTGGGGGTGGGCTGTTTGAAAGAGAAACTTTTCATTCAACATAAAAAAAATATATATTTGTTTACAAAGCTTGTGCTAAACTATCGACCTAGAAGAAAAAAAAACAAAGAACAAAACAAAACAAAAAGAGTAGTTCTTGTCATTAAAGACGGCTTTTCGGTATATGACCCATTGAAATGTTTAAACTCTCAGACAGTTCACAGTGTTTCACCTATTTTTCCACGTTATTTTTTAGGGCGATCTCTGATTTGGAGAGGCCGCTATCTGAATCTCCTCAGTATGTTGAGCGAAAACTGGGTATACTGGGTAGGCCGGCGGACGGGGATGGGAGGTGATTTTATCCCCATTCCCTGTAACCACGGGCAATTTGCAGTTACACGAAATTATAGGTGAATGTAAACAGTCTGCTTCCTTTAATCTTGGTAACTATGGTGACATAAGCATGCTTAATCACGGCCTGCCAGATGTCGCCATGCAATATAACATACATACATACATACTTTATTGGCTCGTCCCCACGGGGCTTTTCAGAGTCAATTTTACATTACAAAATTATAAACCAAGTACATGACAATAAGAATATAACAATGATAAAAGAAGACAAAGGTCAATAAAACTAATTAAATTAATTAAATAAAGCAGTCATTAAGAAGCTTTTGCCTGAGTAAACACTTGAATTCCGTCACGGATGGGCTAAGTTTGAGCGCAGGCTGCAACTCATTCCAGAGAGAGGTTGCTCTATATTGAAAGGTCCTTTGGCCGCTGGCAGTGCGGAAGAGTGGTATGTTCAAAAGTTGAGAATTTCTCGTATTCCTTGTCGAGACGGCGGATCTTCCAACGAGCTTTGATGTCAAATACTCCGGAGCACAACTCGTCATGCACTTAAAAACCAGAACAGCAAAACTAAAATAAAGTTGTTGCCTGATTGGTAGCCAGCGCAAGTCTTTTAGCAAAGGAGTTATGTGATCGAATTTTTTAGCGCCGCTCAAAATACGACAAGCGAAATTCTGTACTGCTTGGAGCTTGTCCAGATTAGTTTGAGTAGTATTGCTCCAAACAGAAGAGCAATAGAATAATTTACTAAATACTAAGGCATTTATAATAATAATTAGCGCGTGTTTATTAAAAATTTGCTTAACGCGGTTAATTTGGCCCAAACGTGACATGCATGAGGATACAGTAGAAACAATATGCTCATTATATGTTAAGTTAGAGTCCAGTGTGACACCAAGGTCTCTTGCAGCCTTAACGGGCTCGAGTTCCTTCCCCAATAGAAATAGCCTAAAGTCGCTAACCTTAGCAGTCATTTGCCGGCTGCCGAATATCACTAGTTTTGTTTTATCTGGGTTGAGTAAAAGCTGATTATCAAAGCACCAATTCCTAATGCTTAACAAGTCCTTGTTCATTTTTTCTATCGTTTCGTGCTGATCGCGGAGTTGAAATGACATGAGAAGTTTGGTATCGTCGACGTAACACTGCGATGTACAATTTTCTGGCACAGAAGGGAGATCATTAACGTAGGTGTTAAAGAGTAATGGGCCAAGGATGCTCCCTTGTGGAACGCCAGAGCTAACACTGACACCGTGTGCTTAACTTGTCACAGGTCAGGAATTTTGGACCCAGCGTTGTAGACGAATCAAAGGTGACGATTACTGTTCCTAAACTGTTGAGGAAAAGCGATCCCGAGAGCTACCTTATTTATCTTTTACAAGTTGAGGTAAGAAATTTCTTAAAATTTGTTGGAGGAAAAATATCACAGGAGAGGGTGTTCGGCGTGGCTGTCACGTGGGGGGGATTGCTGTAGGTTAGCTTCAGAGTTAATTAAAAAGTGAAGGGTAGAATGTTATGGGATTGACAGTTTTGCTTCCAAGCATCCTTAGAATTCGTAATGAAAGTTACCATTCTTTTAGGTTATTGGACCTGGAAGCTGTGATGTTCTGGTGAATCCTCGTAATATTAAGGTAAGCTGCGAAATATCTCCAATGACTTTTGATATCGATATAATTTTTTCTAATACGGCTTTTTCCTCTTAAAGTTATAGAAAATTGTGTTGTTATAACTGATAATAAGTGTTAATTTGGTGTATATTTATCTAAGTTGCGATTTTATAGATCGAATTAGAAGAAATGTAGCTGCCAGAGATGTTTTTAAGGTTCTTCTAACAATATCTGTGTTATTCATTTTTCATTTCACAGCCAGCTAAAGTCAATCATTCGATAAGTATTGGTAGTGTCAACAGAGACAAACGTGATGTAATCTCACTGGTGAGTTAGAAAGCTCATACTACGCATGTCACGTCACGTTACCTTTCAACCTGTGCAGGTCCCTCCACGCCATTCTAGCCATCGGCTGATTTTGTACCGAATTATTTGAAGAATATTTCCCTTCTACAAATACATTCCTAATATCAAGAATTATATTGTCAGAGTTATAAATATTAGCTAACCTGAAGCTTATTATTTCCAAGCGCGTTCATAATTCTCTTCGTTTTATATAGGATGTTTTATGCACTGCAATCTCTCTCTTTTAACAGAACTGCAGTCAAGCCGTGTGCCAATCTTTCCAGTGTAGCCTGGGTCGAATGAGGCAAAGTGACAAAGTGGAAATTAAACTGACGTCACGATTGTGGAAGAACACTTTTCTAAAGGTAGAGTGTTTGATGGGAAGAATACTGCAGATTTTGAGGGGTGTTGTTTAATGAGGCCGAAGGCTTTAAAACGCAGTTGACATCTTTCAGAGGCATTCTGAGAATTTCTGCCGTTACTGTTTTTCTGTCAGTAATTTGGTTTACATTTCCTCTTTGTTAAGCGTCTTCCAGCCGGCGTCTCGTGCTCTCTAGCTACCACTGCATGACTTAAGGTATAAAACCCCCTTTTGGTGACCTCATTCGTCCAATACTTTTATTTAGACCTTTGAAATCATCCTTTCCATAATAAAAAATATATTGGACGAATGATGTAAAACTTCTATATTTGGTCATCGAAGTAACACCTAATAACCTGCTGATTTAAGCCAATCAGAAATGTAGAAGCATTTGAATGAATTATTAACAAAACTAATGTTGCAGCTTTTTTTTGCACCCTTTTTGTCAATTAACAGTTAGATGAACCTTTGGTTGTTGAGTTAGAGACACTTGCACAAGTTCATCCTCCTACTAAAGTTATGCAAAGAAATGAGGAAAACGATATTGCTACGGTAAGATGTTTCTGTTTCTTTGTGAAAGAGCAAACGCATGCATTTTACAAATTGAACTTGTATTTCTACTCTAATTACTACATATTGCATTTGTCAGATGGTTTGCATTTCATGCATCATATCAACTTTTCATCCATTATTTCTTTTTCATTCTTTTATACTGCGAAGCTTGCAATTGTAAACCGTGAAGCAAAGCACACCCTTTCTTCCTTTCGTTTCTATATTTTTCTTTCAAGTTAGCTGAATTCTATTTTTTTTCCCGCAGATTGTTTTGACAGCCAAGCCTGAGCGGAGGGGTAACAGAGGCAAATCAATCCCTTGGTGGATGTATTTGTTATCGGCCCTCGGTGGAATCCTCTTACTTACTGGGGTCATTTTTCTTCTGTACAAGGTTTGTAAATAAATACATTGGCCAGTTCACTTTTCTCAGGGGCTGACATAGACTTGCTACAAATTGACCTCTTGGCGAGCGGAGCGAGCCTTTTTTGGCCGCAAAGTGGCCGACAGAGTTTTACTTTAGTTCGCGTTTTGTAATTATTCAATTGAGTTATGCAGAAACTATGCCCCGAATATATGAAAAAACTTGTTCCGTGTAAAAAAAAGGCGGGTCGCTCGCCTACTCAAGCTACCCGGGGTGAATCAACTTTTCCTACATTTCCAAAAAGACTTGGCTAACCGTCGTTTTTGAGAAACAAAAAGTTGGCTTGGGTACATAGACAAAGTATACTTGTTTGACGTAAGTTAAATTACTTTTGGATGAGGCGCTTCGCGATGTTCGACTAGTAAGCATCAACAAAGAGATTAAACAAGGGTTCAGAAGACCATCCTTCCAGCAGAGCCTTTCTTTCGCTTGATCGATTTTTTAAGGAGGCTCTGCTCGCAGCCGGGATGTCAGTAGCCGTGCTCGTATAGCGAAGTAATTGACGGTAAAACGAAATAAATCAATAAATAAATAAATAAATATGCTTTCGGCAAATATATCACCACAGTTTATAAATAACAGACTATCTGGTCCATCCATTGATACGTCGTCTAGGCCGTTAGGAGTTTCATTTTTGTTCTTTTTTTTTTAAGCTCAACTTTGAAGTCATACTCTGATGTCAGAATCCTTGCTGTAAAAATGACTTTAAACAAGATGCAATCAATACGTAAACTCTTAATAGTTAAACAAGGAACTGACTATATTGATAATCGATTTTTCTGTTTCATTATTTCCAAGTATTTTTGAACGATTGCCATGCGGCGCGTTTATTAAAGAAGGGCATCCTATTCAGGCTACAAACCTAAAATCTAGTGGGGCGTTCATTAGACAAGATGCGTTTATTTGAGAGAGGGTGTCTATTAGATCATTTACGGCAAGTGAGCTACAGATCTTTTTGAAAGGTATTAATGTAGGTGGAATATGTGAAATGAAATCAATTTCTTGTTGGTTGATATTACTTACCATAACTGTATTTTGAAATTAAGTCTGTTTTTTGTTGTAGCTTGGATTCTTTAAAAGGCGAAAGGATTCATTACAAATCAGCGACGATGAAATTGCTCCCATGAACAAAATGGTTTGTGACAAAAGTGTGGTCTCCAGCCGAGAGGATCATCGTTGTGATGAAAGATGAACTAAAATATCGCGACTTTTTTCATCGCTCTTATCTCTACCAGGCTTGAAGGAGATTCTACCATTCCCTTTAGATAAGACCTGCGCGCGTGGCAAAGTCGTTACTTCCCTTTTAAGACCGGTCGTTACTGTCGGTCACGCGTCTTTGCTAAATCTACACTTACACTATATCATTGGAAATTTTTTGTAACAGTGACAGGATTCATACAGTGTTCTTAAAAAGTGATGTAAGTCCTAAAGTTTGATAAAGGAATAAGCTATTGTCTAGTAACAAACGTAGGTGGTACTCTTTCAGTTTCGTTTTGTTAGAACTGAAGGTTGCTTTTTATTTACCTACGTATTTATATTTATTAATGCTCGTCATATAGTGTGATGGAAATTAAGTTAAAGTTGTTAGATAGTAATTTATGCTTGATTTCAGACTTGTAAATAAAGACAGGACGAGAAAAAAATTACTTTTTCTTTACGGTAAAAAAAGTAAGCAGTGAGTTAAAATGTCAGGGAAATCGAGGAATATAATGACTTTAATAAGTTTAAATTTTGGAAAAAAACGTTTTTTACATAGTTTGAGACATGTACTTATTAAAGAAAGATACTGCAAATAAACTGAATATCTTCTACAAGGGCAAGTGTCAATTTTCTTGTTACTAATTTCTATCGTGGAATTGAAGAACGAATTTGGAGCAAGCATTTCAAATAGCTTTCAACACTAAATTACGTCTGCAAAATAAAACAGGAAAAGGCACTCGCCACATCAAAGCTAATCCGTTACTGAAGTTCGTTATAAATGCTTCACAAAGTAGATAGAATTCTACATGTTTCCGCTACATTTCTTTGGCACATGTGAAAGGAATCCCAACGTAAAACCGTGGGAAAGGCCGTCTAAGGAGAGGATGCAAGTGCTCTTTTTGTTATTTTGGAGGCCACATCAAACTCAATTCACTGTGCTTACTTTGAGGAACCCACTGCTTAAAAGCTGCCAGTAAAAACTTTGGATCCTTCTTCCACGCTGCCTCCAGCGCTTTCTTACTATCAGCACATTCGCTAACAAGTTCACTTAGCAACACTTCAGTCCTGGGCTGCAACTTAGCCCAAGTCTTGATCATTGTAGCAGGCGCACTGAGAAGAAATGGCACAAACTCTGCAAACTTGGGGATAACTTTTCCTTCAAGTAGAAACCTGGCGAACCACTTGTATCTGTCAATTCCTGCGGGATAGTCAAGCTCCTGGGATGGGATCTGCCACGACCTGGAACCAAACGTGCACGTCATGTGACACTTAGCAACGCCTGCCTCGCAATCGTAACGAGGCGCAGGATCTTCTAACGGCTTGGAGAAAGTGCATAGGTTTGGAACAAAAACCGGAATCCAAACTGGCTCTACGGCTATGACTCCTGAAATACATGGAGAAGAGCAGTTTAAACTTGTTCAGCTTATTCTAGACACTTACCCGCACTGCGAAACTATGAAAACAAAATGGAAGTGGCTGTGCATGTCACTCAATCTACCGACAATAGTTAGACACTAAGTTGCTCTGAATGGCGGCCTTAGGAGATAATCGAGACGCTTGTTTGACGAGGGGGTTAAGGCCGGAAGACAATTTGACTTGGTCAAGGCCATGAACAAAAACAGCAACAACAAAAACAACAGAGGACGGTGTAAACGAGCGAAGCTCTGCACTTAACCACGAACGGGGAGGAGAACCTATAACTAAATAAGAAGGTTCATTTGCTCATAAACAGCAGTCACGAATGCCGTTGAAACTGACTTTTGGGTAACCCGAATGGTATTCAGAATATAGCCAAGCTTTGCCCGGCGGCAAATGATTTTCCACCAATCCAAACAAATCTAATTTGCGGTTGCTAAAAATACGACTTGATAACAAATTACAAGAGAACAAATAGCATTTTTTATCACCAGATAATCTTTCTTGTACGCGTTTTTTTAAATGATCACCAATTAAAATATTTAGACCTTCTGAGAAGAGAAAGAAGACACGTTGAGCTTATCCCGCCAAAGATACAACAGGTTTTCTCACGTTATGCCCCTTAGGATACCGTGGACCGTCTGGCGGCAAAATGTTGAGAAGAAAAAATATGATCGTTGTGAGGGTCGAAAGAAGCGTCAGTCATCAAAGGTACCCTTACCTTTCATAAACAGCTTTGAAGTCTCTACTATCTCTTGGTAAACCACGTACTCTGGCAATACATCAAATAGGGCTGATGAAGGGTGAATAAACACAGGCTCATCCAGGGACATGCAAGTGTAAGCATTCTTCAGCTGAGGATCATTTCCAACGGGGTTCTTCCGTGCCACTTGGTCACCAAGCCCCGAGAGGCAGATCTGGCGGATAGCTCTGCACTGGAGAGGAGATGGCGGGCTCATCCGAGGATTTAGCACAACTTTTGCGTCAGGGTTCACAAGATTTACAGAGTTCGTAAGCTGGGTTCGGAGCTTTCTAATTTCTATCATTCCCTTTTGGCGAAGCCCGTTCTCATCACAGAATTTCATGGTACAACCTGCATACTCACTAGCGCCCACAGCTCGCAAAACCACCATGGCGTCTCCAAGCTTTTTTGCATCCCCATGTCCCGCCCAAGCTCGTCTAAGCCGCGAAATCTTTCGTCGTTCCTCTTTGCTTATTTGACCAGCGTTATCATCAGCAAAGACTTCCTTCACTGTGAGGGCTGAGACAATAGCAATAACGTACTCCATGCAGTTGTCTTGGTTTCCGAGGCAGAGCATTTTTGCGTATCTTGGGGAAACAGGAAACTTGGCCATGGCGCGACCTAGCGACGTGATGACTGCATTGATATTTCCTCTCACAGTTTTCTTCTCTTCTAACGCTCCTAGATTCCACAGCAGTTGCTCGGCACTTTGTAGTGCTTTCGCGTCAGGGGAAGAGGGAAAAGGAAAGTTTACAACCTTGTCGATATTCATGTCTTTCATCTGTAGAACCAAATCGTCCACCGGGCGACGTGAGATTTCCGGCGCCGAGAATTCTTCAAACTCGTTCGTAAACACCGCTGATGAGTACAAACGATAGCAGTGCCCAGGCTCTACTCGACCAGCTCTGCCCGCTCTCTGATTGGCTGATGCTTTAGACGTCCACGTGATCTTAAAGGTAGATACACCTGTGACCTTATCATAATAGCGTCTCTTCACCATGCCAGTGTCTACAACGTATTTGATATTGGGAATTGTCAACGATGTTTCTGCTACGTTAGTTGCTACGACGCATAGCCGTGCTTCTTCCGGCGGCGTTTGGAACACTTTTGCCTGTTGCTGACTGGAGAGAAGAGAATAAAGAGGCAGAACAAACATTGGGAGATTCTTGTCGATCAAGGAAGTAAAGGCGCTGTCATCAAGGTCAAAGTCTTCATCCTCAACACCTTCACCAAGGTCTTCATCTTCTGCTTCTCTGTCCTCAAAAGCAGGGTTCACTGGATAATTATCAAGATCCAAGTCGTCATCATCAGATTGCTCGTCCTTGCCCATCTTCTTTTGTGATTTAGTCTTCTTTGGATCATAGGGAAATGTCTTTCTCAATTTTCTACACAACCCATGTACTTCAGCTTGACCCGTCAAGAAAACTAATATACCTCCTTGCGGCAGAGTACGGTGAATTTTACACACTTTACGAAACGCTTCATTTAAGTAATCATCAGGAGTCCTCTTGTTGAAATGCACAGTGACGGGAAATTGTCTGGACTCGACACTTACCACAGGGGGTGGGGAGGGGAAAAGACGTGTATTTCCTGTGAAATCTTCGACGCGAAGAGTGGCGGACATTATGACAAGTTTTAGTTGTTTTCCTTGTTTATTTCGTATCGGTACTATTCTGGAGAGTAGGCCTAAGAGAACATCAGTGAAAACACTTCGTTCGTGGGCCTCATCAATCACAATGACGGAATATTTGGACAAGAAAAAGTCATTTTCGATTTCCTTCAGCAGCACACCATCTGTCATGAACTTAATAATTGTGTTCGTCGTCACGTTGCCTTCGTAACGAATCTGATAGGAAACCAAATCAGTGCTCATGTTTAGCTCTAAAGCCACACGGCGTGACATGGACACGGCAGCCACACGCCGAGGCTCTGTCACGCCAATCAGCCCTCGAGTGGTGTAACCGCCTTCATATAAGAACTGAGGAACTTGAGTAGTTTTTCCACTGCCCGTTTCACCACAAAGAATCACAACATCATTATCGTGAATTGCTTCCATAACAGCCTGTTCTTCTGCGAGAATCGGAAGCTGTAATCTAGCGGCTTGGATTTTTGGGTCTCGTTTTACTTCTTTAAAGACTGCTTTCTCAGAAACGCCCTTAACCGGCTGCAGTTTCTTGACGTCCTTACTCTCTTCTTTAGTGAATTTCTTTGCTTTTCCCTCATCGATTTTTTTTGCTGACTGGTTGCTAGTGTCGTCTTCACACTCATCTATTTGTTTTGATTCAACTGCTTCTTCATCTTGAGGTGATCTCTTAACAACAACATCCACATCTTGTAAATCTTGACTGCCACCTTCCTCATCAACGCTGTCAGAAGAGTCTTCGGACTCCGATTCTTCAACCCCCTTCGCAGTCTTAACAGGAGGAGGTTCATTAGCCTTCTTGTCTAGCCGAAGCTTCTTCCCTTTCTTGCGTCCGCACCGAATACTCGAAATAATTCCTTTCTTATCTCCATCTGTTTCGGAGAAAGTCCTTTTTCTAGTTGGATTCAGCTTACCCAAGGCAGTCGTAGAACTCATTTGAGAAAGTTCTTTATCGCTCACTGCACAATCTGCTAGCGCCCTCAGCAAGACTGCCCTTTTTGCCTTCTTCTTCTTCGTTTCGACAATCTTTTCAAGTTTTTTCCTCTGTTTCTTAGTGAGCTTTTTTCGCTTTTCATTTGGATCTTTTTTCTCTATCTTCACTTTTTCTTTCTTACTAGGTGCAAGAAGAATATTAGTGTCTTCTTGCGAAGTTTTGTACACATCATCTTTGGTAGCGTTTTCCAGGATAGTACTGTTAACCAATGCCGTTGTTGTTTTCTTTCCTTCATTCGATTCCTCTGGCTGCAATCTCGCTCTCCAGTTATGTCTCTTCCTCATTCGGCCCATTTTGTTAGTTCTTTAGAGCCCAGAAGTAACACATCCAGGCCGTCATATCGTGCTGAAAGTGTTTGAAACAAACGAGACTCGACATCCACGTGGATACAACAAATCCGCCATGTTGAAATTCTCTTTTTATGAGTAACGTCGCTGACCCGTTACGCTGGGCTCAGTCAATGGGCTTTGCTTGGGAACTAGCCCTACCAGTCCCAAACCGAGCACTCACTGCACGTTTTCCAAGATGGAGGCCGACTTGTATGATGAGTTTGGAAACTACATTGGCCCAGAACTCGACAGCGACGAGGAAAGTGAAGACGAGGATGAAATTGGGGAAGAGGAAGTCGCAGAATATGTAAGTAGAGTAGGTTTTTGGACACAACTGGGGTGGATGTGAGTTTTTTCTTTGTGAGTTCGTGCATGCTTTAATGTCATCTTCACGTCTTTGTAACGTCATCGAAAGCCTTCTCGGGTTAACTTTATCCCTTGAAGGCACTGTAAATTGGCCATTAAAGTTTCTATATAAGGCATTTTATAAGAACCCAGAGCGTAAAATTCAAATTTCCTTGACTTCAATATTCATGCTGCAAAGTTGCATGTTCTGTTGTTGCAATCATTCATCCAACCAGGACGTAACATGTCCATAGAAATCGATCATCGGAAAGCAAGTCGATAAGTCGATAGTACTCGATATTTGTCAATAATTGTCGATTGACAAGTTATATATGTCGATAAAAGTCGATAATCACAATGATCGAAGGACAGGTAATCGATTTCGATCAACTCTTATCGATTTCTATCGACAACAAAACAATTCTAACTTGCAGTAACTCGATCGTCTTTGAGAATTGAACGTGTAAGCATTTGTAAGGTATTTAACGAAAATGACAATAAACAGCGATGAAATTGCATTGAATCAAATCTGGAAAAAAGCAGATGTCATTACTTTTATTGCCTTCCTTTGCAATGAGCTGCCTTGTAATTGCAGGTTTGCAGCTCTCGCGTTCATACTTTTGCCCCGCATTTTTTCCTGCTCCGTAATTCTTTTGGTCAGCACACACACTGTACTGGCATTTGTGATAGTTTTCGATAAAAATCAAATTTTAACCTAAAAAGTTGATAGGAATAGATAATTACACGGAATTTTGTGATTGACTATTATCGATTTCCGATATTTGTCAATTAATTGGTATTGGTTATTACCAACAGCGATCAATTTTTATCGAATATCGGAATAATCGACATGTGACGTCCTGATCCAACACAGCAAGCAGAAGGGTACAGCAAAAGCCTCTCACTTGAGAATACTATTGAATGTTGCATTGGAGATATTCCATTACAGTTCACCACAGTTTTGATTTAACACACTGATGTATTCACACTACAGAGCAAAGTTTGTTATTCAATACTATTGAAGTCACAGATAAATTATTAATGTTAATGAAAGTCACTGAGAAGATTATTTCTTCCAAACCCTAGTGAATAAAAAAAAAAGGAAAGAAAAAAATGTAATCTCATTTGTTTCAATAATTATTATACTTGGTACTATATTGCTAGGCTGAAGAAGATGAAGATGAGCAGATGGATCAGGATGAAGAACCTCAAATGCAAGTTGTTCTACATGAGGTACTTTGTACGCTGTCTAGCAGCAGCCTTTAATCTCCAAGATCTTGGCATGATAATTATATACTGATATTAAAAAAGTATTTATTATACATGTACGAGATAATATTGGTTAGAATTCCATGCTACACCAGGCTTGAGATACCATAACTCACTGGGCCAAAAAAATAATCTCAATCATTAGCTCTCTCCCTGATATTGTGTTCATCAGAATGCATCCTAATGCGCTGTTCCTGTGGTACAAAGGCAGAAATTTTTTAGCTATCACAGGCGATTACCGATTAGCTGCCCCTGTTAATTTTATCAGGGGCATCTTGGCCTCAGGAAACTAGACTCCTTTGGACTTGTTCGATGTTATGCTCATAGGATAAGATGAATGCAGATCCATAAGCAATGATTATTGTTGGTCAAAATTAATAGTAAGGATTCCAAGACTTCATTCAACACTTCAATGGCAGCTTTGAAAAGGGGTTTGGAGGAGAAATTTAATTTGTGAGGTATAAATTAAAGGCAGGATACAAAGCTGTCAAGAAAAAGGAGTAAAAACCCTTTCTTAAAAAATTATTAGTGAACCCGAATAAACTACCAACTGAAACAAAATTAATACTGTGTCAGCTGGGCTAAGTTTTAACTAAGCTCTAGGAGTTCAACTGAGCAAATAATTACACTGTATGGTAACTCTACAATATTTTGATACTGTAAATAATACATCACATGTTCATCCTAAGTCAATTAACAGCTGATTGTGGCTAGACAACTGAGTGTAGCGTGTTTTTTAAAGGAGTATGCTGTAATTAACTGATTTTCTTTTCATGGTTTGCAGGATAAAAAGTATTACCCCACCGCAGAGGAGGTTTATGGCCCAGAAGTGGAGGTTAGAATTATTCTTTCACCTGCCATTTAAGATTATCTCACCCCTTAAACAGATGCACAAGTACAAGACTGTATCATTGGCCAGAAATTCTGAGAATAAACTGTACATACAGAGTGTGCAGTCATGTTATTGTAAGAAGTGCATGTCTATATTAAGCAGTGCATAGCATTTTAGTATAGTGCTATGGAAAAAAAATAATCCTTGTGAACAGGGATGATGATTCCCTTCATTGAACCGTTGTACACTAATGGCATTACTTTTTGTCTGAGTTTTCGTGCATGGTACTTATTATTGTTTTCTGATTTGTTTTTAGACTATTGTACAGGAGGAAGACACACAACCTTTAACAGGTTAAGGGGTTAAGTTTTATGTAGTATTTTCACTATAAAAAAATTATTGCCTCACTTAGAAAAGCGAAAAAATAATGTTCATGGCCATTGGATTTTAGACAATGATTAACAATTATTGAATGAGGCTGAGTATGTTATGAAGAATTATGGAGATCAAGGAGGGTGTTATCCATTGAGGCCGTAGGCCAAGGTGGATAACACCCTCTGAGATCTCCATAATTCTTCATATGATATGAAAGCCGAATTCAATAATTGTTTTATTATTCATTCAAAATAATTCCTAGTTTAAAAACATGGCTAAAACATACTTACCTCCATCGATCCATCAATGTTCAGTTCATCTTCGATAGCGCACGTTTAGGTTTGTCCAGCTCCCCAAATATTCTCCAAATAGCAGATGTCGCCCTTTGAGTTGTCGTCTTGCTGTTCTGGCCATGTTTTTAGCTATTTTTTCGCCTAGTTCTTACTCTTGAAACGAGTGAAATGTCCACCATTTTTCGTTTTCACAATCAAAACAACCCAACCTCATCCCCAGGTCTTCTTGGTTAACGGTGCCTTAACCTGCACGAATGCTGCATTTTTGACGTCATTTCCTTGTTAAACACAAAATTCTTCCAAATTTGGTCATCAGAAACTGGTTATGGTGAATTATGAGTGTGCCTTTAGCCAATCAGAATCAGGGAAATATTTTGAATGAATAATAATACTTTTGTAATGAACGTATATTTTGTTTTCTTGCTGTTGTACAATGTAAAATGACCCTCCTATGTGTACTTTATTTACAGAGCCTATCATCAAACCAGTGTCAAAAAAGAAGTTTTTTCATGCAGAACAAGATCTTCCTACAACAAACTATGATGTTGAGTATGTAAAACCATCACAAATTACAGAACTGGCTGTTTAATCATTTAAAATTAATAAAAATATATGAATATTTTTATTTCTGGCAGTTATTTTGTCATGCAAAATTTTAATTAAAAAATATTCTTTGTATCCAACATTACTATTAAGAACGAAAAAGAGTTGAGATTTTGACATGTATGTGCATGATTTTAATGCAAATGTGCCAGTAGAGTAGCTTCATTATTTTGTCATAAACACAGGTCAGTGAAAATAATATTTCTGTGTAACAGATTTACCGGTATGTGATTTTAAGTCTCAAATTGTACTGCATGTACAGTGTACCATTTAAATGTTATTTTTGTCATCTGTACACAGGTATTTGGCAGATTTGATGGATAACTCTGAGCTCATTAGAAATGTGGCTTTGGCAGGACATTTACACACTGGAAAGGTGCAGAGAAAACTAACTCTTTCACCAGTTCACCAAATAAAATAATGTAGACACTTGTTTAAACAGCTGCATGTACTTTTTTGGTAGCATCCTACATCTGTACACATTTTTTCTGAGGTACCTGTTGATGACTACTTTTGATGACCTTTTCCTCAGAAATCATGGGATTTTGCATTCTTTTCTGGTTTTCTTGGTTGGATACTCTATAATGCGTGTCTCTTTTGCATGACCTATGCAAAATTATTTTTCATGCGTGGAACTTAATATCGGGTAATATAATCACAGCAAAGCAGCAGAAAATCAGAAAATCAACCCTGAATTGTTTTGCAAGTGTACTATTGAGACATGAAATATAAGGCTTTTTTCTATTGGTTTGTTGTCTGCAGTCTGTTTTTGTGGATTGTCTCATTGAACAAACTCACCAGGACATTCAGGCAAAGGAAGGCACTGATGTAAGTTATTACAAACAATTAAACAATGTTAGTTGAAACAGTATGCTTAGGTTGTTAAAATATATTATTACTGGTAGTTGATGTACTCGGAATTATGCTACACAGTTTCTGTTTGAAATTGGACAAAGTAAGGTTTGCAACAACAAAATAATAAACAATTATCGCATGAGGTTTTTGTGATATCCAGAAAAATGAAGGTCGAGGTAAGTGTTATCTGTTGAGAAGAAGGCCAAAGCTCATAACACTTAGGTCGTGACCTTGAAAATTTGGAATATCCCTAAAACTGGATTTAATAATTGGTTAATAATACATTGTTTTGAAGAAAATAACGACAAACACACCTTCGCAAGGAACCTGAATTGATGTTGTTATTAGAAATCATGCATTGTTCACGCAACGTACAGATTAGTCAGTTATCTGCTATCAGATAACTTAACTCACTGAGTATCTCCTAACCACACAATAAATGTAACAGGTGTGTTTAGCAAGTTGTTGTTTGTTATTTCCCGAGTGTCTACCCTGTTATTAATACTCTAAACATATTTTGCCTTTTTATGTTCTTGCAGCTTCGCTATACAGACACACTGTTTACTGAACAAGAGGTTAGGGAATAATATGTTTTCTTATTGAACAAGTTATTACAGTCAATCCTCCACTAATGGCCACCTCTCTACAACAACCTTTTTTTCGTCCCGATGGACAGCAAAAAATTCATACATTGACTCTTGTTTAAAGCCTCTCTACAACTTCCACCTATTTACAATGGCTACTTCTGTCCCCAAGGTGCCCGTTGTAGAGAGGTTCAACTGTATATCACCATGGGACTTGTAAAGCATCCTTTAAAATATGGAGCTACATGTCATGGGTGAATCTTTTGTTTTCTGTCTCATGTGACTCGATCGTCGACTCAATTCTCAAAAACTTTTTCTTGATTCTCAATTTTTGATTCGTGCAGGAATCGAGAATCGAGACTCACAACAGACTGTCAACTTACTTTTGAACGGTACTCCATGGTACATGTACAAAGATTTGGTTGATTTTTAGTCAAAACTTTTACACCTGCATAATTATTTTGAGGTTTGTTATCCTACCTGTAAGACGTGGATACCATAAAATCCTCTATTAGGCCCCCTGGGGGCTTATTTATTTCAAGCCCATTTGAGGTGGGGGGGGGGGTAATAGAAATGGGAGGCTTATTTAAGAGGGGGGACTTATTTAATTTAAAAACGACAATGGTATCAGTTCTCCATAAAGAACTAGATTGCAAAGTGGAAAAGCTCAAGTACAAGAAGTTTTAGCTCGTGCAGCTGAGGATCAAAATCAAATCCGATCTTCCAGTTGGTAAATAAACCATCCTGGATCAGTCGACACGAAGTTTTACAGTCGTGGTTGATTGATACAGTCTATCATTTATTAGTAAAGAATAAATAGGGGAGGGGAGGGAGGGGCTTAATAGAGAGGGGGAGCTTAATAGAGAATTTGCGGTGGTGTTTATGTAACACAAGTTGTTATTTCTGTGTATTGCTGTAAAAAATTCACCACTGGATAACTCATAATTATTTTCATGTGCATGACCTGAGTCTTTTAATTTGGTTCATACCCATTGATACCCAACGGAGTGGAGTAAAACTGTGGTCGTTGGGTCAGCAATCAAGATTTTATGGTAACAAAATTATACCCAATTACTGTACTGTATGACCTACAGTATACATGTAATGTGCAAAGTGCTACTTGCACTTGTAACTCAATCAAATGATAATTTCTTTACTCTTTGTCTTTTCTAGCGAGGTCTGAGCATAAAGAGCATTCCAGTTTCTATTGTTTTACCTGACACCAAAGGAAAGTCATTTCTGGTTAATGTATTTGATACTCCAGGTAGGTACTTGTTTGAATACCTTCAATTAATCATGGTTTGAGACAGTGCAAAGGTTAAATGGTGTGATTCTTTCTTCACAGGCCATGTGAACTTCTCTGATGAAGTGACAGCAGCTTTGAGAATGTGCGATGGTGTGATGATTTTTATTGATGCATCCGAAGGCGTGAGTGCTCCATAATCATTCTCTTTTGTCTTTATCCCTTATTACAGCCCTGATTAGCAACTGTCTGTACACTGTACATTGTATGATGGCTGAGCATGTACATGGCCTTGTGTAATAGGCTGTAATAACAAGAGAAAATTGGCTTCATGTACACTGTAGTGTCATTTTAGTTCATACTTTGTGATTATCCACCAAAGTAACTTGACTAAAGCAGTCATTATATGCAGGAAAAACCTTCATCATTCCTTCAGTCCTGTTTGCTACCTTGATACACCAATAATTGAAATAATTTATGATAATATACAGTCACTATAGCTTAAACACTACATTGTGAGAAAGTAACATGTACAGAAGATGATTCCCAATAACCATTGCTGGTTTTCACATGACTTTATTAAAATTCAATACTTTGTGATGAAACCAAGCACTTATCATCATATATGTACATGGTCAATGGAACTGTCACAAGGTCTAATAATAAATAATAGTCAGATACTTAGATTGTGCATTATGAGTTGTAAGTCCTGAGGTGTTACAGTGTGACCTGGAAAACCGTTCATACTGTACAAGGGGCACTGGTGGACCTTCTAGAATACTGTAACTTGAAACAGACTCTGCAGTCTGCGTTTCTGTCAGCATTCAGCATATCATATTCATTTTGTCTTTCTCACGGTAGCAATCCATCTATCTTCATGCTTCTGCATATAAATGTGCATACAACACTGCCATTTTGATCCAGTGCAGTAACAGTATTTTGTTGGGTCATATTAAGATCAATGGTCTTAGAAGTGCACGTTAAACTGTAGGTGTGATAACAGACTTTGCCTTTATAACATTCTTTTGCCAGGTGATGTTAAATACAGAGAGGCTTCTTAAACATGCTGTCCAAGAAAGACTTGCTGTTACAATTTGTATCAACAAGGTTGGAATGGCAAATTATTTTCTGCTGATCATCTTTTTGATAATGAAAATGATATTATTTATTTATCTATTTGATATAATTTTTTATCTATCTGTAAATGTAATTTTGAGATGTGGTTTTGGTGGCCAATTTACATGTCTGTATGTTCTGTTATCAGATTGACAGATTGATTTTGGAATTGAAACTGCCACCTGCAGATGCTTACTATAAACTAAAACACATTGTTGACGAAGTTAATGGACTTCTGAGGTAAAATATTCACTTGTTAAATGTCATGCCTTCAAACTCTTGTTGCAATTGACAACTTGTACTTGACGTTTGAGTTCTGAGACTTGAGTTGAAGAATCATAAACGCTGTCATTTTCAATTTTCTTATCTCAGTAAGTGTGGGAAACTGTCCAAAAATCAAAAAGTTCTTTTCACGGGTTTTGCTGGGAAAATTCATAATAAATAATTTCTAGCTTAAGCCTTCCATTGAAAGGCTGTCACCATAAGTTTGGGGATATGACAGTACTTTAAATATAACGTCACTTTTTAAAGAGCCCTCAAATGCAAAGTTTCAGAATTGTACTTTACATGTATGTGCACTTGTTGATTGTTATTGTGTGTTTGCCTGTTTAAACCTTGAAACTTCAGGACTTCTTTGTATAGGTAATAGCATGATTTGTAGTGATATTTCGAAATTGTTATACGTAATTTCACGAGCCGTTAGGCGAGTGAAATTTGAGACAGTTTTGAAATATCACGAGTGGTATTTATGCCAAATATCACGTACAAATCATGCTATTATTTGTTTATACTACTACCCGCAAAAGATTTGTAATTTTCACATGTAGTTATTTCAAATTAACCTGAAACACCACTCCTCTAAGCCAATCAAATTGCAGAAATTTCCCATGTAGTAGTATAATGGTGGGAAACGTGTTAAAGCCACTGATGAATTCTTAAGGGAAAATCTCTTTTTCACTCATATAATTATTGAGGTCAACTCTGTTATGACCATGTCCCTCTGAGCTTTGAGCATGTGACCACCCCTGAGCACATGTAGCATGGCTACAGGAGAAGCAAATGTTCCTGGCAAAAACATGTACTATCTAACAGAGACACTTCGGACAGTTATCTACACTTGAGTGACATAAAAAAGCAAAGAAATTATTAAGGAGCACATTCTCATTTTAATACTAGGTTTGTGTCAATGGTATCAATTTTAAGAATAATTACTTTGGTATTTCAGTGTGTATTCTGATGGTGGTGATGATTATGTCATGTCACCATACCTGGGCAATGTGTGCTTTGCCAGCTCACAGTTCAGATTCTGTTTTACTCTCTACTCATTTGCTGCTCTGTATGTCGACACATTTGGTGAGTCTCCCGTCTAAAAGTATTTTTTCAGTTATTTAGAAAAGATAATCCTGTACCTCGATTAATTTGTAAAGAAGATGACTTGAACAAAAATGGAGGTACATGGATGATAGCATTGTCTTCTCTACAATTGCCTCGGTTCTGAATTTCAGTTTTTTTTGGACCTGACCGGTGGTCCACTAAGTTTTTTTTCTAAAACTACGCCCATACGTAAACGCTTACGCCGGAAACGTACATTTACGCTAAAATTTATTAGAAATGATGTGAGCGTGATTCGATCTTATTAAACGATCTGAAAAGAGGATAAACTGTATGTGTGTAAACCGTTATAATTTAACTGTCTCCGTTTACTTTTTCCCACGCGGACGACTCTTGTAAAATTCTGATACCACAACGCGCGCCCAATGACGTAATCTTTTGCACAAGCACCTTTGTTTAATTTACATAAATTATTATTTACAAATCCTCAGTTTTGGTGTCCGCAAGTGACAACTTACATACTGTCGTAAGACTAAATCCGTAAAATATTTCGAAATATTGACTCGCGATAGTACGAAAAATTGTGGGCGTTTTCAAACGTGAAGGTATGCGTGTAGACTCCAAATTAAGATGACTTCCACTTTGGTTCACTGCCCAAAGAATAGTTAAAACATTGCAAGTTTTGCGAAAGATTTCAGTCAACAGTCACTGGCAAAACAGTCAAAACAATCGAGGGTATTATTGTTTTACTTTTCGCCAATAAAACTGCCTGCGTAGCAATCGTTTCCGCACGAGTTCGTAGAGAAAGTTGGAACCTGAAGAGCAAAAATGGCTCCAACTTTCGAGCAATAACTCGATCAGACAAGCTTGCTATGCACGTTACCAGTTAAAGGGTGGATAAATGCTTAACGTATGTCGTAAAATATATGTTTTTGTGTTTTGTAAGAGAAGTGCTGTGCATTTGTTCTAATTTTCTTAGAATTAATATTTTTGTTCACCTGTAGGTGGAGGCATTGATCCAAAAGACTTTGCAAAACGTTTATGGGGTGATATGTACTTCAATGCTAAATCGTAAGTGTGTTTAAAGTGTACATCATATTAGGTTTAACGTGCACGGAAAAATATGTTGCTGGGTTACTTGTAGACCACATCGTGTTTAGCAAAAGAAGTCATCGGCTGCTAGGCTCCCTGTATTGTAACATGTGCTTAAATAAGTTATCTTTTGCTTGGACAAGGGTACATTGTATGCAGCTGATTTTGAAAATGTGATGTACGTGTAATTAATGTCATTTTATTTTTTTCCGTTAGGCGCAAATTCACTCGTAAGGCTCCATTAAGCACTTCTCATAGAAGCTTTGTAGAGTTCATCCTGGAACCACTTTACAAAATATTTGCACAGGTACATAATAATAACCATGAGTTGAATTTATTGAGAATGATGCTGTGATTATGATATTGTGTAGGTACACAGTATTCCAGCGACAGATTCTACCAGGAATGAGAATTTTAGAAAAAAATGTGTGAAACACAATTTTTCAAAATTAATCATAGCCCTGATGACTCAATTAATGATTATGCTAGTTAAAGTTAATGATAATATGAACGAGAATACAATTAAACTGACCATATACCTTGGTTGTATGTTCATAAAATACAGCTGTACAATGTAATTGTCCTTTAATTTCAGGTTGTTGGTGATGCGGATACAAGCCTTCCGAAACTTTTAGATGAACTGGGTTAGTAAAATGTATATTTTCGAGACTCTAGAATCTTGAGTTTTAAGTATATGCAACGGTTTTTAAAGTATGTGTGGTCTTACCAAAAACTTTTTATTTGATGCGCGCTTTACATTAAAAAAGTGTTCCATCTTGAGTTATTATAATCTAAAATATTTACAATCGCTATGTTGTTTAATATTTTAACGTTTGTCAACTTTTGTCTTTCTAGGTATTCACTTATCCAAGTCTGAAATGCAGATGAACATCAGACCTCTTCTTAGTCTCGTCTGTAAAAGATTTTTTGGAGATTTCACAGGTAGTAAAATGGCTATCAATCTCACCTGGCTTTTACAATCTCTGTGCCAAAGTGGCTTAGCTAACCAAAGAAATAAATTTGTAGCAGAGGGAACAGCTGCCAAGATCGCGAAATTTGTAACGTGGCAAAAGTTAGGCCCCGTCCACACTTTATATCCACGTATTTTATCTTTGAAACCGCATATTTGATTGTGTGGACAGGGCTTTAAACCAATGTAGAGAACAGTTCCGGTGAGCGGATTCACTGGTTTCGTGTGGACGGAAGGCGGGTCTTAGGGCTTTTTTACATGGAGGTGGGCGACCCCAGGTAGGTGAGGTAACCCGATTAGGTGGGTACCCCACCTGTCCATATGATCTCTTAACTGGTCACCCTACCTATCATGTAAACGTGATCAAATTAAAATGAGAGATTGTGCGGATAGACGGGTCACCCCACCTAAGCGGGTTACCTCACCTACCTGGGGTCCCCCACCTCCTTGTAAACAGGCCCTTAGTCTTGGCGTAGATATCTGTACAGCGTTTTGCAATGGAATTTGTGATAGCTTAATTATATTTTCACTTGATACAGTTTTGTCCACTTTATACTGTTACAAGGACTAATAGGCTGTACATGTATTTTCAGGATTCGTTGATGTTTGTGTTCAGCACATACCATCTCCTAAAGCAGCGGCAAAGTCAAAGGTGAGGGCAATTCAAGTTAATGTTTTAAAACTCAGGAGCAACCTGACAGAAGTGACCAATATTCGTTACAAATCGTACGATTACTTTGCCAGTCTCTGTGCATGATAATTATAATCCTTGAAGTGGTAAAGTATTCTTCCGTATCAGCAATGTGGACCCTTAACCCTGCTGTGTTTGATTTAAATTGTTTGTTTGAGTCATTTGCCCCCCCCCCAACCCCCACTGTACGAGCCTTTGTCCTATTAATTCTGACGAGTGTAAAAAAAAGACCTATAACCTGTAACTTTTGTTAACACGTCATTAGTTTACACAGTTTTCATTAGACTGGCCTGCAAATAGCGAAAAGCTAATCGCGGCAAACCGGACTACACAAGAGACGACATTTTGTTACATTATAAATAGACGTAGTGTTGTAAAATAAATATACGTTTTTATGTACAGCTATAACATATGTACGCATTGCTCTTCATGCTTTTTGATAACTTGGAAAGAAGAAAGAAGAGGAAAACAATTAACTGAAAACAAAAGAAAAATAAAAATAAAATGAAGAAATGATCGTCGCAGTGAATGCAAGTTATGCAATTACGTAAAGAAGCCTGAAAAAAATTCAGGACTTCAACGGGGTTTGAACCCGTGACCTCGCGAACCGGTGCGACGTTCTACCAACTGAGCTATGAAGCCACTGACGTTGGGAGCAGGTCAATTGTGGGTTCATATGTTCCCTTGAAAGAAATGTGTGTTCATGATATATGAAATAAATCCAGGAAGTAATGGCATCTGTGTTATCCTCTTCTAGATAGAACATGTCTACACAGGACCGCTGGACACGGAAGCTGTAGATGCAATGATGGACTGCGATCCTGAGGTAAGGCACATGTTACCTTGAAAACAGAGCTTTGATTCGGAAACTCAAGAATTGACTATCGTTCTATTTTTTTTTGGAGTGAGAACTCGTGTCATTAAACCAATTTTTAAAATATTTACGCACTGAAATCTTCTATTTCTGTTAGGGTCCGCTGATGCTACACACGTCTAAACAATACCCTTCACAAGATGCCACAGCTTTCCACGTTTTTGGGCGCGTCATGAGTGGAACAAGTAAGAAGTTGGTTTTCCTGTGCGCCTACATTCTTCCCATACCCCTTTTCTTTCTTGGCCTTTTATTTATAACTTTTAATATTAACGCTGTTGTTTTCCTTATTTTCTGTAGTTTATGCCGGTCAACAAGCGAGAATACTTGGCGAGAATTACACCATAGAAGATGAAGAAGACTCGAGAGTCGGGACGGTGAGTAATAATGGGAGTTAAATAGATAATGAAATCCCCTGTATAACGAACGATTTTCTTTACCCTAGTAGTAGTAAAATACATGGAAAAGAACCTCGATGTAACGAAACCTCGTTATAGCGGACAAATTTTGCCAGTCCTTTGGCCCATTTTAATATCGAAGTCCCACTGTAGTGCGCTACCCGAAGAAAACTGTTAACTATAACTTATCATCATGGTGTGAGGGACATAAGAATTTGGCTCAGAGGATACGTTGGAGAATTTCTTTCCTAGGGAAAAAAGCTTCCGACGATTTGCAACATAAATCCAAAGCATTCCAAGAATATTCGTCTAATTTTCGTTTAACCCTCTATTCCACGAAAACGCTCGATTGGTTGCCTCATCTAAGGTTGCAACCTCCTTGTCAAGTCTCAGTCAACACCAAAATAAGACTGAATGGGCGAATCGGAAATTAGTAATTTGAATCTTTGCTGTATTACAGGCAGACGATTTTAACTATCACATAACTTAGTGCCTTTAATTTGCCCTTTGTTTGATGGTGGAAGTGAGGGTTAAACTGCTCGTCGAGTGCGCAAAGCTGCTATGACTCAGATTATTCTAGTTCTTTGTCCTATTGTTTTTTAGTTTTTTGATTCCTTTTTTCTTCCTAGGTGGGCAGACTGTGGATTGCTGAAGCAAGGTAAGTCTACTTTCTTTCGTTATTTCTAAACCTTTCTGCTCATATGAAGTACAGTAGTTTTTCCTTGTTTAGATTTTCTAAGCTTACTTACTAGGGCCAGTAATTCTAAAAGTTTTTGTATAATAAGGGAATTGCAGTCGTGAATTCTACTTGATTGTCTACGTGTTCTTAACAGATACAACATTGAATTAAACCGAGTTCCTGCTGGAAACTGGGTACTAATTGAAGGAATTGATGAACCCATTGTAAAGACGTCAACTATCACTCAAGTACAAGGCAATGATGAGGTGAGCCTGTGGATCGAGTTAAACAGTCGGGGTAAAAATAGTTTTGAAAATACTGTCCGCAGTTAGTGCTTTCCTGCTAAATACATTTGTTGGCTTCACACAAGCGAAGTTGGTTTCATGTAAGCACTTGATGTAAGTGCTCTTGGAAATCTTAAGTCGCTCTGTAAAAACATGGCTTCATACTGTCAATCTCTCCGTTCATTAGAATCTTGGAAGCGCTACACGTGCACCTGTAGCTTCCCTTTCGTACTTGTCAAGTGTGTTCTCAAGTGTGGTGTAGACCATATTTAGCGGCAAACTTCGGCTTCTTTGAACAACGAACGTTTCCATGGTCACCAAGTAAAGTAGAAGAATGTAAATTTTACCTCTTCACACGCAAAGTAGGTTCCAAAAAAACTTACACTATACTTGAAGATCTAGTGTGAAGCCAACAATTGACGTTAAAATAAAGTGCTTTTTTTTGCCCTTGAGGCCAAAAAAGTATTCTTCGGGGAGTTCTTTTAAAAACTCGTATTTTAGTGTAGTGAACTGTTGTCAAATTAGTAAATGGAGATTCAATTAGTTAGATTTCGAAACAAATACACGTCTAGTCACTGAAAGCGCAGGGCACCTCGTATCAGCTAGTCATGATTGGTTTTGATTCCGTCCTGATTGGCTGAGTATGTTCAGCACGAGATGTTTTTAGCCAATCATGACGCGTAATAAGGCAAACGTAACTAACAGAGTCATGATGTATATTTTTTGAGTTGCAATTTTATACCAATCATTTCCCCGCTTCTTTTCATTTTCCAGGTGTACATCTTCAGGCCTTTAAAGTTCAACACGTGTTCAGCTATTAAGATTGCTGTTGAACCTCATAATCCATCTGAGCTGCCTAAAATGTTGGACGGACTGAGAAAAGTGAATAAGAGTTATCCACTTCTTACCACCAAGGTTAGTTTCTACACATTTGCCTTGGACTCCCTGGGAAATACACGAGTCTGAATATGTAGAGTATTGTTCAGCTTTCGGCCCCAAACCTGCAGTCACATTCTTATACGCCTGCGTCTTGTGTAGTTTATCAAGGCCATTTGAAGTTCATTGTGTTTCTTTGTTCCCTAGTTTTTCACTTGTTCTTGACTTATTGTTATGATTATTTTTTTTTTCAGGTCGAAGAGTCGGGTGAGCACGTGATCTTGGGTACAGGAGAACTATACTTAGACTGTGTACTACATGATTTAAGGAAGATGTACTCTGAAATCGGTTAGTCTTGTAATATTTTACACTTCAGAATACTTTCCATTGCAACTTTTTGAGTAATTAGAAAACATATTCAACACTTAGGGGGGCAGACTCTGTTTGTTGGAGAAATTTTCGTAAGTTTGTTTGTAAACCGAGTTTTATGGGCGAAAATACAGAATACAAGGCCAACTCACCTTTGCATTCATTTTTGTATCAGAAGGTGAAATTTTACTGAACTTTTTCACTGGAATATCATTGAGTGATAATCAATGAATGTCAACAATTACTGTATTTAGTAGTTTTGTATTAGATAGTGACTTTTTTCAAGGTTTGTACAAAAATTACCCTGTAGTTCTGAATTTTACAAATGATTATAATGTTAGTGAGGGGACAAGAGGCTTATCCAGTTGCTAATAAGATCCTGTTGGACTGAAGTACAAGAAACAGAAAAAGAAAATTGAATGTTTTGCAAAGTTTATAAAGAGAATCAGAAGGAGCTTTTACAAAAATGTACAACTTCGGTTGTTTGTGTAAGTTATGAATTTGATTTACAACAAAAAAAACAAGGAAAAAATTGATTTTATTTCAACCATCAAAAGAAGTTATTGTCAAAACCAAAATAGCCTACTTATGGTCTCTGAAAAAGGGTACCTCAAAAATTATCTTCTGTAATATTAATAGCCCGCGTTGTATTAAAAAGGGTTTTGCCCAACGAGCGGTATGTGAAACGGTGTAATAAAAAGATAATAAGCGTTCAGTGCAGCTTCAGTTGTAATATCACCTCATTCATGTCTGAAATGTTTTGCTTCATTATTCTTTTGGCAGATATCAAGGTCGCTGATCCTGTTGTAGCATTTTGTGAAACAGTTGTTGAAACATCATCGCTAAAATGTTTTGCTGAGACACCAAATAAGAAGTAAGAGCAGCGTTCCTATTAATCGTTTTTTACCTTGAGCGTGTCCCGAACATGGCTATGTTTGACGTAATATGTTTGCTCTTTCTAGGAACAAGATCACTATGATTGCTGAACCTTTGGAGAAAGGCTTAGCTGAGGACATCGAGAATGAAAAAGTTTTAATTACTTGGAACAAGTAAGTTTCGCAAGGATAACAAAAAACAGCCTACATTTTGCGACGCCACCACTCGTCTCCCCGCGAAATGACGTCTGAGAAACGGGCGCAGAAATTCCATACTGATGAAGCATCACCTCGAGATCTGAGTAGTACTTCTTATTGGTCGTGCTGCGTAGGAAATTTGCTTCCGCCTATCAGAAGCACTACTCAGATCTGGGTAGTGACGCGTCGTCAGTATGGAATTTCTACGTTCGTTTCTCAGACGTCATTTCGTGAGGAAACCAGTGATGGCGTCCCGAAATGTAGGCTGTTTTCTCAGGCTAGTTGTGCGACTTCGTGTCAGAAATAATACCAACAACTTATTTTTTCCTTTTTAGACGAAGTTTTGCGGAACAAAAACCTTAGTGGGTAAAAGAGAGCTTTTTGTCACAAACAAGTTACCAAGTCAGGTTAAAAAAAAACATTGTGCTCAAGATAAGAGTGATAACCATTAAAATCGCAAGATCCTCTTGCTTTTGCCTGCTTAAATTTTTTCGATCACCCTAACAGCTTCTCTAGATGATGTCTGTAAACGAATAATCTCGCTAATCTTGTGCTTTCCTTCGCCTTAAAGCAAATTTCCGCAGTACTCTGTGCGATCCAGGGCATTCAATGCCGAAATATCTTTGTTTTCACACAGAGTAGTTATTAGTCGTGATATGAATCGGGCTCGATTGTTTTTAATGTGGTTTTGTTTGGTCATTAAACAGGAAGAAACTGGGCGAATTTTTTCAAACAAAATATGACTGGGATTTGCTTGCTGCTCGTTCAATCTGGGCGTTTGGACCTGATAACTCTGGGCCTAATATTCTAGTAGATGATACTCTGCCTTCTGAGGTGGACAAGAGTTTGTTGAACACAGTAAAAGATTCCATCATTCAAGGCTTTCAGTGGGCAACAAGGGAAGGACCATTGTGTGATGAACGTGAGTACTGAAGTATTTTTATCCTTTTGGCTTCATGAAATGCCTTTGTATTGCTCATTTGTAAGCAGAGGGAAAATATATAAATTCTGAATCTCAGTAGTTATGCAACTGTTTGCCGATCGGGGGTATGCATGATTATGTGTAGTGTGCGTGATGATGTTAGGTATGCGTAATAATTAATCTGAAGTGTGCGTGATAGTCTGAAATATGCGTGATGACCTGAAAGGTGCGTGATAACCTGAAGCGTACGCGTCTCTTCGGGTTGTGGGCACGCTTAGTTTAATATTTTATTTCCAACCCATTTTCCGATACAATTTAAACCATGTAATCTTCCCCATGATAAAGTGTGAACATTTTTTACAGCTATACGAAACGTAAAGTTCAAGATCCTGGACGCAGTGATCGCTGGTGAACCAATCCACAGGGGAGGGGGTCAAATCATTCCAACGGCCAGACGAGTTGCTTACTCCGCCTTTCTTATGGTAAGCTACCTTCAGTTGGTCTCAAAACCTTTACAACATTTGATACAGCGCTTTGCCAAATTATTGAAAATGGTGATTATTCTTTTTGTTGTTTCCAGGCCACGCCACGTTTGATGGAACCGTATTTCTTTGTTGAGGTCCAGGCTCCCGCAGATTGTGTCTCGTCTGTATACACTGTTCTTGCACGGCGAAGGTAAGTTCATGTATTGTCTGTGAATAAATGGATCAACATTTTTGTAAATCTTATCCGTGGTGCCTTGGCCTTGCCCATTAGTCGAGCTGTGAAAGCCGAGCGCAGAGCGTGAAAAAACAGAGTGAGCCGCGCGAGCCGAATGTGAAAGGGGAGACTGAAGAGAAATGTGATTTCCTGTAACCGCCAAACACATTTGATAAAATCAAATGGTGTCTATGCGTCTAAGGCCCCGTGTATAAGTATAACAATTGTCCTGGAAAGAGTATTACCCTCCCAGCCGGCGAGTCAACTTGAGCGAGCGTTTGTATGAGAGAAAAAAATAACGACCCCCTTGCCCTAGCCAACAGCGTTCGCTCTCTGATTGCCTTGTTTGAGTTGACCCGCCTGGAAGAGGCAAATTGTTTATATGGGGCTTTTATTCTTTATATTTTGGTTTGAATGTTTGAATAAGGGCCCGAAAACTTAAGGCCCCAGGACCCAAAATCTAACATTTGGAGCATCCTTCATCAGGGGGTATAACGACGGACTTTTGCTCGACGTGTCGGTATTTCAAATCCCTTAGACCTTTTGCAATGGCCAATTCACCTTTTAACAAAGTTGATGGAAATGATTGTTTTCCTTTTTAACTCGGATACGTATAATTTGTAAACATTCAAGGTTTATTTGTATTTCTCAGAGGTCATGTTACCCAGGATGCACCTGTTCCCGGCTCACCGCTGTACACAGTGAAAGCTTTTATACCCGCCATTGACTCGTTTGGTTTTGAGACTGATCTGAGGACTCATACTCAAGGACAAGCTTTCTGTCTCTCAGTATTTCATCATTGGCAGGTAAACAATAATTCAATGTTTATCAGACAGCATTGGTAGAAAGGATTCATTTTTTCCTTTCTGCGCTGCCTGAGTGCAAATTGTTGGTTTCAGAATCTCGAAAAGCGAATGTCTAGCTTGCGATTTAAACAAATAGACTGTACTCTTAAACTACTAATGGTTGTATTCAATGCACGATATTTTTCTGGCGGTTTGGAATTGCTCTTTATTCAAGTTAGAAATTACTTTTTGTAAAAGTTAGTTGACAGCTAGGGTAGCCTCCGCGCTCCTGTCGCGCTTCAAGCGAAATGCGCGTTCGCCTCGCTTGGCTCATTAATCGCCTGTTACGCAGACTACAACTAAGGAGACTTTATCTTCATTTCAAGATCTCTGAAATAAGTAAAGACATAAAACTAAGTGCTGCCGCCACTTGCTCGTTAGTGGGGTCTCGGAAACGTTTTCCTGGGGCAGCTGTCGATGGTCAAATGGAAACCTGTGACCAGAAAAGGGGCCGAATTTTACCCAGGGGGGAAGGGAATGCTCCTCAGTAAAACTTAAAGTCTAGAAGCTTTGAAATGCAATTTCTAGATTCTAGGTATCTGTCTTTTCTTTTACGCTTATTGCGCTGTCTATGATACTCTTTGTTGACCACAGCCAACCAACGTTTCAGTTTTAAAGAAAATCTTAACAGACGCCGGTCAAACCGGCTTTTATTGAAACCTCGGTGAAAATCAAGCTTCACCCTTGTATTGTTTCTTCGTCTCAAGAACTCTTTTAAATGGCTTCTTTTGTTGTAATTATTTGCCATTTTTCTTCTGTTTATTGGTAGATCGTTCCTGGTGATCCCCTGGATAAGAGCATCACCATTCGTCCACTTGAACCCCAGCCAGCCACACATCTGGCCAGAGAATTTATGATCAAAACAAGGAGAAGAAAGGTTAGTATTGGTCGTCATCTAGCAGTTCAGACTTTGAATGGTGTAAGTCCTTACCATATCATTGCCTGTCGCTAAGCTTCAAGAGAAATGCGAACCTAGGCTATTTATTGATGATGTTTCAAACAATTCACGCGGAAATGCAAGTACCGGCTCTTAGACCTAATGGATTAAATTTAGATTCGATCACTAGAAGAGAAAAGTTTTGGTGATGATCATATTTCGATGTCCGTTTACTTCGTCTCTGAGAGAGAACGTGAAGTGTTTTGTTTTTCTTTGTTAGTGTTGTTGTTGCTCGGACGTTAGAATATGCTTTTACCAGCAGTGTGATTTTTCCACGCTATAACAATTACAAAAACATTAATTTTGAAATCGTTTTTGTTTTAAAGGGACTGAGTGAAGACGTCAGCATCAACAAATTTTTCGACGATCCTATGTTGCTGGAGTTGGCGCGCCAAGACGTCATGTTTAACTACCCCATGTGATCAAATCCGGAGGATGACGTCAGCGCCAGGCCTGTGACTTGTAGATATAGCCGGCTTACCATCTGATATAAACTTAAACTTCGTGCATTAAGACGAAAACAAGTCGGTATGCGAAATAAAGCTTGAAGACGGCTTACAGTCTTAACGAAAGCACCAACTTCCCATTTCAATTTTTATGTTTTCGTTTTGCTTTTTATTCACATTTGTCGCATGAGGAAATTATTTTCAACTCAGTCTGTGTCCATTAGTTGCTTACTATCATTGAACAACCTGCTAACTGCGCTGTATAGCCTCATACTACGCAGTCGTTGCCTTGTTGGTGACGTACCTGTAGTTTGTATCGAAATCACGGCGAACTTGTAAAAGACATTCTCGTTCGAGGATTCGTGGGCCAGGCCCAGATCATACAGAGGTTTAGATGTACTCTTGCTCCTTTTCTCTCTGCACAGAAAGTTCAGTAGAGGTGTAAGTTAGGTCGCGTAACGTTCTGAATTATTTCAGACTTTGTCCTTGTAAATATGGTTTTTCTGTTTGAATTTTGTCGTAAAATGTTTTTACAGGAAAAGATAGGAACTCGTGGTTTCTATTTATTTCCCAAACAGTAGTTCTCCTTTTTGACATTGAGAATCAAGGTTTTGTTCATAAATGTCTAGCTTGCATGGCGGGCGGGAAATCGAGAGCAGGAGTGTCAGAAGGAAGGGGAGAAAATCTCTCTTTCTTTCTCCCTGTCCACCCCACCCCTGCCGCGCAGGCCATTAACGTCGAAATCTTAGCACTTGTCACCTGTCGTTAGTCTAGAGAGTTTAGAATACAACGACTTCGGACTACAAACTCAAGTGTAAGGCGAGTTTTTCTGTGTTAAATAAACTGCTTTTTTCTTGAATTCTTGGGCGATTTGGTACTCAACTTTCCACACTAAATTACACACCGTCATTAGCCTCCGTAGGTGGCGGTTTTGTCTGGCGAACGCGCGCGACCGAGCGGCACGAGCGGGTAATCTACGATATTAAACCCCCGAGAAAATCTTTAGCCACATGGTAGTGTCTATTGATAATGATCACTTGAAAGGATCCGCGTCGCCATCTTTAATCGGGTAACGGTTTGGTTTCTCACCTTCTTTTCCGTGACGCTTTATGCGCATCCATTCATTTATGGAGAAAACTCGTCTCAGTCGAGTCAACTTTAGCAACTTTAGAGTGCTATTGCATGCTCTTCACGTGATCTGATTGTCTAAAACAGCACCCACAAATGCTGTGATTCTCATCACGCCTTGACTTCGTTGACGAGGGCGAGCCAAATGATTTATGTGGAGAAAGGTTGGCCCAGCTAGGAGGGTGACCCAGCTAGGGGGGGTCACCCATTTGGCCAAGCCAACAGTTAACGGTTCGCCACGTTTTGTAACGAAATGTACGAAAAGTTGGCTCACCCAGGGTAGCTCAGGTAGGCGGGTGACCCTTCTATCCCGGACAACTTTTGTCCATCACAAACGCGGCTTAAATATTACCCAGTATTAAAATTAATTTAGTGAAACATGATGAGGTTTAACGCATGATTTGACAGAACCAAAAAATAATGTTAAATGGTTTGTTGGCTTTTGTCGGTTATTGGTTTCCCGACTTGATTATTTGCTATAAGTCCAATTTTCGATATCCACGATGAACACCGATATGGTGTACACTGTACAGTGGCAAGTAAGTGACAGGCGTATTTCACTAACTTTGACCAGTAGACTACATAAATGGGTATTTTTTCTCTACGCTCAGTAGAGGTGTCTTCTTATCCTAAAGGGACACGTGCTTTGAGCTCTCATTTGCTCTATTTTAGTATGTGTTGCTTAATATGAAAGGATATTTCCTCTAAATCGGTTCCTAAGTTTACATGTAAAAGTGGGTGCTGACGTAATGGCAGGATCAGACGAGAAATACTAACATTTTCATTTGTGTGAGGCTACAAACAATGGATTTCGAATCTTATTTAGAAGCTAATGAGTTATCTTAAGTCCGCCAAAGATTAGATGACTGTCGCGTAATCAGTGTTCGCTTAAATTTGGATGCTAGTTATGGATCGTGTACTAAACGGCGCAGGAACAGCCGCCTATTGGTCGATCCCCATTTAACTCTGATGTTCAGTTCTTCGCGCCTTTCCACACACCGAGCGACTATCTGTTGAGATCAAACATTTTTATCCAACCAGGCGAAAAAGCCAACAGTTTGACGTAAATTTGTCGCAGGCTACAAGATACCAAGCAACTAGGAGTTATATTGTCCCCGAATTTATATCGGACTGAACTTCAGACTGTTGATGATTCACCTTTCGTCTTTTTGCCAAGAAAGGTCAATTTAAGGTATATTCGCCAAGTAGTTCTTCACTGATAGGTTACCACATGAATGACCATAGCGAACAAATGAAGAATTCCAACTTAGTCTATTGGAGCACAAAAAAGGCTGATCGCCAATAATAACTTCGCAGTTTTGTTTTACGCCTCTCAGGTCAAAACAACCCAAATTATACTATTACGGCTGTTAAACCTGATACAATGTTTTTACCACCCATAAAAAGCAAACAATTCAAGCGAAAAATCAATTTGCTTTCCTTGAAACAAAGGTAACATTACTAAGGTTAAGCTACCAAAAATTAGCCAATAACAGGGCGAGTTAGAGATGGGATTGCTCTGCTATGAAGTCACTTATCTTGCCCCCCTGTTCATGGCACCAGTTGATATTACTTCAGTTGTTTTCTGTAGTGCTTTCAAGCATTTTGTTGATTATAAGCTATATCGAAGGAAAATGTTCTAAGAGGAATTGAGTTTGTACTAAGGAAAATTTGTAGACGAGGAAACCTATAGCAAGGTAAGTTTGCTAATGCATTTCTTACTCGTTAATGTTACTGGGAAATTGTAGCAGGCTTTTATGTGAAAGGCGTACCTGTTGAACGTTACACCGAAGACCAAACGCTTCAGTGATCTCTCTTGTTCAAAGTTTGATTTACTTGGTCGAACTTTTTGCGAGTTTACATCTCTCAATTTATGTTCACTACAATTAAATCCGTAAAGTTCAACTCAGAATGCAAAATCGGGCAAACCCTTTTTAAATTAGAAATTGCTTGCTTTGTTATCATAATAAAAAAATGTTTGGGGTGTTATCTTACAAGATTTTTATTCACCTGCTAAAATTTGTAAGTTTTTGTTTTTTCTTGCAGGTTTGAGAATTCTATCTTCTACAAGTGTATAGCAAGTCTGAGATCAATATCATTCTGTGATGTATAGTCTGAAATCCATTGTGGCGTTAAGCTTTTTAATATGTTGTTGGAGTTTACTGGTCGACATTCGACCCTCCTTTGCCATGCCAATTGAAGGAGGTAAGCAGATAACCTGTTTGTTATTCCTCTTTTTAAAACATACTCTTTTCGTGTTGGTCGATAAGCAATTAACTATAGCTTTGACCCATTTTTCGCTTTCTTTATTATGACATTTTCTGGTTCTTGTTTGTTGGTGCCTGTGGGTGAAACCATAATGGGAGCGCGACCGTTTAAAAGGTCTTCTGTAATACGCTTTTCAAGTGCTGTTTGCCTTTAAGTATTGCTTAAGACTAAATTTGACTTTTTAAAACAACTTTTCACTGTCAGTCACTTAATCTGCGACTGGCGGGAGTGATGTAACCCAAGTTGACAGCAGTTGTGAAATTTTGAAATTCTGATGCTTTATGGAGCAGTGTCTTGACAATTTTTCGCCTTTCAGTTCCGTTGAAACCTCGCTAAAATGTTGCAGGAAACTCACTAAATGTGAAAAATAGCCTATTGAACAAGAAACGAAAGGCACAAACTCTTTATCCAAGTTATGTTCAAAAGTGACTAAAATCAGTTACAGCCAATACATCATTTAATGAAATGATCGTCCAAGGCAAAACGCTTTGATAGGATATGTAAAGAGAGTAAGACTGACGAAGTTCTGTTTGATATTGGGGCTTAAAGTGGTTAAATCATGCTGAGAATGCCCCATTAATATCCTTCTTAATCTTGCGTAGTTTTAATTCTTACTGAACTGTTTGATCTTAGTAAATCTAGTAATGCCTCACTTATCCATTCAAAACGAAACTATTGTCTTAATGATAAGTGGCTGTTAAGAGTTCCTAGTTATTACCTTTTTTTGCCCACCGGTGGGAGCGCAACTCGAAAAATTTTGCGTTCACGTTGTCACGCTGTTTGTTGTTGTTGCTTGAAATTGCATAACAATGGCAGTATGAAACAACCATTTTATGGGTCACGGTCATAGCACAGTTTGAAGTTGAATCTTAGCTGTACAACGTTTGGCGTTTAGTTTTGCTGCTTTCTCTATGGCGTAAACTGTGTCTCAAAGATGATATGACGGAAGTTCAGTCTCCGAAAAGGGAAAGCGCACGACATAGCACACATGATGTGAAAATAGATCCTCATCCACCGTTTGATACCTTGAAAATATTCGAGCAGCCAAGAGAAGTTTCACGACCGAGTTTTAAAGGCGGATCTCTTACCTTGATGTTCATGAATCGCAGTATAAACATCTAACAATTCAACACGCCCTCGGACACTGCCACTAAAATAAAAGTTGAGTCTAAGTTACAAGTAAAAATGTTGGGTTTGCACTGTTGTGTAATATTTCCTTGTGTAATTTGGTCGGTTTCCTTCTTATTTCTTTTTAAACTTTTTACAATTATCTATTCAAACACTGATCCCCTGAAAAATCGTGCGGGCAAAATAGGATCCAGAATAGAGCACCTGTGCGCCAAAGGACTGTTTGAATCTCGAACGTGCCTGTGAATGAACACTAGAAATATGACGATGGCTACTATGAAACTTGTGACGAAGGCAATAGTTTCTTTTTATCCATGTGTAGTAGGACAGGTGAAAGGCGACAACTTTGGCGAAAGGTTAAAGCCTTGAGAGAGAACGGATAAATTGGGTTGATGTTAAATATATTCAGTTGACTATGACAGGGCGGAGAAACCTCGTTTCTACGTAATCTTGATTAATTTTGTTCATTAAGAGAACGTTAAAGTCGAAGTTGAATAATTGTTAATGAAAGAACAAGTGGCATTGCAGGAAAAGTTTATGACGGTAGCTTTTTTCTTTACTGCATTTATTTTTCAGTTATTAGGCTTAGCTCGGTTGTTTTAATCGAAAAAGGAGATGGAAAGTCCCAGTTATTTTGAGATTGTTGAATTTTTTCGCAGACGAGAGCGAAGACAATTATCAAGATATGTACAAGCTAATAACTCAAAGATTACAGAACTTGACTCAATCAAATCAGGAAAATGATCAGAACTCACGACGATCATTTGTTCTAAATAAAACCTTAAGCAACAAGGTGACGGAAAAATCGCCAGCGCAAAACATCTCTAATATGAATTTGACGACGGTTTTGTCACCGATTTCAAACTTGACGCAAATGAATCAAACAGTGGCTGAAAACAATCGACGGTCGTTCGTCCCATTAATAGCGAAAAGCTATGCTAAAAGTCCTCTTACAGGAAATGTAGCGGTGGGTACTCAGCTTGTAGGTATCACGGTATCGGGAAACCTACAAAAATCAAACTCGTCGATCAGGAATACAACAGAAGGCAATTCACTGAGAGGAAATTCAGTTACCAGAGGCTGGCAGGCCGGTTATCCAGTGGGGAAGAACTTAGTGTTGGCAAACGACTCGACGAGGAATATTTTAGTGGGAAATAAGGCGCTGGTGAAAAATCAGGTTGGTATTTTAGAGGCGGGAAACCGACCAGTGGACAAGTCATACAATGGAAGCCAACCAACTCTATGGGCGGGAAATCCGTCAAGCGGGAGCACGTTGATAAGGAGTTCAATAGTGAGAGACAAACCAATGGCGAACGTTGTCGCAGGTGACTTACACGTTTCCAGGTTTTTGAATAACGCAGAGCATACTAGTGCTTCAGTGTTTCCTAATTCGTACAACGCAGGTCCGTCGACCGTCCCCGAGGATCGAAGTGGTATTTACACAAATCTTTACAGGTATCCACCGCTATACGACAAAAAGGATGCAATTTATCGCCAAGCTTCCACCGTGCATGATCATTCAACCTTGTACAACCGCAATCCAAGTCAAACGACGGGTGCCCATCAAAATTACCAACATCCGGGCAACTATCCCTGGTCACAAGGCTACCCAGGATATGTAAGTCACCTAAATTTAAAAGAACAACAGACGCGGCGTAGTTACCTAGCACGAAGACCTGGTTACCCAGGCTACCAAGGGTATGTAAGCTACCCAAATTTTAAAAAACAACAGACAAGGCGTGGATACCTAGCACGAAGACCTAGTTACCAAGTAGGTTATCCACGTGCTTTGAGGCAGGGAAAACAAGTTAATTACTCTACAACAAAGCAAGTTCACACCAAATATACAGCGAAAACTGATGTCCAAAACAACAAAACAATCAACAAGACTGATCAGTACTCTGCGCCTGAGGTCTCATCGAATTCAAATACTATACAAGAAAAATTCCCAGACAACCGTGGTGGAATAAATACACCGTCCTTGTTTGATCCCGTCTCCCCTGAAAATAACAATGCTGAAAGCTTCGGTTCAAGTTCAGGTTCCGGTTTCGAAGAGCCAGTTGAAATGGGAAACGAGGCTGACTTTGAAGAACCCCGGGAGCTTATTACCAGTGGAAGTGGTGACGAAAGCGGGGATTTGAATACGAATCCAGTGTCTGATGTAGCCTTCATGTTAGCAGGCACGAATCATAAGCTGCGTCCTTTGTCAGTAGCAGGCCTTCCGAAGAAATTGACAAGAAAGCAGGCCCTTGATATCTACAAATCAGCCATGTACTTTGCTGGTCTAATGAAAGAAGGTGAGTGTTGAGGGGTTTTTTTAATTTCAATCTCCAGGTGATTTGACACGCAGAATCAGAGTCAAGGCCATGTTTCAAGGCCAAAAAGAGAGTGGATGAACTTGGCGATTGAACGGTGAAATTACAATAGACACGTAAGCTCCTTCGTGTTACTGCCATCAGATCTTCTTGCAGAGAGAGTGTATTGCGCAAGCGTAGTGTTGGTTAGCATTTGAAAACAAGTGAAAACTATTAAAAAGCCGCCTGTATAGAGGATTATGTTATAAGTTTAATTAGTTTGTGTTCTCACTTTGGCAATGTTTGTCTTACAGGAACTGACAACAACGATACAACCAAGCTATTTTGTGACGCTACAACGCTTACAAAACGAAGTTGAAGAAACCTCAAAACAGAGACAGTAAAATACTCTTATACCACTCATACCACGGCGTCACGGTAGAAGACAGGCCAATCACGCAGGAAGGCTCTCAAACTAGACTTTGCTAAATATATAACAGCAACAGATACAATGAATACGTCAACAGCTACTAAAACAAAACCACTTTCTGCTACTAGTAATTTACTGGAACTACAGCTGCAACAATCACTACAGCAACAGCAAGAACACCAGTATCAAGTACTAGTAAAGACAGCAACGAATAGAACAACAACAACAACAGTTTAAAAACAGCGACATTGGAAGAGGATCGGCTTACCATGTTCTAATTTTTCCTTCCCTCACCTTTTCATCTTACTTCAAGAAAATTCAGACCTTTACTCAGACGGTGCGTGGTTACTGCACAGCCACCGATACCCACTATTTGAAAAATATCCATCAAAAAACGTCTCTGTTTCGACCAGGCACTGTAGTCGACAAGTTCACATCCTCATTGTTTTTTGCCAATCGGAGCCGAAAATGAATACCTATGTACATGTTAAAGAAAACGTGGATCAGTAGGGCGAGACTGAGAGGTTGCTAAGGTGTAACATTGTTTATTCTTTTTGTTTTTCAGATAATAATGTAGACAGTAGCTCTGAGCAGTCTGACAATGACGATACAGATAATGATGATAACAGTGAACATCCATTCACAGACGAAGATGATGATGACGTAACTATAACTGACAATGACGTCAAGGAAGCGTTGGCGGCTTCCAGTGGAGAGTTGTACTCAAGTGGTCAAGAAGCAAGTGACGTGGAGTCCTCTGGTAGTCAATTGGAAGCGCCTGTTAAAGTGCTGCCAAGTATAAGGAATGACACGTCGACTGGTGAAAACGAGGCTCCAAAGGAAAGTAATGTGGTGGTTCAGAACAATGATAATGGAGCTTCAAGTAGCGAAAATGTGACTCCTGTAAGCAGTGAGGTTCAAAAACAAGCCAGCGAACCATCAACAGTAGAAAACAAACCTCAGCAAAACGATATCTCCTCTGTGGACGAGAAAGTAGAAAGTGATACTCAATCTCAGGAAACTTCGAATTCCAATAACTTAAGCCAAGCATCACCAGCGGAAAGCAGCGCTCCTAAGGAGCAAAGCCAAGCGGTAGATGTTCAAACCAAGGAAGATGATGACACAGATACACCTCCTCCATTGGATACTGGAGCAAGTCAAGTGTCTAGTTATAAACAAGCCAGTGATTCTGCGCAGTTGGACCTCAATACTCCGCCATCAGATGAAACTCTGATGAAAGAGACTCAGGCAAATTACGCCGCTGACCAGCATGCCGAGCAAGTGTTGTCTAAGTTGTTGAAATGTAAGTGAAAAACTCGCTTGGGTATATGAACTATTTTCGCATTTTTGTTCGAGATTATAAAAGGAGGGTTGGTTCATAATCTTCAGAAAAAGAATAAGGTAAACACTTCTCTCTTTCTGCACCGACGATCAATCTGGGTCATTGAAGCAGCCACTCATGCAATAGGAGGGTTGTGACTCAAAACAGTTTCCTGTACTTTTATTCTGTTCAATTTGAGAAGGGTGTCACATTGCTGGTCATAAAACCAAAGAATGGTTGGAAATGAAACATATGCTAGGAGCAGAAAAAGCTGGTTCTATTGACCAGCCACCCTCGTGCAACGCATTGGTCTTCTCATTGCCTTCTATTTCACGTCTTCCTGACCGCTTTAACGAAAGAAAAAGCTCGTCTGGGTTATCGGGACAACCCTATGCTCTTCCAAAAGCTGTTCTTGTCAGAGTCACACCCTTGTCCTTGAAACAGGGGGCTCTTGTTACTTTCTGATGCCTTCTCTATTTTACACTTAACTCCCTTAAATTAAACTTGACAAAACCTCCCAGCGGAGGAGAAATATTTCATATCATCAACTGAGTTGATTAGTTGCCCTCGCTACTGTAAAATGATTCGAGAGGTGACTTATCGAGCTTTTCCTTCGATACAACGATTTGATCAGACTAGGGTGGGCAAAAACCGGAGCATCACTTCCGATGGGGAAATAATGTTGTGGTACATTATTTTTTTCAGCTCGGCAAAGAGGTGTTTATTCTTCGCCAACGCAGAGGGCAGTGATTTGCAAAGATACGACGCAGAAAATATTCTGTCCACCTAATCAGAAAATACGGATTTTAAACGCTGATTATGGTGATACAGGCAATGTCGGCTGTCTAAAGGAGGCCAATCCAATGCCGTCTGGACCGTGCCGCACGCCAGGCGCCTATGAGACAGTAAAACGAGATTGTGAGGGATTTGATGAGTGTGAACTATCTGCTAGTAATGATGTTTTTGGCAACGCTTGCCCTGATTCGAACAAGTATCTGGATGTAAATTACGACTGTGTCAATAATGCGGGTAAGTTTTGATGGAATAGTAAACTTCAGTTTCTGAAAGTGACCAAAGGCAGTGAAACTGTTAGCGGTAATTTTTGAAAAGTTTATCGTCTTTCTTTTCAAAATTCGTACCACCAACGCTTTAATTTTGTTTAGGAAATTAGGTAATAGAAAATAGCCAGAAGTGATCCATACTTGAAAAAGAGTTTTAAATTTTTGGCAATTCGTATTGTTCAGCACACCGGAGTTAGACGAAATAATTTTTTGTTTTTGTTTCATAATGAGAAGGCAGGACCCACCCTGCCTCACGTATCTAATGTGATCTCAAAACCCTGTTATGATTTAATTATGAATAACCAATCATACTGGAGAAACACATAAGCTACCCGTAAACTAGACAGCTCGGTAAACTCATAAGTTGTCAAAATAGAACACTGTAGAGTCAAGTTTCGGATTAATTGGAGTTTTTCAAACTGTACATAATGAGGAATTCTATGGATATCTTGTTACCATTTGTTTTCTTATTATTTTTAAATGATGTTTATGCAGGTATTTCAGTGACGAACATATAACGAGGCCCTTTTTTTTTCAAAATGTGCAAATCCTAGGTTGATAACTTATCGTATTTTCCTAAATCTCTAGCTCCTTCGCTACACTGGTACGACCTCTGGAAATACCATTCTAACCCTCTCCACGAGAAAGGTTTTGATTTGCTTTTGTTAAACAACACTTACTTCCAACAACCTAGGTTTGTTACTTTAGCCTGTAAAGCTAACATTTTGTCTTAAACTTTGTCTTCGACGTTGAAAAAACAGCACGTAAAAAATACGATTCGCCACCTCAGGATTTTCGAACATCGTCGCCCGGTCTTCGACCCATTGTTCAGCCTCCGCAATCTGCCTTTCAAGGTTTTCATAATATGCTTACATCTTACTTTGTTTTTGATACTTCTTTGTGATAGAAATGTTGTAACTGATAAGCTGATGATATTGCTTTTCAGTGCCATATGCACCCCCTGCACCGGCATACAGTCAAGGTAGGTAACAAATGGATTTTTCGTCTTTGAAATTTTCAGTTGCTCTCGAAGATTCGTTTTTCCTTTTACTCGTTCACTTTCATATCATAGCTCAGTCGTCTCCATCTGATACACCAGCCGAAGAATACTTTGTTTATAAAAAAAAGCATTGAATTAGATCTTTGAGTCTAAGAGGACCAAATTTTAAAAACTTATGATTAAGTTAACGCCCTTACTAGAACCCAAGTATGTGAGAACCTTTGAACCTTTTTTATATGTTGAGTTGTACTGGCCTTATTCTCAGACAGTCCGAGATCTCTAGCTCTAACGCCTTTTAAACTTCTGACAACAGTTGAAACTCCCGTCAGCGACAAACGAAAATACCAAAAGTTGGTAATCGTTCGTTGGAGGTGACCGCTTACGCGAGTCGTACCTCAGGACTCTCAACTGGGAACACTTCTGACACACCTAGTTGCAATACCACCTACATTGGATATCAAAAATATATTGTGACAATGATAGAACAAAACTAATTATGTTGTCGGCTGTTGTGTGGTGTCACATTATTGAATTTTTAGCGTTAGGAGAAGTGACCATGTGTCAGTTGGAAGCCTAAGGGTTCAAAAAATACAACTTCCTTAACCGGCGCAAGTCGCCGTGGACTCACATGAGGGTTTGACTGTAACTGAATTAGTATCAGTCACAGATAGAACAGTGAAGAGCACCTCGAGGCTGTCATTTCAAGTGCCTGTTTTGCTTTGAGCGAACTTCTTCTGTGCCTCTGTGAAAGTTCCTAAGCCAAAATTAAAAATGTAAATAAAAAGCTCATCTTTTCTAACAATCCTTTTTATATTAATTAACAGCTAGTTACCAGCCTGCACCACAGTACGTCAATCCCGTCCCACCCCCAGTGGCGGCCTATGCACCGGCTCCTTATCAAGGTTTGTGTTAAATAATCCATTTTGTCATAGGTGATGGTCAATACGGAAGTATATATGGATGACAGATGCACCTACTTTTTGCATTCTTTCAACAGTTTTTCTGTGGTGTTTTAGTACTAAATTTTGTCTCTGTAACTACCCAAAACAATAGTATTGGGATGTCTTAGGTTCGAGTTTTTTTAATGTATAGTTGGGTATTCTGTGCCACTTCTGATCGTGTCATCTTTCCTTGATGTTGGTGTTTTTGTGTCTGAGTGGCCAAAAACTTGAACCATTTTTAAAGTTTGTATTTGTTTTAACTATTAGGCAATGGCAGACCTGCGCAACTTATTCAAAACTTTTTGGGCAAATAAAAGTACATTAATTTACTTTTCTTTTTCAATTGTTATTTAAAGAAAACTCTCTTTATCATAAGTGCACCTACACGCTTTTGCCTGTCTTATTTTCATGGGTTTTTCATTGCCTCTTGTCGATTTCGTGTTTCATTTTGTAGAAATTCTCTTGTCCGACAAACCAGGTACTAAAAGTTTCTTTTTCTTAAACGCAAGAAAAAACTACGTGCCTTTTCTCCAAATTCTGTATTGATTTCATAATATTCTTCGTATTTGCTGTGGTTCACGCAAGAATTATGTCAGAGAAATGTACTGTAAAGTTAGAAGAGAAAACAGATAGGAAAAATATGCATGGTTATTTCTGCCCCTGTCTTGGACTTGAACAGAGGAAAGACTATGCATTCAACAAAATATTACGATGTATAAATTTTGTATTTCCAGCCCCACCGGCACCCGCGTACGCACCATCCATGGGACTTCCGGACATTATGCCACCAAACCCTTATGTAGCTCCTGATCCGTGTAATCCTTGCAATACATGCGCACAATGTTCCTTACAAGTGTGTAGTCCATGTGCTCAGACATGCCAGCCCTTATCCTGTCCTCCGCGCATACCAGCAAAGCTACAACCGCTGTGGCAACAGTGGAATGAAAGGACTGCAGGTAATTCCTTTTTCCTTTACATGATGTACGTTTGATTTCATTAGCCACCATGGGTAATTGGCCCTTTTCACAGTAGAGACGCATTATACGTCTGAGACGGATAATCCATCTTCAAAATCCGTCAAAATTGACGGAAAACAGATGGACAAAGTGAGGCGGATTATCCATCCAAAATTAAGACCGTTCCATTTTCGAATTAAGACGTATTGTCTGTCTGACGCGAATTATCCAAGGGATAACCCGTCTCTAGTGTGAATACGGCCATTATCTTCATTTTCACCACCATCATCATAAACAATGCCAAAGGAAAGTACTGTTCATGAAGCAGCTTTTGAATGGTCACATTTCAGGATTTCATCCTCAGGTCAAAAAATTTAAAATCCCCTTACAACATAATAAACAATAGCACAGGAAAGTACTACACAATAAAATTCAAAGGAAAATACATGGTAGTACTTTTAAAGAATTTCATAAGCTGAGGACACTCAAGAAGTTGATTTCTCAAACTCATTGATAATTCATTAAAAATACAAACTGGAAATCAATGTTTATGAGTGTTCGGAAATCAGAGGAAAAACTGCTCACTTTTGCATTCTTAATTTCTCCTTCTAAAATCAGTTTGTTTAAGAAGTAATATCAAACATTCGAAACAGTGTTTCATCACCAGATAAAACACCTCGAAGCTCGTCAAAAATACTCCGCTGCGCGTCGTATTTCAACTCCCTTCTCTTCGTTTCATCTGGTGATAAAATACTGCGTCCCATGCTTGATATATTACTTGAAACAATATCTTACCATATAGATTGAAGATTATATATAACAGTCGCTTCCGTATTTATTCATTTTTTCAGACATGAGTCGCATGGAGATGGCTGCTTTGATAATTTCACCTCTACCTAAGCTCTCTCCCACCAAAGCTTCCGAATCGACCGAGTCTTCGGGCGCTGCCGAAGGATCTGAATCTGGTGAGCCAACCCTTGACGAGGACGCTTTGTACGAGGCGAGTAAGAGGTCGCAAATTCAACGAATAATGCCACAGAAAAAGTCAAAGAAAACCACTTTAAAAACGCATGGAAAAAACAGCAGTGATCAAGAGTTTCTTAGAAATGGCGACTTAATTTCTTCGTCTGGTGACGCAAGTAGTGGCTCTTCAACGTAAAAGTCTTCGAGTGGGAAAATTCCTCGCGAGTCTTGGGATCACTTCATCTATAATTATATGGTGATCTAAAATCATAATATGTGGTGTGCAAGACATTTTAAAAGCTTAATTTTGGAGGAAAGAGACCTGCAAAACCTAGAACAAAGCAACAGCATCTTAAATATAATCATGTGCAGCATTAACGGCACACCATAGAGACTGCTATGTGACTCAGAGACATGCAAAATGATAAAAACATGCTTGGGTTAGGGAGGAGTAAAAATGATAAAGGGACTGCCAAGAACGAATTGTTCATCTCAGATGAAAACTATAGAAACATGAGGCAGGATAACAGTTTTTTTTTTTTCGTTTTTAAGGAGACTTAGAGGTTTTAGAACAAATCTTTTAGCCCTTTTAGACGACTATCTCAGTGCTCTTTGTCTGTGAACATTTATATAGCTGTTCATACAGTAGCTCACAGCGCTGACGCACGCAGGTTCTCTCAGAATCAGCAGGATGTGTCTTTTTCTTTAAAATGTGGTATCCTTTCCTTATGTAATTTCTAACGTTTTATTAGCCATTTACGAATGTATAGGTAGCAGCAGCATTTGTAGCGGTATTTTGGCATAATCAATATAATTGAAAGATGTTTTTTGAAATTTTACGAGTAGCATTTGTTATTAGAAATCAGTCAGGTACAAAAAATGCTATAAATTGTTTTTACTGTTACCCAAGAAATTTCTGCAATTGTAACATGAAGCATTTCAAATTAACCTGAGATACAACTGCTTTCAGCCAATAAAAGTGAAGAAATTTTTTAGATAACAGCATACAATGCAACGCCGGTATTTTCCAATACCTGGCTAACATCCCTCGAGTACCAATGAGCCATTAAAAAGTGTTTCCTGTCAGTTAAAAACGAAGGGGTCAAAAACTTGTTTTTAGGAAGCTTTTGCATCCATTGTAATTGGCGAAATCAGTCAAGTTTCAACTGAAACCGAAAGGAATGGCTCATTTTTTAACGTATTAGGTGGACAATAAGGGAAGTATAGAGATGTTTTTAGTAGTCTAAAAATATTTAGGACTTAATGTTACCTTCTCCGATAGTTCTTACTATGTCCTATCCATGTATTGGAGCTCAATGAACTTTGCGAATTTCTATTATCGATGTAAATAGGACAGTAAAATGGCATGTTAATTGGAGCGTTATATTTTTAATAATAAACACGTGACACTTTTTAGCTGTCTCAAGAATAACATTGATGTCTACTTAAAGTCTCCTTCGCAGCCACTCGGGCCGGACACGCAATGCTGACCATGTTTCCGCGCGAGCGGCTGGGAAGGAGACTTGTCTTCTTATAAATTGCATATGAACCTCTCTTTGTCTTGCTTACATGTACTGTGCTGTTAAGCAAGAGTAGGGGACTGAGCCTGCATTCATGGCCTCAGGTTCAAAAGATGAGCGCAGTTCGTTTTCTTTTCACATTGCTAGGCCAAAATAGATTATTTGGGTTGCACTCGCTTCTTGGTTATCTCCTACATATGCTCTTTGTTGACCCCAGGGTGAATTATAACTAGTGATTCATTCAGAATGTTTGTATTGTAGATGAAAAGTAAAGTGTCCTTCATTCAATCTAAAAATGGGTCAATGGGTAACGAAGTTGGGATCGCGAAAATTACATATTTGCCCAAACGTGACTAAGACCGGGTCTATAAATGGCCACAGAATAGACTATAATGGGGTAGGGGCTCTGAGAGGCCAGCGGCACATACCCAACAAAAATTAACCCAAGGGGGGAGAGTAACATGTTGCGACATTTATCTGAGATTCAATGTTAGAGTTAGCTCTACTAGTCTTATTCTACTTACCAGAATGGACTACAAGGGATTCATCATGTTGCTTTGTTTTTAATAAGTTTCTTGGTATCTTTTATTCGCTTGGTGAAACGAGACACTGCGAAGTAAATTTGCAGTGAAATTTGAAACGTTTGAATCAAACAAAAGGTCCCGGATGTTCAAGTGTTAATCGGCCTTAGGTAGACCTCTCCCTGGTTTTCTACGGTGTATTCAGTGGATAGTCTTTTATCTGGTAGGATGAGATTTCCATTTTTCTGTCAACCGCGCACACAGACGTTGATAACACGGCGATGTGCTAATTAGCTCCTCTTTTACATATCTTTTAATAGACATTTTTACCAGTCCCCCTCCTATGACACCAGTGATGCTCTAAACAGTGATGAGCTAAATATGAGTGGATTGACGAGTGTCTTGTGGAAAGGCCGAGGTGGAATTTTTTTAACGACGCCTTTTAATTACTACACACGTGAAAGCTTTGTGCTCTCAAGTATTTCAGGACTTCCCAAAAACTAGCCCGTTGCATCCAGTTGTAGATAAATCAATACGCGCACCATCAGAAAAAAATGCATCTAATTGCTGGTTTTCAATGTCACGCCATCCAAAATAGATCGAAATGAAAATCAAAACCATGCGCCACTAAGTCCAGAATCTGGGAAATAAAAGGAGGTAAATATACAAAGACCCTCGCCAAGATTTGGGTTGAAGGAATAACTCATATACGAGATATCCGAGGAAATGTTTTACCCGAATTTATAGAGCTTTGTATGGAGACGCCATGCTGGAGCTCATCCGGATGAGCTCCAACATGGAGGACGGAAACCAACAGAAACATCTGTTACCTAGTTTTGCTACAAAAGCGTGCATTTACTCCCAGAGGAACTCATAAACATTAAAGTAATACTTTTTCTAACACTTGAACTGTTTAGATAGCAAAATTTCTCGAAAAAAGTTACTTTTTTATCCCAAATGACAGCTCTTTCGGCCGTCATGTAAATGCCGCGTCACGCAAAAGCTTAGAAATTCAAGCGTACTCTATTACAAAACCAAGAACCCTTTTGAAGCGAAAATTTGTTTGAAAATTAGTTTTCAGCTGTTCTAATACACCATGAAAGTAAAATCTCAGTAGGATCGATAGTTTTGTAGTTTGAATTTTAGTGACGTCATGTGAAAACCAACAATATATAGATTTAGCTAGGGCTAAAAACGAAAGCTCCTGTCACAGTTTTGGTTCACTCCAAACAGTGAACTTAAAGAACTTAAAGAAATCCAAAGATCTATACTTAGCTTTATGTGGGGACCATATGACGCTTTAGGCACGAGCTGCTGATTTCAGAAATAAAATTGAACTTGAGTCTGTGATCAATTTATGCTTATAACTGGTCAGCGTTTCGATTAGTTGAAACCCGAGCCCGCGATATTTACATCTCATGTGTACTGGTCAGCGCATACCCTTTTCTGACATAACCATAACATGGACGTCGATTATCAAGTTGAACACAGGTTGCAGGCTCCCACACAAGCTAAAAAAATCTCATTCCACATTGGTTATCCGGTGGTGCCGACGGACGGGCGGGTGGACGAATGTATGGTCACGTGACTAACAAAATATCTCGGATACATAGATTTTAAAATTTTCTTATCCATGGTGCATCGCTATGAATGGTGACAATGCTCTAAGCATGGCGGTCAAGAGGTTTAACGCTCATTTAACCTTCATAGAAGATTAGTATTTAGAGCTCTTATCAGATATCAGATGTAAAAGGCGGGATTCGCTGACCACCAATGACTGCTCAGTGAAATGCTAACAAATCTTAACACTGATGTGCAAAAACATTTATCCCACTATTTATAAAACTATCCCAGGAGCCCGGATCACCCTGACTCTCCGTGATTAAGTGGCATCTAGCCAGTGAGCCTCATATCTGGATGTGTACCGTGGCGTTGCATTCCCTCAGAGACCATATTGCCCGTCTGTCGGATTAATATCCGGGTACTTGTGACGTATCGATGAGGTCCTGTGAAGTTCGAACATTTTGTCTCCTCTTCTCTTTTTATAGCCTAAGAACTGAACAGCACTTGTCCATCTTATTAAACAAACATGAACGGATAACGCCTACCATGACCTTCACCAATCCAGGGAGAAATTATCGGTTATTTTTCTGTTTGTTCTTAGTTGACTGGATCATGTTTAGGTTTTATTTAGCTTTCTTGCTGGTTCCTCATTTTACAGTTTTAACACAGACAAGCAAAGCCTTGAGATGAGTTTTTTTATGCCTTTTCTACTCATGCGTAGATATTTGATTAATTTCGTCAATTGCCTTTTGATTTTCCTTCATGCAAACACCAGAAACGCAGGTAGACAGTTATAGCCTTCTACGATCACTTGACATGGCTTCAACAATTATTCAACAGCCATAAAAGCAAACTCGCTATTGACATCTGAGCATTTGTTTTCAAGAGTCAAACTGTAAGTTCCTTGGGCGTGACCATGAATGGGAAGATCAGTTAAGAAGTACGTATTCGTGGTGCCCTTTACTATTTCGCGTGTTGTTCCAAAGCTTAATCAAGCACAAAGCGGAAGTGGACGGTAGACTCTCCGTAAGTGTACGTCATTCCGTGCGCCAGCCCTTCGAAGGGCTGGCGCTTCTGTATCTCACTACGGTGGCCAATCTATCCTGTAAACTCAGTTGATAATAAAATCAAACCTTTGTACTTCACTCGTACACCGACGCAACAACACAGGTCCTTTAAAGAATAACCCATACATTCTCAGTAAGTGCAATCATGCAGATGAAAGACGTGTTTTAGAAACAGAGCATTTTTTGAGCGAAAAATTTCTTTGCTTCGCTACGACTAGTCACCTTTCAGCCTGTAATTTCTCAAAATTCATAAATCTTAAAAAATGATTGTACCCTTGATAACATAGCACAAGGCTTGCTGGGTAAACTAGTTTTTGTTTCCACAGTTTTGGAATTAAAAAAAAAAGATAATAAAAATAAACAAACAAATGAACGAAAACCAGAAAGTTATATTTATTTCAACTTTGCCATTGTTTCTTACCAGACAACCATGACAGACTCATTGAGCTTTTAACGACCATTCAATCACTTTAAGTTCGCCATCACACAAGTAGTGATATAGAAAAGTCGATTTTTCTGTCTCGATTATTACAGGGTCGATTAACAGGGGTTGTAAATCAGAAAGCCATCTCCAGGTATCAATTCGAATCACTGAAGATTCGACTAAACTTCGTAACAGAAACAATCTCTCTTTTCCCTCGCCCCCTTCAATTTCCAGTGATAATCAAGACCCAAACTTCTTCCTGAATAGCACAAAAATATGTCTTTCTATTGCAGGTACTCAGCGTGTATTTGTCTAGATGTGTCACACTTAAAACCTAAGTTCTCAAACAAGCAACAAAGCAATTGACAAAGACTTAAGCGTGAAATTAGTTTATTTTGAAAAATACTTACTTTTCGTGCGATTAATAAGAAACCCTGACTTTTAAAGGAAGAAATGTTCGATTTTTAGTATACCTCAGTTTTCTTCTCTGGTGCTCCCTTGTCACTTGTTCACCGCATGACTGGTAAATACTGAAATATTAACAATAACCAATGACCCGATGAAAGGGCGTGGACTTAGGAAAAGCGTACGAGAAGAACTGCCTTAACGCCACTAAAATTCAAACCATAACACTAAGTGTTTCTGGCGAAGTCTAAATTGTTTCTTGCAGGTCAAGAAATCAATTCATCTATTTCAGAAATAATGACTGACGCACAAAAACCAAACTACCTCAGATGGTATGAATTATTAATCAGCTATGGTCCCTGACTTAAGTGAATAGAAGATTACAAAGGTCGGTGAATAATTTAGCACTTCCAGGCCCTGGCATAAAACGTTTTCTTTCAGTAAATCAGAATCCAATCCGTAATCAGGGAACAAGCTTCAGAGAGAAGGTAGGCAAAACGGCTATCAAGCAGTGAATTGATTTGGTTCGCTGTGGTTCAACGAAAACCATTAGGTGGGAAAAATGAACGTACAACTCTTGAAGTAAAGAGTGGGACCAAGATAAATTTGTGTTTTATCGCGGTATCATCAGTTAAACAAAAGGAAACTCAACGCGTTATTAGCCAAGAATTGAACAGTTGAAAACATATTTACTTTTAAAACATTAGGGAGCTTTGACGATCACGTTTTAAGACTGATCATAGCTTTTGGTCAGTGAAACAGCTGTTTTCTTCTAAATCTAATTATTATAATTTGTATATATATTTTATAGCCCATAATGGCTCCTAAGACATTTTTAGTATGTCTTGCACTACTGGCGGTGGCCTACGTCGAAGCGGGAAGACACCCTAAAGCTACTAAATTAAAGAAAGGTAAGTTCTTTTTTTAGTGTTTTCGTAACGAAATAACAGAATAATCGAAGAGCAGTCTTTATGGACCTCTTCATAAGTCACTGAAAGATGAAGGAATATATAAAAGTTTCATTGTAGTCTAAGACTAAAAGAAAGCGAAGTAACAATGCATTATTTGGCAGTGACGAGGGTGCAGCAAACCAAAATATTAGATTTCTCGTCCGTAGGGCTCTCTGTGGTTCGAAGCTATCGCTTTGAGATTCTTTTATGTTGTTGCCTCGCTTTTATGAATAGATCAGTCAAGTAAAACGCCAAGTGATGCAAAAATTAACATGTTACTTAAGAAAACGTTTACAAGCAACAAGGAAATTTCTGAAAAAAGTAGAATTTGACACACGAAAATTTAGAAGCGACGATCGAAAAGTTTGGCCACATGTAGCCCACCTAATACCACCTGTAGCATGAGGTAAACATCAAAATAGTGCCGATATTAATTCTACCAAGGGTAAAAAAGATTTTAAGTTAAAAGTCTTGTTTAATTTGTTCACAGAGAAACTACAAAAACCCTTTTTTGGTGCTTACAGAACCTGAATGGCTAACAGTTATCTTACTAAAACTTTTCTGTAAAGCTCTTATGGGCCAGTTTTCCAAAATTAGTATGCTATGTACTTCCTAGCTTCTTACGAGCCTCTGCTTGAAAATATGATTAATGAAGGTCTCAATGGTTAAGCATTACTCTCACTCTATGGAGAGTGTACATCAGTTGAGAGTTCAATAATCATTTTTTGGAGCTAATGCATGAATTCTGTAGATCAGTGGTGAGAACTGCGATCATTTTTCGGGCCACGAGTAACGTTGATTGACTTATCAGGTCTTACGGTGTTAAGTCATCGGCCCTAGAGTTACCTCTCTCTTTTTCACAGCCAAGTAACTCTGTGTTCTTTTCATTAAAGGTTTAGCTTTCGGATTCAATTGCATAGGCACGGTTATTCAACTGAAATTTTTGAGTGTCTGAACGTAGCCCCCAGGGTGTCATTAATCACAGTATTTGGCACTGATTGCTTTTCCAACTTTTTAAGTCCAATTTGTTGAACTGGGAAGCTCATGGGGCGAAAAATCATGACATTTAAAATGTTTTATTTAAGCTTCATTTGCACCTTTTTTGTTTTCTTTAGTTACATCAAGCAAAGGATCAAAGAAATGCGGCCCTATGTGTTCAGTTTCATGCGCACCTCCTTGTCCCCCAACATGCTGTCCTCCTCCCCCACCCCCACCCCCACCATGCCCTCCCCCATGCCCACCACCACCACCCCCTTGCCCACCACCTTGCTATACCTCAAGTATGACACACTCTCATAGCTCCTCTTGGGCACCACCTCCGCCACCACCCTGCCCACCTCCCTGCATGCCACCAGGTCCCCCTCAGTCTGTTCACCACATCCATCATGTAACACATCATCACATGTTGCCAGCACCACCTCCACCCCCACCACTTCCATGCCCTCCTCCTTGCCACACAGCTAGTGTTATGCACTCCCACAGCCACCAATGGGCTCCAATTCCCCCACCTCCTTGCCCACCACCTTGTTCACCACCAGGCCCACCCCAGAGAATCCATCATGTCCACCAAGTTGTCCACCACGTTGTCCACCCACCACCGCCGCCACCACCCTGCCCACCACCCTGTCCTCCACCCTGCCCTCCCCCATGCCCACCACCCTGTCCTCCCCCATGCCCTCCACCCTGCCCTCCCACATGTGCCACAACCTGTGCGCCGTCCTGCCCAGTATCATGCTGCAAGAAGAACAAAGTAAAGGATCAGGAGGCTTCTAGCAATGACGAGGATGAAGAAGAGACCGAAAACGAGGACGAGGCTGTACAGAAGGAAGAGAAGAAACAAGAGGATGCAAAGGCAGAGGAGAAGAAAGAGGACAAACAAGAAGACAAGCAGGAAATTAAGAGCGAGAAAAAAGTGGAAGCTAAAGACCAAAAGAAAGAAGACAAGGAAAACAGCGACGATGAAGATTAACTCAATCGAGCTTTATAGATAGGTTTCTTTTGGTGTATGTTACACGACGTTGTTGGCGCCCAGGACGATGCGCACTTAGTGCGGTGTACCAGCTGTACGCATGCTCCTACGCTTGTGAATAAAAGAATTTCGATATTTCGCCAGTTAATGTGAAGTTATGTTTTGAAAGAAGTTGTACATGTCCTTGTTGATATTTAATTAAAGGTGTAGCGTTTTAAACTATTTCATTTTCGTCTGATGTGACTTCATGTGAAGCCCTAAGCAATGCAGGTGAAAACGCCAACTCAACTCAGTTGATCTCCAGTCCGTCATCCTAATGCGCATATCAGTGTTATGTACCTGTTTTCCAAAAAAAAAAAGAAAGAAGAAAAAAGCATTTCCTATCCCGATTAAACTGTCCCACTCAATAAGAGATGTAATCAGATCTAGGAAACTTAAATTTTCTCTTCAGTTTTTGAGTTAGCCTTACCGTTAGATGAATTTGTTCAAAGTTTCACTAAGGTGTGCCATGAAACTTCAAAGAAAATATGATTGCTTTACATAAACGATGGCGGAGATCTCAGTTACAACAAAACCAGCTACCTTCTCCCCTGAGAAAATAGTCTGCTTGAAGTAAGCTCCTGCACCTTTTCTTTTACCAATACTTTGAGTGACACTTACTCTTTAAACATTTACAGCCTTAAGCAACAAGGTTGTATATTTAAAACTTAGGATACGAACCCAAGGTTTCTATTGACGAACAGTGATTTCACCTTTTAAATCGAGATTGGATAATTAGAACGCTATTAGTGTTCTTTCACAGTGTAAATTTGGGTACTTCTGAACAATTTGGTATAAAGTATTCACCGGCACAAGGAGTGAATCTTCTTCATTTACTATTTAACGGACAGTGAGTTCGGTAGCCATTAAGAAAGGGAAATTTGGGAAGACAGAATACAATAGAGTTCCTCTAAATACATGGGGCTGCGGATAAAATGCAAAATGAGATCAGTTAAAAGAAATGCAATTAAATCTGATTCTGAGTTGGCGGGCGTCCGTTGATCTTTTAGTAAGTTCGACTCTACGAAAAAAGTATAAACATTCGCCAAAGAAACAAAATTTTTCCTCACCAATAGAGTTCCTTCTCTGATCTGAATCATTTCAATAACTGCACTAAAGGACTATTTTCAACTCACAACATCCCAGTATCATAGAGTGCTTATATTTCTTTGTTAACCCAAGCTAACTATCTGTCCCTTGCGGCCATTAGATCAAATCTTGTAACTGTCCTGAATGACGCAGAGTACTGTTTGCGATGGAATATCTGTTTGAAAAGGCCTAGCCAACTTTAAAGAGATTTTTTAAAGCACGTAAAAAAGGCTAGCTATGGGTTGATTTGGAGTAGGGGCGATTATTTGAGTAAACGTTACCTAAATATTTAGATGACATTCGTTTTGGAAGCAAACAACCCGTAAACAAAACCTGTTGGAGGAAGTGCACTGTCCCTTTTTTTTGTTACCCTTTTCAGTCATGTAGCCTGAGGGCAGATATTTCATATTTCCTACTATAGCTCTAAATCACTAGTTGGAAAAGGGACCTATTGCCCGAAGGGAAGCACTAAAAGAAAGCCTGAAACTTGGCAGGGTTTTAGGCAAGGGGTGTTACGCAGAATACTGGTGCTTTTAATAAGCATTTAGCAACATTGGTTAGCATTCTGATGTTGCAGTCCAGAAGTGTTACTGAACAGTACTTCTGTGTTGCGTTGTTGCAGTTGCTTCGGAAAAGCTAATTACATGTATTCGTAGGTCCAATTTATTCAGCCTTCTAAAATTAAAGAAAAGCTATCGAGAATACTCTACATTGACTATTTTTCTCACTTTTTTCTTTATGGGTGTGAAAAGGTCGAATTCCGGTGGCTAATTATGGTATTGTTCTATATTTCCCAAGTCTAAAGGTTGTCTGGCAGGTCTATAGTTTCTGTCAGAAAATAACCAGAATCAAGCATCCTTTGTGTAGCAAACACAGGGCTTCACCTTAGGTCAAAGCACATCCAAAAGAAAAAATAATAATAAAATAAAATGATATAAAAAATGTATAAAACGTTAGCTGCTCAAGATTTCGAAGAATTAATTTCAGACTCAGCACTATTAATTCCTTTTGCTGCGTTTGACTTTTCAAAACGTTTTAAATAAATGTAAAGTTTGTTCACAAAGCAATAGAGTGTAACGATTTCTTTTTTGTTATTTGGAAACAATTTTTCCTTTTAATTTGACAATTTTGTTCTGATTATCTTGTTAAACCTTTCAGTTAGTTCATGAGTTTTATTTATTTACCGCAAACGTTTATTAAAAAGTCATTTCTAGCGGGCGCGTGCGCGCTTTAGTAGACTACCCGCATTAAGACTCAGGTCGTTTTTTATTCAATTTAAATGGTGTTTTAAATTAAAATCCCCAGCAACAGTTATGTAAATCAAAGTTCGTTTTCTACCTGTACTTTACAGTAGATCTAGAACTGTTATTTATTGCTCTGGATAGAAAAAATCTTTTTTTCTAAGCCTTGGGAAGAAATCCTGTCTTTGACTAGTTCATATTTAATAAAATTTACGTTAACGTTCCTGCGGTACTGTTAGTTTTTTAATTGACTCTCATTCAGACCTCAGTGGGTGAAAGATATAAATTTTGACCATTCTAATGAAAGCCGCTGAACTGAACTTTCCTGTGTTTTATTTTCTATAGATTCTGCAAACTACATCTTTGTCTGTGAATAAAATCCTATGGTGTGAGTATTTAAATAAAGTTACTAAACATTACCGTCCTACGGTGTTGTTTATTATGTTTTGCAAGGTCCGTCTGTGTATAAAATCCTGAAGTGTGGCCATCCAAATGAAAGCTATTGAGTAGTTCTTTCAGTGAAAGTTGTTGTGATTCTTCTTTAAATTTGATTTTGATGTTTGCCAAAGTTCAAGTGTCATTTGTCTCGCTACCACGGTCAGTACGAGTGTTACCAGACCTCGATGCAGGGGTCACTGATACACACAGGAAAATAAACTTCATCAACAGCGAATGTTTATTACAATCAATAGAGCTATAACACATTGAACCAAAATATTGTTGAATGCAAAACAATTTCACAATAACTTTCCAGTAAAGGTTGAAACGATATTTTAACGATTCAATGATTCGTTAAATACAGGCACCAGCTACTTCTATCCAAATATATATTGAGCCAAGATAGAAGACACTAAAAAGAAAATTTAAGCTAATACACAAAACATTGAGCCGATCTTTTAGGGTTTGGGCTATTTTTTGTAACGTTTTTGAAGACGAAATATGTTTTGAAGATTTCTCCCGAGTCGAAAAATGATGTGATGGTTCATTGCACAATTCAGACGGGTACCAAAAGAATATCTGATTGTTTTAAGGCAACAACCAGTTGCCTAAAAACAAAGAAAGCGTTTACTTTTCTTGCATTTCTAGATCAAAAGCAAACAATTCACAATTCGAAAATAATAATGAAAAATCAAAGAGCACATAAGATAGAAAAAAGGCGGGAACATTGCTTAGCATAAAAAGGCTCTTACAAGTGTGCTGCGCGCGAGTTTGAAAAATTTTCATTTCGACGTTATGACGTAGATGACTTCATGGTTATGTCATTGAGACTGGTAAAGGCGTTCATAGGTGCCCTATGAAGTCAACCAAAACTATTAATAACTTATAATCTTTCTTCAAATCCGGTGATCCCTTGTCATAGCCAGCCAATCAGGTTGCGTCTTATCGGCTGAAACCTGTGGCTGGTTCAATCGTCGACATAATTAATAAGATCCTCTATTGGCGAGAGTTTCTCAGCGTGTTCAGTAGATCGTTTTTGAGCTCCTAGAAGGTAAGTTCAACAGATGGTTTTAATGTAACGCTATTATCCAAAGGACGAACAAATCGTGTTTAAGTAGTTCTGCGTTCTTGTGCAAGGCGTCAAGTAACAGCGTCAAATTTACGAACGTCTTGGTAGAAACGCATTTAATACTACTAAGTTCATTTCTTTGTAAAGTGACACCATCGACTCTAGATTTCATTTAAAGAAACGTTTTACAAAGATAGCTTTTTATATTCTTGTGTTTTTAACGTATTTTGTTTTCTTCTGTTAAGTACCAGAAATGGCCCGATTGGCAATCCTCCTCTTAGCCGCTGTTGTGTGCGTTAGCGCAAAATCTTTCAAAGGTACGTACGTATTCCCAAATATCTTTATTTTCTGTTCAGGATTTAAAATGTTCCTGAATAGTGATTATCGCAAAGGATTGAAGTGATCTGGAGCGAAATCTCATAGTGAATATCCGTTTAAATTATTTCAGTTAATATTTCACAGTTGAATTAACACAGTTTCACAATTTTAGACATTGTTTCTGATTTTGAGGGGGTTGAGAAAGTGTATCCATGTAAAGAGCTTTTTCTTGTTTTATGACGTTTTTTGATGCGTTCTAAGTTCACGGTATTTATTCATACGACATAAGGGAGAAATCGACCGATTTCACAACAATGTTTCCTTAACTGTGTCATTCAAGCTGCCATTTTTTTTTTCAAAAAAAAATAATAATGCTAAAGTATAGGTGATTTTGGCAATAATGTGTACATGCACGGAGAGCAAGACTTAAAGTTTAGTAGATTGAGATATACTTTAGAGTATTCCTTGTTTAAAAATATACATTGGAGTTTTTATAATTGCCACTTTTGTTATGCACTTGCTGTTTATTGGTAGCTATATAGAGACAACAAACTCTCTTTCTCGCTTCAAATGAATTGGTTAAATCATCACTTTCACGTTTTGGAATTTCTATTTGCATTACCTTCAGACGCCATTTCACAGCGTCGGATACCACATAAAAGGCAAACATATAAACGCAAAATCTGCAACTCGTAAAACACTTTAAAAAATCGATGTTGATTTGTACATTGTATAATAGTAAAATTGATTACTGCACCATCATTAACGGAGTCATTATATTTATTTACAGAAAAGCGAGGCGCCAT